GTACCACCCAGAACTAAATGTTTCTTTTTTTCTTTCCTTGAAGAGGGATATTGTCAACTGATATGGGTAGTGTTATTTTTCTCAAAAATTTTATATGAACTTTGTGAAGCATAAAGTTGAAAGAATAGTATAATGACCAACAGTTAAAATGTTGCCACATTTTTTTTTTCTCTGTATATATTAGTATTTTTTAAAATTGTTTTAATTGACTTCACAGAGGAAGAGGGGGGGGTGGAGAGAGAGAAAGAAAGAGAAATGTCAGCGAGTCTGCAACCTGGGCATGTGCCCTTTGTTGGAAGCTGCCCATTGTCTTCACTAACTGAGAGGTGTGGACAAGGAACCCAGGAAGACTGGTCAATCTTGAAGCTCTGAAAGGCCTACCACCCACTGTCTTGTTGAGACAATGGTAGCTAAAGCAACTTCCATCTTTTAGTCTTATGTAAATCCTTGCTGATGGGCTGTCAAGGAGCTATTACTGCAATTGCCTGCCTAAAGGCTATGGGTGTATCCCATAGTCTTAATAAAAGGGTTAGGAGGCCAGAGTGGGGTGGAGTCCTTCCCTTGAGTTGGGCTCCCATCTGGCCCCCAATATTTCCAAATTAATATTTTCTAGTTTCTTTCATTTGTGTGCGGCCTCCTCCAGATCCCGAACCCTGGGGGGGGGACACTCCCAACTGGCGCCCAAATGGGGTACCCACAGGTAACTAATATGGGCTAGTTAGTAAAATCTATGTAGCTTTTGCTGGTGCCGTCTCGTGATTAAGTTCTGCCTGGCCTGGTAGAGAGGGAAAGGAGACACATTTACAAGTCTATGTTCCTGCTTTTAAGCAAATACCTGCTTTTAAGAATGGAGAGCTTTTCTTGTATTTCCTCCTTCTTAATGGCCTTCAGCTGGAAATAAACCTTATGCCAAAGTGGCATATTTTTGGGAGGCATACACAGCACTTTGGTGTATCTGTAGGATAATTTCCTGGAGATGGAATTGCTAGGTTCAAAAAGAAAATACAAATATTTTGTTAGGTTTGCCACCTTCCTTTCCATTAAGATTGTTCTATTTTGTACTCCCACTATCAACATATGAGTGCCCTTTTCCCCAACAGATTAGGTCTTTTGACTGTCTCCAAAATTTTGCCTTTTCCAGAATGTCATGTAGTTGGAATCATACAGTATGGAGCCTTTTCAGATTAGTTTCTTTCACTTAAAAAAGATACACATTTAAGTTTATTCCATATCTTTTCATGGCTTGATAACAACTCATTTCTTTTTAGTGCTGAATAATAAACTATCATCTTAATGTACAGTGTATCCATTCACATACTGAAGGATGTTTTGGTTGCTTCTAAGTTTTGACAATTATGAATAAAGATGCTATAAATGCCCGTGGGAAGGTTTTTGTGTGGATATAAGTTTTTAAGTCCTTGGGTAAATACCAAGGAGTGCAATTGCTGGATCATTATGATAAGAATGTGTTTAGTTTCTTAAGAAACTGCCAAACTGTTCTTTTAAAGTGGCAGTAGTACCATTTGAATGTCCACCAGCAATGAGATCTATAGCTCTATATCCTTTCTAGCATTTGGTGATGTCAGCATTTTGAATTTTGGCCGTGTTAATAGGTGTATAGTTTTAATTTACAATTTCCCTAATGACTTAGGATGTAGACCATCCTTTCATAGGCTTAACTTGCCATCTACCTCTATTTTGGTGGGGTGTCTGGTCAGATTTTGACCTGTTTTTTTAATTGGGTTGTTCATTTTCTTGAGTTAGAATTTTTTCATGTATTTTGGATAATAGCCCTTTATTAGATATCTTTTGCAAAGATTTTCCCCCCAGTCTGTGCTTGATTTCTCATTCTCTTGATAAATGTAAACTTCTGTAATAAATGGTTAAAAACCACTTAGAAAAGTACATAAATTAAGTGTGTGGCTTGCCTTACTGGCATGGCTCAGTGGTTGAGCATCAACTTATGAACCAGGAAGGTATGGTTGGGGCACATGCCTGGACTGCAGGCTCAGTCCCCAGTAGAGGGCGTGCAGAAGGCAGCTGCTGGATGATTCTTTCTCACCATTGACTAGAGGTCCAGTGTACGAAAATTCGTGCACTCTGGGGAGGGTCCCCTCAGCTGGGCTTGCACCCTCTCGCAGTCTGGGACTCCTCAGGGGATGTCCACCTGCTGGCTGGGGCCCACTCCCCAGGGGATCGGGTCTAAGTTGGCAGCCCGGAAGCCCTCAGGAGATGTCCAGGTCGGATATCCTTAGGGCTGCCTCTAGGGCTGCCTTGGAGGCAGGAGAGGCTTCCACCACTGTCACTGTACAGCGCCCAACTTGTGGCTGAGTGGAGCTCCCCTTGTGATCAGTGCGTGTCATAGCAACCAGTCATTTACAGTTCTGTTAGAGTCAATTTGCATATTACCCTTTAATTATATATAGGATGTTTCTATCTTGTTCCCCCTCCCTTCCTCTAGGAAATCAATAAAAATACATTTTTAAAAATGTATGGCTTTATGAGTTCTAAGTGAACATATTATTTTCCTGTTTATGTTATCAGTCTTTTCATTGCTTTTAGTTTGTTTTGCTATATAATAAATTGAATTTTCTCAAATGGGTACATGGAATCATCTTCTTCTGTCATTAGCTCATGTCTTACTTTAAGTGTCTTCCAAAATTCCTCCTGATATCTTTCAAGGCTTTAATAATTCCCATGTCCCTTTTGTGTATCTTTTAGCATTTAATCACAACCCTTTATCATACTTGTTATTCTATATACTATAAACTCCTTGAAAGCTAGAATTCTTGTTTTATTTGTCCTTGTGTGTCTAGAGCATGGAGCACAAGAAGTATTATATCCTATTACTGTTTAGTCTGAATGATTGTTTCTTTGTTTCTTGGATTTTAAGTGCCTTTGATTTTATAGCTATTGCTCTCTAATTTAGGTACTCTTTATTATTGTTTAACCAAGCAATCTTACTCATTCCTCTTGTCATCCTAATATTTTCTGCTCTTTGCTAGTTACCCTTGAGGATTGTTTTGGAGAAACATTAACTTATTTCTGGGGCCTCTGTGAGAGAGTAGAAATCTCTTCTGTGTTTTATTTCTTTCTTCATAATTAAAACTTACGAGAATGTTTTGATGTAAATAAGTGATGCCATATTTCGAAGTCCTTTTTCTTAATTTTTTGGGGGGACATTATGTTATACCTTGTTTTCCTTTTTTGTAAGTTTCTGCAATATAATTTTATGAAAATATGCATACAAAGAGTGAGAGATTAGTATAATGAACTTCCACGTACTATTCACAGTTTCTTGTTATTAACTCATGTAGTATTATAAGGTAATTAACTCATGTAGTATTCTAAGGTAAGTAGTTAAAATATTGTTAGAGTCGAACAGATTCCTAGAAGCTATTTAGGACTAACCTCCCACCCCAAAACTCAGGATAGTAATTCAGATACAATTATACATAGGGATTTAAATCTCCTTGATGTGATATGTTTCGTTATTGAACAGTAGCATTTGTATACAGAGCTAAAATATGGTTGATTCATTTTAACTACTTACGAGGCTTTTAGTTTATTTATTTATTTATTTTTTTAATATATATTTTATTGATTTTTCACGGAGAGGAAGAGAGAGGGATAGAGAGTTAGAAACGTCGATGAGAGAGAATCATCGACCAGCTGCCTCTTGCACACCCCCTACTGGGGATGTGCCCGCAACCAAGGTACATGCCCTTGACCGGAATCGAACCCGGGACCTTTTAGTCCGCAGGCTGACGCTCTATCCACTGAGCCAAACCGGTGCCGGCACGAGGCTTTTAGTTTAATAAAGAAAAACTTAAAGCTTTCTTATTAAGTTAAAATAATTTTAAGTGGTGTCTTAAAATAATTTGTGCTGGACCCTGGCCTGTGTCTCAGTGGATAGAGCATTGACCTTCACATCTAAGGGTAAAGGGTCCGATTCCCAGTCAAGGGCACATACATGGATATCAGATTCTTCCCTGGGGAGAGGAGGGCAACCAATCTATGTGTTTCTTCTCCTTTCCCTCTCTTTCACTCTCTAAAAATAAATGGAAAAATATCCTCAGGTGAGGATTAACAAAACAAACAAAAACTTGTGGTAATAGTAAACTGATAAGACATTGCACATTTTAGGATTAAGGAAACAATTTCACTTTCTTGACTGATTTGTCAGTGGTTACTGATAGTCTTATGAAGGGCCAGTACTTAGAATTAATTCCTAACTTAAAACTTGAGCACATTTTAACCACATACAGAGTTTTTATGTCTTTGCTGTTAAAATGGCAGTCAATAAACTGAAATCCATTTGTTGTGGTCACATTGCCTTTCAATTCTCTCCTTAGCCTATCCAATAGATGCTTCATTAATGAGTTCTGTAAAAAATTTGTTTCCTGTCAGAAATTGCCAATTTAGGTTATTTCATTAAATTCAGAATCACTCCATTAGTAGTATCTATATGATAATGTATGTGTCAATTATTTTATTATTAAAAAACAAAAACAAAACAGCCCAGGTTATTTAAGTGGTTCCCTTTTTAGCTGGACTCTCTTATATTGGTAATGGCTTTGAATGAAGATCACTTTCTGAGAGAATCTTTATAACCCTTAACATTTCCCCAAAATGTTCAAGTCACTTAATACAGAGTTTCCCCAAAAAATATGTATACATTTTAACAGCTGATAGCTCAGTTTTGAAAATGAAATGTATTTTAATAAACATTGCCTATATAGTTATTCAAAATGTGTGTATACTTTTTTTGCAATACCGTATATTCTGAGTCAATCATGCACTATGTATGATATATATGTATATTATACAATGAAAACTTTGTATGGAACATATTTGCTAGATTTTTCAGACTAACTGAAGTTATACTTAGTCTGTATTTCAGCATTTCCTTAGCTTTTTTATGCAAGATGAAGATTGTGTTTTATATCCATTGGTAGTTCTAAACTAGAATATAATGTTTTTCTCCTTGATTTCTGTAGAGCAGGTTGTTGCCCTGGATGCCCAAAATATTATAGCTGTTTCATGTGGAGAAGCTCATACATTAGCACTAAATGACAAGGGCCAGGTGTATGCTTGGGGTCTCGATTCTGATGGACAACTTGGCCTGCTAGGATCAGAGGAATGTATCAGAGTACCCAGGTAACAAAGGTGACCAAAAAGAGGTCCTTAATAATCTTCTATCATAAATTTATTATTAAATTATCCTGTATACTTTGGGCATGTAAAAGTTGACACCTATTATTTCTCCCCTTTGAATTCTGAAGTTTACTAGTTAGGTTCTAACCTTTAATTTGGGTGGAGTGTCCCCTTTTTTATATACTTTTGTTTTCCCCCTCATATCTTGACTAGCCCAGCTATTGATATAGTAAAAATTGATTGGTTGCATGTTTCTCTACCTTGTTTTTTTGTTTTTGTTTTTTTTTAGTATTTATTGTTTTTATTAGGTACAGAAGTTCCACATGCTTAGTGTAAAAAGAATTCAGTTACTTTCCACTTTTTTATATAGCAGTGACCATGATTTATGCTAACCATTAGTCATCATAGAATTATTTAAAAATGAAAAATAAATAAGGCTTCATCAGTGTTGTAGTCTTAAAGATTTACATAAGGCATAATCATTGTTTTAATGTTAAAAATTATAAGAACATGAACATATCTAGATAAAAATATAAATATTTAGATAAAAACATCTAATTTATTTTAGATAGAAAAATAATACACAAAGTCATGCTTAGTTTTAAAAATTATACAGTTTTTTTGCCTCTTTAAATTCTTGCTCCTTCTTCCTACTAATAGTTATAGGGACAAAAATAGAAATCTCCAAAGAACCAAAGAATTAAGCTAATTTTAGGTAGCACTTTTATATATATATATTTTTTTATTGAGTTTTTACAGAGAGGAAAGGAGAGAGAGAGAGAGAGAGAGAGAGAGAGAGAGAGAGAGAGAGAGAGAGAGAGAGAGAGAACGCGCTAGAAATGTCGATGAGAGAGAAACATCAACCAGTTGCCTCTTGCACACCCCCTACCGGGGATGTGCCCACAACCAATGTACATGCCCTTGACCGGAATTGAACCTGGGACCTTTCAGTCTACAGACCGACTCTACCACTGAGCCAAACCAGTTTCGGCTTAGGTAGCACTTTTTTAAACACACATTTAGATATTTTGTATTTAATTTAAAAATGATATTTATTTTGGTTTAAAAGATACAAAGTAGTACTTGGACAAGAAAATGGAGCACAGGAACTACTAATATATATCAGAACAGAAACTCTCATCATTGCTAGGAATGAGTTTCTTATTGTTGATTTTTTTATTTATTTTTATTTTTTTATTTTAGTTAGGGAAAGGTAGCTCTTCTAATAAGCCTGTAACCTTCCTTGTGTTGTAACATATTAAAAGTTTTTTTTATCATTGGTCTGCATTTTATATTTGTTGTGGTAACGGACTATCTGTTGAGGCTTTGGATACATCACAATCACCTATTTATTAAACCTGTTATTAAATTTCACAATTTTTTTCCCCTTTTTTCTTTTGTGATGACAAATAATTGGAGTGGTGAAACAAATGAGTATTTCCATTATGCTTTTAATGTCTCTTGATGGTTCTGTTGGGGGGAAATCTTTTTTTTTAATTAAGTAAATTAAATTCTTTTAGTCATTTCAATTTTGATTTATTTCAGAAAATGGTAATTTGCAACCAGTGGATTTTGATTTAGTAACAAAGTATTCATAAAAACATAGTAACTGCATGTTTGTCACATTTTATATTGCTTTTATTTTCTCCCAAAAGTAATTGTTGTAGAATGGGGTTTTTTATTTAAGATTTTAAAAGTTTTGTGGTTTTAGGATTGAAAAGGGACATACATGTTAGATTTCCTAAGTTAATATTCTCAACCATGGTTCATAGCAGAGCTTTCTAGTTTTCCCTCATTTTTACTCCACTGGTGTCTTAATTCTCACTACTTACATTTTTGTTTCTGTTCACTTCTGGTATACGAGATTTCAATCAGTAATCTGTAGATGATTAGTAAATGGGAAAGAAAGGTAATTGTAAAGAGAGAATTTCATTGTATATCAATTTATTTGAAGATTGCCCAGTAATAAATTATGTATTTGTGACTTTACTATTTTATGAGCCTAGATAGGGACCTGAAAGAGATCTTAACTTGAAGCCTTTGCTTTAAAATTCTGCTTTTGTGTTAGTTAAGCATCCTATATTAACATTAAGCTGAGTAGTCATTTTTTCTGTTCAAGCTCATACATTTGTTGTAAACTAGTCTGTCTGGTTTATTGTGACATGTTGTTTTTACTGATATTTTCAACTTTTAAAGGCCAATTTAATATTTCAGTAAGAATATATTTTTATGAAAGGCTGCCAATAATTTTTTAATTTTTAGTTTCAGTACTATATCATTTTTTAGATGCAAGACTTTTTCTAGATTCTTAGATATGTCAGCCAGCATTGTAAATTTCACATACATTTTGAATAAAATGTATAGAAGACAGGAGGAAACTCAAATATATACAAATAGATTTTTAAAAATTACTGTTTATGATTTTCATAAGAGTGATCAGAAATGTGAAGATTCACATTAGATTCACTTTCTTGAGAACAAAATCATGTTTATGCTAAAAGATGAAAATGTAAATTAACTGATATTTTAAAGAATGTAAAACTAATAATAAATGGAAATTTGAAATTCTTACTACTTTGGTAGTAGTCTTTTTTTACTTCTAATTTTGTTACGTTTTGAAATAATCCATTCTTGAAATTATCAGTATCAGTGGTCACTATAGACCTGATTTTGCTATCTTTAGTTTAATGTACCTGGAAATACATACTTTTCCATGCAAACTTTAGAAAAATAATTGTGTTAAATTCGTAGCTTATTTTTTAAAGTCCTATTTATTGGACATATACAATAAAAAAAGTATGAGAGGAAGGTGTGATATGATCCTTGTGAGAACAGCTGTTTCTGGACAATAGAAATCCAACAGCTTGGTCAAAAATCATTTTATTAGTTTCACTCAGTTAAAATGGTTTTAATACTAAAGTCTCTTAAGACTATAAATTTATCTATCTTTTAACAATGTATTCATTACATACTTTTTGTAAGGCACTCGGGTAGGTGGCAGGGATTGTGTGGGTATAAGATACTTAATCTGCAATCAGAGAGCTTAATGTTTAATAGTACAGTGGTAATAAATAAGTATATCAGTAATTAATAGTGATAAATGCTGTGAAGGAAAAAACATAGGGTGCTTTAAGAATGTAATTTTTGAAGTGTTTCATTGGATTTGCAAATTGGACTTGATTAAATCCTGTTTTTGCATTGCCAATGTTTGATTTCGGTAATTGCAGAAATATGGGCATTTTGCTACCTTTTAAAATCTGAGGGTATGTTAGATCCTTTTAACTTGTTGGGTTCTGCTAAATTGTAGCAACATAACTTTCAGATTTTATATTTAAGACATAAATCCACTAAATAAAAATATTTTTAATACTAATATGGGATTAGAGTAACTCATCTTTCTCCTGCTCAAAATTTGATTTGCTGAAGCTGCCTCCCGAAAATCATGATTATCGACTCTCTGGTCAGAACTTGCTCCGGACTTTCATTTGGCCGAATCAGGTCAGGTGGCAGTATCAGGTAAAGGGAAATAAGAAACATATTACGTTTCCTTCCCACTTTTTTTCTTGAAAACACTCATTCAGTAAAAACAATAGAATGGTCAGGTAAAGGGGACTGCTTAAGAAAAACCTGGGGTGTTTGATGCAGTTACTTGATTTTTGTATTAAGAAATTCGTATTGCAGTTAAGGAAAATTCAGAAATGGGAGAAAAAAAGAAACTATAAAAATTATAAGGAAAAAAGCAGACAGCAGAATGACTGAACTTGTCAGTGATAATAAGTGTATATTTATTAAATTTCCCTGGTTAAGAATTAAGTTTAATGTCACTGATTTAGATGTAAAGCAAAAGGGCCAAAAGAATTGATTTCATCATTTGAGAATTGATAGCAATTCACATAATAGGAATATTTTTAGTTCTTAACCCGAGAGAAGAGAACATATATTAAATTTGGACATCAATTTTAGACAAATTAGATCATGTACATTTGTTTTACAAATATATTACAAGTTTTATGTATTAAGCTTTAAATTTTTTTTAAAAAATTTTATGATGAAAGAAAACTAAATAGTAAAAGCGCTCTGAGGGATATTTGAGGTATGCACATAGTTTGTTAAATGTTGTCCTTTCAAAGTATTTTCTCAATACGCTTTTAATTTTCTTTATGTCTAGATTTTGTATACTAACAAATTGTTGATAAATTGGGCATGTATAAAATATAACATGAGCTGCTAGGTTGGTAGGAAACAATTTGTACATAGTAGGTGGTCAAGAAATAGCATATATGAATTAAGTATTCAGGATCCATTTAATAACTGCAATTAACTGATTCTGATATCTCTTCTTTTCTAGAAATATTAAATGTTTATCAGATATCCAGATAGTACAAGTTGCTTGTGGTTATTATCATTCACTTGCACTTTCTAAAGGTAAGCATTGTTTTTATTTTATTTTCCTTTTTCAGTTTTATTACTTGATTAGAGGCCCAGTGCACAAATTCGTGCACCAGTGGAGTCCCTTGGCCTGGCCTGCGGGATCCTGCTGAAGCCGGCTCTCGGCTCTATGATATCTCCCAAGGGGTCCTGGATTGTGAGAGGATTTAGGCCAGGCCCAGGGATCCCACCGGTGCACTATCAGGGCTGGGGAAGGGATGCGGGAAGTTGGCCAGCTGGGGTGGGACTGCAGGAGGGCTTTCAGGGCCTGTCAGGCCTGCCCAATCGGCTAGAACCCAGCAGCAAGGTAACCTACCAGTAGGAGCATCTGCTCCCTGGTGGTCAGTGCACATCATAGGAAGTGGTTGAGCAGCCTTAGCATATCATTAGCATATTACGCTTTGATTGGTTGAACATACAATTGGACAGCCAGGCACTTAGTATATTGGGCTTTTATTATATTGGATACTTTAATTGAGCAGAAAGTCCTCCAATTTTCTTAAGATTGTTTTTTCTTAGGATTGTCCTGATTCTTGATTCTTTTTCATATCCATTTTAGAAGTAGCTGGACAGTTTTCACAGATGCACAAACTATTGGGATTTTGATTTGGATTATATTGTCTCTATAAATCAATTTGAGAAAAGTCTTTACACAATGTCTTTTAGTCCCTGAACATGCTATATCCCTCCATTACTTTAATCTTTTAATTTTTCTCAATAGTATTTTGTTGTTTTCTATGGAGAAGACTTAGACTCCTTTTATTAGATTTTTCCATAGGTATTTGATATTTTGTTGTTATATGATGTCATTGTCAAATTATATATTGCTACTATATAGCCATGAATGACATTTATTTTTGTTCTATTTGTTTCTTTAGTTTGTTTAATGCTATTCCTTCATAGCTGGGGAAAGTTATGACTTGCCCAACCTCATTTGATTTCACAGATAAACTATTTATAAATAAAAACAAGAAGGCCAAAATTCCTATTAAGCTTTGTTTTATTTCCTTTCTTATTAGATTAATTTTTTCATATGCCAGCTAAGGATTTGTAACTTGGATAAAGAATAGATAAGTTAACACATTGTGGATGGATCATGAGAATTCTCGCTTCGTATTACACAGTGTTTTACCAAAGTATCATACTTTAAAAAGATATTAGCTTGTAAGAACATGTAATAAATAACTGCAAAATGCAATGGGTATTTAACTTTAAAGTGTGCCGTTAACAGTTATATAAAACATTTTTAGGAACTTATGTGGCCACTGGATAAAGCTAGCGATAAGACTACTGGTCCGCAATGTGTTAAGAGACCTATCTTAAGATAAGTTAAGCTTTAGAGAACATATCATTTAGTGGAAGAGACAGATATACAAATAAATACTGTGTTTCCCCGAAAATAAGTCCTAGCACATGGAAAGATAGACATCCCCTGGAAATAAGACCTAGCGCAACTTTGGGAGAAAAAATTAATATAAGACACTGTCTTATTTTCGGGGAAACAGAGTAGTTATAGATTAAGGGGGGGAAAAGAGACACACACACACACACACACACACACACACACACACACACACGGGTCCCTTGGCCTGGCTTGCAAGGATAAGGCCAAACCATCTCTCCAACATCTCTCAAGGGGTCCGCAAGAGGGCAGTTCTTGGGTGACACACCTCAGAATCGGGCTCCCTCCCCTCTGGTTCCTGATGCATCATCTGAGAACTGCAGCTGCCAGGTCACTGGAGCTTGGCAGCTCCTGCGTTGAGTGTCTGCTCCCTGGTGGTCAGTGTGCATCATAACTGGCGGTTGGACTATCTGCCCACTGGTGGTCATGGTCTAGCTAGCAGTTGGATGATTACTTAGGCTTTTATATATATACTATAGGCCTGGTGCATGAAATGTGTGCACAGGGTGTGGGGTGGGGGGGTTAGGGGGGGTGTCCCTCAGCCCAGCCTGCACCCTCTCCAATCTCGGTCTCTGTTTAGACCCGACCCCAGTGAGATTAGGCCTAAACGGGCAGTCAGACATCTCTCTCATAATCCAGGACTGCTGGCTCCAAACCACTCGCCTGCCTGCCTACCTGGTTGCCCTTAACTGCTTCTGTCTGCCAGCCTGATCACACCCTAACCACTCCCCTGCCAACCTGATTGACACCTAACTTCTCCCTTGCCGGCCCAGTTGCCCCTAACTGCCCTCCCCTTCCAGCCTGGTCGCCCCTAACTGCCCTCCTCTGCAGGCCTGGTCCCTGTAACTGCCCTCTGTTGCCTGCCTGGTCATCCCTAACTGCCTTCACCTGTTGGCCGGCCTGGTCTCGCTTAACTGCTCTCCCCTGCTGGCCTGGTCGCTTCCAACTACTCTCCTCTGCAGGCCTGGTAGCCCTCAACTGCCCTCCCCTGCAGGCCTGGTCTGCCCCCCTTCCCCCTACTGCCCTCCCTTGCAGACCTGGTCCCTCCCAATTGTCCTCCCGTGGCCACCTTGTGTCCACCTGGGGGCAGCCATCTTGTGTGCTGGAGTGATGGTCAATTTGCATATCATCTCTTTATTATATAGGATAGATGCTATTTTGGACAAGGTTAAAGTAAAATGCTAGAGGAATGAAGAAAAAGTGTAGTTAGTTCCAGTCAGTAGAATTAGTGGCAATAATGAGGAGATATAGTATATTTGATGCAAGTCTTGAAAGATTAGTAGAATTTATTCAGAATTGGAGAAATGGTTAGAAACGCTAGGGGAAATGTTGAGAATTGGCTAAGGTGATAATATTAGTAAAGGCATAGAAGCAGGAAACTATTTTGCTTATTTGAGTATTGATATGTAGTTTTATGTGGGTATTGTGAGAGAATTGGAAACATACTCTTACTTTAGTTGAAACTGAATTAAAAACAAATCTGTTAAAAAGGGCCTTAAATCCCAAAATAAGGAATTTAGACTTTTGTAAGTAATAGGGTACGTGGCATTCTTATATTTTGTATTTTACTTTGCCAACTTTTCTTTTAATATTTTGGTAGGTAGTTCCATGATAAATTTAAACTCAGAGGTTTTTACTGTCGAGGGCAGTTTTCTATCTTGACTCAGAGGTAATCTTTTGCCTTGTTCGGGTTTAATCTAAGGACAGTATCCTTCCCCCCCCGCCCTCCACTTAGTATGAACTAGACACTCTGGAGTGTGCAACATTCGGTGATAAGCATTACACTACCAGCCTTATGATACAGTCACACAAATAATACTGTGACTACATACTATGAAAAAAGACTGTAAAGAAAAAAACTTTAGGATATTTAGAACATGTAATAGAGTGACTGAACTTAATCTGAGAGATCAGAGAGGGCTTCCTGCTGGGGGAGAGAGGAAATGAATTAGACAAAGATGAAGGGGAAATTTACTTGAAAGGAACAGCAAGTGGGTGAAAAATTGGCATTTTTCAGGTGAGCAACATTATTAAATCTGCATTTTTATATTCTATGTATATGTACAAATGCCTACTAGTATGTGCATAGAATATTTCTGGAAGTACTGATCAGTAATTGATAAAGAGTAGCTATCTCTTGGGAAGAAAATATATCTAATTTTAGAGGGAGATTTACTTTGTGTACTATCTTATAGTATCAGTTAAAAAATTGTTGGTTAGTCAGTTATTTAATGTATTAGTTTTGTTTATTTAATTAAAAATTACGTTTAAAGTTGCAAAAGAGGGTGGCAGTGTGGGGGCAAAAATGCCAAGCAGACCGAACTATTATAGGAACCAAGAGAGATGGTGGGGAGTGGATCTATTTAACATATTTTTCTTTAGAAATAAAATTGTATATAACTTGGTAATAGATAATAGATTGATTCAAATCTTTGTATAAGGTAAGAAAGGAGGGAGGTATTTAGGATGACTACTTATATTTATGATTTGTGCTGTTGAATTAGTTACAATGTCATTTACTGAGAGAGGGAACCCTAGGAAGAGGTCCAGGTATGGGAGGTAGAGTGAAGGTCATGAACTGAGTTTGGGATACACTGAGCTGAAAGTGCCTTGAAATATCCAAGTATAGGTATCAGGTAACAATTGGATACATGGATTTATTGCTCAGAGGACAGGTTTGGTCTGATAATAAAATTTTGAATATTATTAGCATATTATTTTTAAAAGTATATATTTTATTGATTTTTTTTACAGAGAGGAAGGGAGAGGGATAGAAAGTCAGAAACATTGATGAGAGAGAAACATCGATCAGCTGCCTCTTGCATACCCCCTCTGGGGATGTGCCCGCAACCAAGGTACATGCCCTTGACCGGAATCGAACCAGGACCCTTGAGTCTGCAGGCCAATGCTCTACCACTGAGCCAAACCGGTTTCGGCATTAGCATATTATTGATAACTGAAACCTTGAGCTTGGAGAAATTATAGAGTAAAAGTAAAACCTGAGAATTATTAAAAAGAGATGGTCCTTTCCTGAGGAGCATAGTTACTTGACTTACCATTCATTACTAAATATAGAATGTTCTTCTAAGTAATATTATATTTCCATGTAAGAAATAAACTTAAGAGGAATATGTATTTCCAGATGATAAGAGGCAGAATATCTCAAAATAACTAATGATCTTCAAATGAAACTGTGTGTGTGAGAAAAATCGTTAATCTTATGATTTTTGTTTTACAGCAAGTGAAGTTTTCTCCTGGGGACAGAATAAATATGGCCAGTTGGGTTTAGGCACTGACAGTAAAAAGCAAGCTTCACCACAACTGATTAAGTCCTTGATTGGAATCCCTTTCATGCAAGTTGCAGCAGGAGGAGCCCATAGTTTTGTACTCACCCTTTCTGGAGCTATCTTTGGATGGGGACGCAACAAATTTGGTCAACTAGGTCTTAATGATGAAAATGGTAGGTTCTCATTACTGCAAATGTGCTTTTAAGACATTTGAGCTGGCTCCGTGAGTGAATCTTAGTGTCAAAGAGAAATGAACTGAAATCTTCCCTGATAGGGAGTGGGATGAGAGGTTAATTTTAAAATGCCATTTGATAATAATTTTAGGGTATGGTGGGAGGCCAAAAAAAAACATTTTATCATAAAATAAATTATAGAAATTATAACTGCACAAAAATTCTTTGCTGTTGGATATTCATTAAGATAATTGAAAAACATCACTTCAAATTGGTAACCACATTATTGGCTAACAGTGGTGAAAAGAAGCAATACAATTATTTTGAAAAGTAAACAAAGCATTCATTGAAATTTTCAAGGATTTATTAAAATAATCTGGATCATTAAATTAATCTTTAGTTTGGGTTTCACTTTAACATTGATTCTAGAGTCTTGAAAATAAACATTTGGAATTTAAAAAATTATAACTACTTGAAACAATTTGGGATCTTGGAATTGATTTTTCTTAACTACATTAGGTCAAATGCCAGTACTTGAAATATAGAAACTAAGTTCATAAAGTTCAATATAATTGTAATAACAAAAGTGAGTTGTTGATCTAGTAGCAACTAGTAATGATAATCAACTAATACTCTCAAAAATAATTTAAAATGTTTTTTTCTGCATAAGAAAAATGGGGTAGGGCATTATATCTCTTTTTCTCCTAGAAAATAGCAGAAAATATAATTTTCAAAATATGATCCTGTGAGTTGAATTACCATGAGGTGAATATAAAGTATGTGTATGGATTATAAGCAAATAGCTTTCTAGTTCCTTGATTGCTGATTTGCGTTGAAGCAATTTAGCACTTAAATTACTGTTTTTAAATTCCTCCTTCATCACAGTAGAATAGAAAGGCCTGAAACTCAACTTAGTAGCCTTGTAATGCAAAAATCATTGAATCATGGTTAAAATTATTTAGTCATCACTGTCCACTGAGCTTGGGAAGCTATTGAGGAAACTCTGTAGAAGAGTTTTAATTAAATATTGTTAACGTCTCTTGTTGGAATTTTCAGATAGGTATGTTCCTAATTTACTAAAGTCACTAAGAACTCAGAAAATAGTTTATATTTGTTGTGGAGAAGATCATACTGCTGCACTAACCAAGGTATTGTACTCCTATAAAACTTCTTTATTATTACTCATAGAAGTTATTTCATAATTGGTAAATGTTTTCCTAATATGTACATTAAAAGGAGTGTTAAAGATATTTTTAAAATAATTTATCTTGGAAAAGGAGCTAGATTATTATTCTCAAAAAACAGTTTACCTTAATTTTCTCATTTGTTTTATGTTATGAAATGTGAATTATAATCTTCTGTTAAATGATGACAATATATATTCCATTTCTCAGCTTTGTGTGAAATACTGCTTAAATAATTTGAATAAAACAATTCCTTTTAAGTTAGTCAGTCTTGCCATGATGTATATCTATATCCCATTCATGCATAGCTCTTCTTAATTTTAATTTAGCTCCCATTTGGTTTATAAATATAACAAATAAGAAAGCAATCTCATTCACAATAGCATGAAAAAATAATAAATACTTAGGAACAAATTTAACCGAGGTGAAAGACTTGTACACTGAAAACTATGTAAGACATCAATGAAAGAAATTGAAGAAGATACAAATAAGTGGAAAGATATCCCATGTTCTTGGATTGTAAGGAGTAATATTAATATACACACTATTCAAAGTGATCTACAGATTCAGTGCAATACCTATCATAATTCTTATGGCATTTTTCACAGAAACAGAACAGATAATTTAAGAATTTGTATGGAATCATTGATGACCCAGAATAATCAAAACAATCTTGACGAAGAAAAGGCTAGAGATATCACAGTTCATAGTTTCAAATTATATAAAAGTAATTAAAAACAACTGTACTGACATAAAAACAGATACATAGACCAATCAAAAAGGGTAGGCGAGCAAATAAGTCCACACATGTATGGTCAACTAATCATTGACAAGGCACCAAAAACACACAGTGGCACAAGATAGTCTTCAATAAATGGTGTTTGCAAAATGATATCTACATGTAAAAGACAAAATTGGATCCCTATCTTGCGCCACTCATAAAATTTCAAAATAGAAGGACTTAAATGTGAGGCCTAAAACTGAAAAACTCTTGGAAGAAAACATGAGGGGGAAATCATTAGTTTTGGTTATCATTTTTTTATATGATACCAAAAGTGCAGGCATCAAAAGAAAAAGAAAAACAAATGGGACTATATCAACAACAACAAAAAAACAAAAAAAACCTTCACTGCAAAGGAAACAGTCAACAAAATGAAAAGGCAACTTATGAAATGGGAGAAAATACTTGTAAATCTTATCTGATAAGGCTTAATATTGAATATACTAGTATATAAGGAATACACAAAACTCAATAGCTTAAAATAATCTAATTATAAAAAGGAGACAGTCCTGAGTAGACATTTTCCCAAGGAAGAACACCAATGGCCATTAGGTACAGGCAAAGGTGCTCAATGTGTTAACATCACAGTCATCAGGGAAATGCAGATTAAATCACCTCACATTTTTTAGGACGGCTATTCTCAAAAATCCCCACAAAGGACAAGGCTTAGGGAGGATGTGGAGAAAGGAGAAGCCTTGTACATTGTTGATTGGAAGATGAATTGCATAGCCATTATTGAAAACGATATGAAGGTTCCTCAAAAATTACAAATAGAACTGTATGAGCAAGCAATTCCACTTCTGGAATTATATCTGAAGGAAATGAAAACAGAATCTCAAAGAGATAACTGCACTCCCATGTTCATTACATCAATGTATAAGTGGAATCTTAAAATAATTTAAAGAGAAACAGTAGAATGGTGTTTGCCAGGAGATTGGGGGAAATGGGGAGATGTTGAACAAAGAATATAAACTTTCAGTTACAAGATAAGTTCTGAGGATCCAGTGCACAGCATGGTGATTATAGTTAATAATACTATGCTGCATAATTAAAATTTGCTAAGAGTAGACCTGAAGCATTCACACACACAGAAGTATGTGAGGTGATGGATTTGTTAATTATCTTGGTTACAGTAGTCATTTCACAATGTTTCTAGATGTCAAAACCCATTGTATACATTATACTTTTTAGGAAATTAAGTCATATCTGAATAAAATGGAAAATATCAGTTACAAAAATCATAAATAAAAATTAACACTTTATATCCAGAAAAGTAAATTAACTAACTTTACACTAAAAAAAGAGTAAAATGCAATTGACTATACCTTCACAACATCCATCAGCCAATTAGGAGTGAGTATGCAAATTAACCCAACAAAGATGGCAGGTTAATTGGCATATACAGGCGCTGAGTGGCTGGGGGTGGGACAGGACACAAACATTCTACATTACCCCAGCCACTCTGGGCCTCGGGGCAGCATGGGAAGGCCGAAGGGCGTCTCCAGCCTGAGTGAAGGCAGTGCAGGCAGCCAGGGGAAGGAAGGCTCATTCTTGCATGAATCTTCATGCATCAGGCCTCTGGTGTGATAATAATATTGTAATATATATTTTTACCAGTTAGATGTTTAAGCCAGTGAAGATACATAAACATTTAGAGGTAAAATGTTTGATGGGAGAGAGGGAGAGAGATAGAAACATCAATAATGGCAGAGAATTATTCATTAGCTACTTTCTGCACACCCCACACAGGGAGTGAGCCTGCAGCCTGGGCATGTGCCCTGATCGGGAATCAAAGCGTGACCTCCTGATTCGTAGGCTGATGCTGAACCATAGCCATGCTGGCTGGGCCCATAATTTGCTTTATTTTATTTTTAATCCTCACCTGAGGATATATTTTTCATTTTTCCATTGATTTTTAGGGCGGGGGGGGAACATCGATGTGAGAGAAACACATCGATTGGTTGCCTCCTGCACAAGCCCCAACCAGGGCCCTGGTCGGGGAGGAACCTGCAACCAAGGTACATGTCCTTTATTGGAATTGAACCCAGGACCCTTTAGTCAGTCCATAGTCTGGCACTCTATCCACTGAGCCAAACCAGCTAGGGCCCATAATTTGCTTTACAGTACTGTACAAAAGGACTCTGGAATGGACATCCGAGAAAAAGAAATGGTAGTACCTAACTTTTGCTAGTTGTTGAAACTGAGTGATGGTTATATATTTCATGTTTATTTTTGTCTTTAATTTTGGGTATTTGAGATTTTTCCATGACAAAAAGTTTTTAAAAGAAAAAAATCAGTTTTTTTTTAAATGTAGTAACATATAAATACTTAGATTGTTATTATTTATTTATTTTTATCCTCACCCAAGGACATTTTTTCAATTGATTTTTCAGACAGAAGGGTAGGGAGGAAGGAGGGGTAGAGGGGGAGAGAGAGAAACATCCACAGGCAAGAGACATGGCATTTGGTTGCCTCCATACATTTGGGGCTGGGGATTAAACCCCAAAAAAGGGTGAATTATATATAAAGCTACAATATGGCGAAAAACAATAGAAAAATACTAATTTCGCTCATTTGTTAAACTGCCGTCAAAGATCACTTTATGTATATAATAACCTCTAATCCAGCTATAAATTTTATAATAATTTTTTTCTAATTTAATTTTTTTTTTTCATCACCATTTATCTTCCCTATACCCTCTTACACCTCCACCCACTCCTCCTTAATAAAACTTTTAAGGACCATTTATATTGTGTGCTAAAAATAGCAATATTTGTGCACTCTGGTTATATATACTTTGTGTTAAAAGTATAGCTTATTTGAAAACAGGATGATATCATTTTAATGGTTTTGTGAAATTTTATAGGTGTGTACTTGGAATTCAACAAGAATATGACAGTGAAAGGCGTTGCAAAAGTAGTTAATAGTATCTCTTTAGTGATGACTTCAACTAATTATAATAGCAAGAACATAATTAAATACTTTAAAAACATGTGAAAATATTTAGTCATGAACCTGGAACTCGCTTCGTTTTAAGACATTTTACCTTAAAAAGTCTCAGGTATCATCTGTGAAATTGTGAAGATAATAAAAGTAAAAATTGACTCCATAGTTAAGATTAGTTTATTTTCCTAAAGATGATTTACTTTTATCAGGCCTTCTAATGATAAAGGGTTTTGTCTTTTTTTTTTTTTTTTTAGGAAGGTGGAGTGTTTACTTTCGGAGCTGGAGGGTATGGTCAGTTGGGTCATAATTCTACTAGTCATGAAATAAACCCAAGGAAAGTTTTTGAACTTATGGGAAGCATTGTCACTCAGATTGCTTGTGGAAGGTAAGCTATTATATAAGATATTTTGGTCTCTAACATTATACAATTATTTAGCAAGGTTTTTTTCATATGGAAAAGGTTCAGCTTATCAAGTTTCTTTCCATTGCTTCTTACAAAGTGTGAATCTCTATGGGCGAGCAGGCTGGTGTTTCAGTTGGACCAAAAAAAACCTTTTCCTTTGGCATACTTTTGTTTTTGACGGTTTTCTTTCACAGGTTTCAGGAAACTATCTCAGTTCTTAGAGCACTTAGAGCAATGTTTTTCCCTTGATGTCTGCAATATCACTTTTTTTAATATATATATATAATATATAAATTTGGGTGTACAAGGAACAACTTCATATTTTCTAAAAGGCCTAGAAAATTGGGATGCGTCTCTTCTTTCCCTTTATTAAAGTTGGTCATTTCTTTAAATTAGCAGAAGGTGGCGGTTCCAGCTGAAAGTAAGATTTTTTTAAAATGAGTTGTTCAGGGATCTTGTAATCTAAGATTAAAAACTATTCTCCCTTAAATGCCTAATTTGCTGTTGAGTTAAAGTAACAGGAGAAACATCTTTTATACTGATTATTTTATCTTTCTTTATCTGTTGAAGGATATATGTAATGTGTTTATTGTCTGTAGCAATAATTTTGAAGGGACACTGTAGGTCCATCTTTTTTGTTTGTTTTTATCTTTTTATTTTTAAAGAATGAGGGAATTGGCCAATTAATTATTTAATGCATAAGATTAGTTAGTGGTGAAAATTGAAATAGACTATAGATCTCCTGATTCCCAGTTGGTGGGAGTAAATATAAGTTAGAGTTTTAAAATTTATATTTATCTTTGGTAGTCTATATTAAATAGACTACTATACAAGAGGGTAAATGTACTTTGATGAGTTAACTCAATTTGACCATTTAGCTTAATTTTTTTCCACCTTGTATGTATCCTAATGCAATTTAGTTTAATTTTGTCAACTGTTAGCTTCAGATACATGAAATAACATTGTGGGTAACCTTTGGTGAACTTTTTTTTAACATCTTGCTTACATGATTATCCATATGTGTGGAGCTATGGCTCCTGTAGGTCTCATTACTGTAAAACATACATAATTATGTACTAATTCTATTATTAATGGGCATTTGGATGTTTCAGTTATTGGTAATTACAAATAATGTTTCTTTGAACATTTATTATATGATATACGTAAACCTTTGTATTTATAAAGTATATACCTAGAATAGTATTGCTCGATTGTAGAGGATACTTAACTTGAATTTTGCGAGTTAATGTCATTCTACTTATCAAAGTGATACTAATTCCTATTAGTATTGTATGAGAATTCCTGACACTCGGTATTTTTGTCACCATTTGGTATCATCAGACTTTTGAAAATTTTAAATTCGTGGATATGTAGTATTAATTATGATTTTAATTTGCTTTCTCATGATTTATAGGGATTGTATTGAATCTTTAAACAATTTTGGGAAATACTGACATCTTAACACTATTAAGTTAATAAATACAAGAAAACTCTTTTGGATACTCATAACTACCGTGTTTCCCCAAAAATAAGACCTACTTACAGGTTTCCTTCTGAGTGAAATATAAGGCATGCCCCCAAAAATAAGGCCCGCCCCCCCCCCCCCCCCCCCCCAGGCTCTGTCTCAGAAAGCTATTGCTAAACATGAGAGATTTGGTCCACTGGTTCTGAAAGAAATGGAGTCGCAAGAAATTCACCAGGATATTCAGGAATTGGATTGTTATGATGATGTTCCAGAAGATGATGACATGATTGTCATTGAATAAATGAGTAAATTCTTGATACTGTAGGATTCACAGTTTGTCTGGTTTGTGTTGACAACTACCATACTACCGTATACAGGTAATAAATTTCCTTTATTTTCATTTAACAATAAATGTGTACCGTATTCTTCTTCCTGGAAAAATAAGACATCCCTGAAAATAAGACCTAGCGCATCTTTGGGAGCAAAAATTAATATAAGACACTGTCTTATTTTTGGGGAAACCGGGTATGTGCCCATTATGTGAAGTGTTTGTTAACATTTGTTCAAATCTTCCATGTGTTTGTTTTCATCTGCTTACTTTTAAAATCAATTACTGAAAAGGCACTACACTGATTAGTTTCAAGTTCGTCTTGTAAGTCTGTCAATTTTGCTTTTTTTTTTGAGGATTTGTTATGTGCTTATGCAGTCTAGCTGTGTGATACAAAATTCATTAGTGTAGAATAGGCTATTAATAAATATTTTGTAGAGTATTATAGAACTGTGATGGCTTTATTGATTTATTTCTAAAAAAAAAAAATATCCATAATGTTTACTATGTTTTTCTAAACGTAAATTGTTTAGAAGGTAACATTAAGTCTGAGGTTTTCTATCTTTTACTCTAGGCAGCACACTTCTGCTTTTGTTCCTTCATCAGGGCGAATTTATTCCTTTGGACTTGGTGGGAATGGGCAGTTAGGAACCGGTTCAACAAGCAACAGGAAAAGTCCTTTTACTGTGAAAGGAAATTGGTGCCCATATAATGGGCAGTGTCCACCAGATGTTGGTAAGTTCTGTTATACACATATTAAAGTTATTGTTAAAATGTTGCTCTTAAATCATAAAGTTTTCTGTTTTAAATAAAGAATTCAAGACACATTGTTTAGTGAAAATCAGACACAAAACAGTGTCTATGGTTGCTTGGTTTGTTTATATTTGAGTATATGCAAAAGGAAAGTTGGGATAAATAGAGTATTAAAAGTCATTTCAGAGACTTGGACATAAGGGAACTGGGTGGTGACTAGATATAAGTGGAAAGGAATATTTTTTGTTTTTTATTTTTAATTGTAAAATACACATAACATAAAATTTATATAACATAACCATTTTTAAGCGTATTTTTACGCTTAAAATTCATATTGTTTTGCAGCCATTTTCAAACTTCTTTCATCTCTTAAAACTAAAACTCATTCATTAAACACTCTCCCCATTTACTCCTCCCACCAGATGACATCCACTATATTCAGCATTTTGTCTGTAAAAATTTGACTTGATCTAGGTATCTTAGATGAGTGTAACCATGTAGTATTTGTCTTTTTGTGACTGGATTATTTAATAAATTTAGCATAATCTCCTTAAGGTTTGTCCATGTTGCAGCACATGTCAGAATATTCTTTTTAAGGCTGCATGATACTTTATTATATGTCTATACCACATTTTATCCACTCATGCATTGATGGGCAATAGGATTGTTTCTACTTTTTGATTATTGTGAATAATGCTGCCATAAACATGGGTATTACAAATACCTCTTTGAGACCCTGCTTTCAATTCTTTTAGGTACATATAGGATTTTAAAATTGTTAACATTTTTTTTTTTTTGGAATCTATATTTATAAAAACCTAAGTGACCGAATGACTGGCTGATAGCTATGACACACACCACCAGAGGGCAGAATATATTGTCTATTTAAAATATTAAAATTTAGACCTACTGAGGATCCAAGATGGCTGCTCGGGTAGACATCTAGCCGCGGCAGCACACAACAATTTCAATGGAATACAACTAAAATGTAGAGTGGACATTGCCCAGAGCTACAGGTAGTCGACTGACTGAAATTTCTACAACAAGAAGGAAAGAGAAAACCAGAAAGAAAATCAGAGGAGCTGAAAAAAAGCCTAAGGTACGGAGACATGCTGCACGCGCCTGCCCGCCCGCACGCGCGCACGGAGAGGTCGCAGCCAGAGAGGAGGAGAGGGCGGGGAGCCGCCTTTCCTTCCCTAGCAGGAAGGAAATAAAACCTCCACCCTGGGCTGAACCCCCGAACCGGCAGCGCTGAGCCCCCCCGAACCGGCAGCGCTGAGCCCCAGTTATGGGCCAGACCCTGGGGACCCAGGCTCCGGCGGGAGGAGACAGGGCCGTGAGGCGGAAAAACGGCGAAAGGCAGGGCCCCGGGAGTCGCGCGCAATGCGCGCAGAGGACTGAATGTTGACTCTGATGCTGGGTTACCCTAGCCGGAAGAAACAAGGCCTCTGGCGGCGCTGAGCCTCAGTCCGGACTGCTCCGAACCCCAGTTCTGGGCCAATCCCTGGGGACCCAGGCTCAGGCAGAGGGAGACGGGGCTGTGAGGTGGAGTCCTGGGAGAGCGGCGAAAGGCCGGGCCCCCGGGACTCGCGCAAACTGCGCGCAGAGGACAGTCTGTGGGACTCGCGCAAACTGCGCGCAGAGGACAGTCTGTTGACTCTGATGCTGGACTTCCCTAGCGGGAAGGAGAAAAAAAAAGCTCTAGGCTGGGGAAACGCAGAGGGGAGCGGAAGCCCCTGCCGGACTCCAGCCAACCGGGCACCAGCAAGGAGGCGGGCCACGGGGCCCCTGGGGGCGTGAGTGCCCCTGAGCCTTTGACCACTGAGCTCGGGCAATGGAGCCAAGGCCGGGGGCTGCTTCCTGGGCGGCGCCGTCCCGGCAACAGGCTGAAGCAGCACAGGAGCCCGCGGAGAACAAAGGGGTGCCACAGGCCAACCTGCTGAGCTCCCAGGACAAGGAGGAAGAAACCAAAGAAGTTCTCAATGTGAAGAAATCAAGTGAGAGCAAACAATAGTAAAATTACTTAAGAAAGAATACAAAGAAGATCTTGAAAAATCAAAGACTAAGTCAGAACTCAACTCACCAGCCAACATTACAACATAAATGCGTTTTAAAAAGAAAAAAAAAAAGGACAGAATGTTGGAACAGCGACGGCCAGGCCTAGAGTGGCCAGGCACAAGGCAGTGGCAGCCAGACCCGGAGCAGCAACGGCCAGGCCCCAGAACAACAGCAGCCAGAACCAGAGCATCAACAGCCAGCACTGGAGTAGCCAGACCTGGGGCAGTGGCAGCCAGGCATGAGGCGGAGGCGGCCAAGCCCAGGGTGGCCAGTCCAGGAACACCCAGACCCGGAGTGGCCGGGCCCGGAGAAGCCGGGCCCAGAGCAGCCGGGGTGGGAGCAGCCAGACCCAGAACAGCAGTAGCCAAGCCCAGAGCATCCAGGTCGGGATTGGCCAGGCTCGGAGCAGCCGGGCCCGGGGCAGCCGGGCCCAGAGCAGCCGGGTCAGGTGCGGCCAGGCCCGGAGCAGCGGCTGCCAGGCTGGGAGCGGCCAGGCCCGGGGGAGCAGGCGGGTCGGGTGCGGCCAGGCCCGGAGCAGCAGCTGCCAGGCTGGGAGCGGCCAGGCCCGGGGGAGCAGGCGGGTCGGGTGCGGCCAGGCCCGGAGCAGCGGCTGCCAGGCTGGGAGCGGCCAGGCCCGGGGGAGCAGGCGGAGCTGGTGCGGCCAGGCCCGGAGCAGCGGCTGCCAGGCTGGGAGCGGCCAGGCCCGGGGAAGCAGGCGGGTCGGGTGCGGTCAGGCCCGGAGCAGCGGCTGCCAGGCTGGGAGCGGCCAGGCCCGGGGGAGCAGGCGGGTCGGGTGCGGTCAGGCCCGGAGCAGCGGCTGCCAGGCTGGGAGCGGCCAGGCCCGGGGGAGCAGGCGGGGCTGGTGCGGCCAGGCCCGGAGCAGCGGCTGCCAGGCTGGGAGCGGCCAGGCCCGGGGGAGCAGCCGGGTCGGGTGCGGCCAGGCCCGGAGCAGCGGCTGCCAGGCTGGGAGCGGCCAGGCCCGGGGGAGCAGGCGGGTCGGGTGCGGCCAGGCCCGGAGCAGCGGCGGCCAGGCTGGGAGCGGCCAGGCCCGGAGCAGCAGCAGCCAAGTCCAGAGCAACTAGGTCGGGAGCGGCAGTGACCAGACCCGGAGCAGCTGGTTGTGGAATGAACCAGAGCAACAGAGGCCAGGCCCTGAGCAGCCAGGCCCAGAACAGCTCGCTCCTTGCCTGCCCCTGCCCCACGGCTGCTTCTCAGACATGGCTGGAAACTTTTGTGGGAACTTGAGGGTCTGCTGAATCAAGTGATGAAGGCTTAGATCTGGATGTGTTGAGTTAGTTTAGGACTGGGGTGTTGATCTGTGAGTGCCTTGGGTGGGGCCTGGATGAGGCTGGTTGACCTAGTGGGAAATGTCTTTTGTGTGAAGTGTATCATTGGGCATGTGGAGGTATTATTGATATGAGAAAATGCTAAGTAACTGATTTACTATCTGAAAAGGGATTTACTATTGGGGAAATTGAGGGAAGAAGAGACTGAACATAAACTGCACCTATGGATGAGGACAATGGGGGATGGGGGGGGGACGGAGGGTGGGGTGGGAACCTGGTGGCGGGGGGAAGAAATGAGGAACCTTTGTAATAATATGAACAATAAAGATTGATTTAAAAAAATAAATAAATAAAAATAAAATAAAATATTAAAATTTAAAAATTTGCTTTATATCCCCAGTGCTTTAGCCAAATATATAATTTATTTATTTTTATTTTCTATTCTTTCAATAGATCTGGTTATTTTTCATTGTTATTAATTAACTAGAGGCCCAGTGCATGAATTCGTGCACAGGTGAGGTCCTCCTCCTCCTCCTGCTCCCCACAAGTCATGGCCGATTGAGCCGGGTGATTGGTGGGCTGGCCCCGCCTCTTGGTCGAACTCCCTGTTGAGGGGACAATTTGCATATTACCTTTTTATTATATATTTTCCTTAAAGAATTTGAAAATTAAGGGCTATTTATTTGATATGCTACAGCCAAAATGTCCTTGCACACATCTTCTATATATATAAAAGCCTAAGTGACTGTTACTAGTGGTTACTATGACACGCACTGTCATCAGAGGACAGATACTCAATGCAGGAGCTGTCCCCTGGTGGTCAGTGAGCTACCACAGCCAACCTCCCATGACCGACCAATCTCCCGTGGTCCCTTCCCGCAACCAGCCAGCCCCAATCAACCTCGATCAGCCCCTATTGCCTGCCAGGCCCAGGGACCTCACCTGTGCATGAATTCATGCAGTAGGCCTCTAGTATATAATAAAAGGCTAATATGCAAATCAACCAAGTGGTAGAACAACCATTTGCTATGACCAGGGAGAAGATGCACAACAAAGCAGCTGCCCACTGGTGGTCAGAAGCATCACTCAGCCAGAATCCGGGCTCACAGCTCATGGTTGGCGAGCACAGTGGTGGTGGCATGAACCTCTTCCACCTCTACAACAGTACTAAGGATGTCTGACTGCCTGCTTAGGCCCGCTCCCCAGAAGGAACAGGCCTAAGTCATCAGTCAGACACCCCCTAAGGGCTCCCAGACTATGAGATGGCACAGGCCAGGCTGAGGGACCCTCCCCCATTCCTTTACTGTACACAAATGTCATGCACCAGACCTCTAGTATATAAATAATTTGCCTTTTACTTACCATCATAAACTCTTCTTCAGAATTGTTGCCTTATTTTATCTCTGATTTTCTTTGGACTTTTTCTCTGAGTTGTGGAACTTGAATCTGTTGAGACTTTATTCAGTTACTAGAGGCCTAGTGCATGAAATTTGTTCCCAGGGTTTGGGGGCGCTCAGCTTGGTCTGCACCCTCTCCTATCCAGGACCACAAGGATCAGGCCTAAACCAGCAGTTGGACATCCCTCACGCAATCTGGGATTCTGGCTCCTAATCACTCATCTGCCTGCCTGCCTGCCTGCCTGCTTGCTCCTAACTGCCCTCCCCTGCCAGCCTGATCATCCCTAACTGCTTTTCCCTGACGGTCTGATGGCCCCTAACTACTCTCCCCTGCTGGCCTGATCGCCCCTAACCACCTCTGCCTCAGCCCCCGCCACCATGGCTTTGTCTGGAAGGAGGACTGGATGACTGGAAGATACCCGGTTGACCTGGTCTAATTAGCATATTATCCTTTTATTAGTACAGCTCAGCATACTATGAAAAGGTCATTAACTTTTTATTATGAATAACCTTGAAGGTTCTTGTTTGTTTGTTTGTTGTTTTTGGTAACCAAAGGGCTATCTCAGTTATACTTCTATTTTGCGAAGTTCAAGATATGATACTCTTTTCTTTTTGTTTGATTTTTATATATGGAATATGGCTTTATTTCTTCCAATTACTTATGTTTGGAATACACATTTATTTTAGTACCCTGTTTCCCCGAAAATAAGACCATGTCTTATATTAATTTTTTTCTCCCAAAGTTGCACGAGGTCTTATTTTCAGGGGATGTCTTATCTTTCCATGCGCTAAGTCTTATTTTCTGAGGATGTCTTATTTTCAGGTAAACATGGTAGTAGTGTTCTTTTTCTTGTGTCCTCAGCAGCATATTGGCATTTTATTGTATCAGTTTCTTCCATAAAGGGTACTAATAAACGAGTAAGAATTTTGTATTTTGAAGCAGAATGGCTATTGTAAAGAATCATGTATTTCAGTTTATATAACTTAGTCAATTAGGACTGCATATTACTATCTTGGAATTATTTGTATTAAAATGAGAAAGGAGATGGAGTTTTAAAATTAGTTATTTTGTTACAATTTTGTTTCATCAAAAAAATATTGGTTCACAGTAGCCAACATCGATCAGTTCAAGTGTCCATCTACAAATGAATGAATGAAAAATGTAATATGTACATGTAATCAAATAGTAGTCATTCATAAAAAAATGAAATTTTGGTCTATGCAACAACATGAACCTTGAAAGCATGTTAAGATACAAAAGGATACAAATAATCATGTTAAGATACAAAAGATACAAATAATCATGATTCCTCCTACATGAGGTACCTAGAACAGTGAAATTTATAAAAACAGAAAATAGTATAGAGGTTACCAGGGGAAGAGGAGAATGAAGAGTTATTGTTTAAAAGGGTACAGAATGTCTAGGATGGTTAAAAAAAAAAAAAAAAACATTCTGGAGATGAACTATGATGATAGCTGCACATGATTTTAAGTGTGCTTAATGCTGCTGAATTGTACACTTTATTTATTTATTTTTAATATATTTTATTGATTTTTTTTTTACAGAGAGGATAGGAGAGGGATAGAGAGCTAGAAACATTGATGAGAGAAACATCAACCAGCTGCCTCCTGAATCCCCCCCAACACTGGGGATGTGCCCGCAACCAAGGTACATGCCCTTGAACGGAATCGAACCCGGCACCTTTCAGTCCATAGACCAACGCTCTGTCCACTGAGCCAAACCGGTTTCAGCTGAATTGTACACTTTAAAATATTTAAAATGAATCCTTGGACTGAAGGATCACAGATTCGATTCCCTTCAAGGGCACATACCTTGGTTGCAGGTGTGTGCAGAAGGTAACCAATAGATGTTCCCACGTCAATATTTCTCTCTCCCTTCCTTTCACTCTCTAAAAATCAATGGGAGGAATATACTTGGGTGAGGATTAACAAAAAATAAAAAAAATTTAAAAATAAATACATAAAATAGTTAAAATGATAAATTTTATTATGTACCTTTTACAACACTATATATACTATATACTATGTTACATATACAGTGTGGGGCAAAAGTAGATTTACACTTGTGAGTACACCAAACAGTTTATTCTTCTATTGTTATTTATAAATTATTGTAGTTTTTATATAACTGAGCCTACTTTTGCCTCACCCTGTATAATGGTTGATAATTATTTGCACTATATAAAGGTGTGACATACACACTAGTTAAATGTGAATTTAATTTACTCAACTCCTCCATAGGTGAAGTCTGTAGCCCAGTGTAAATCACATTGTTAACATAACTTAATCTGTTGTGGCCTTAAGGACATAGATAACACTTTTTTTAAAAAAATATATATTTTATTGATTTTATACAGAGAGGAAGGGAGAGAGATAGAGAGTCAGAAACATCGATGAGAGAGAGTCATCGATCAGCTGCCTCTTGCACACCCCCTACTGGGGATACGCCCGCAACCAGGGTACATGCCCTTGACCGGAATCGAACCCAGGACCTTTCAGTCTGCAGGCTGATGCTCTATCCACTGAGCCAAACCGGTCCCGGCAAGATAACACTTTTTGATAGATATTCCAAGGACTTTGTAGTTCCTTAAAGCTGGCCAAAGGGGTAATGTTTGGACACCTGTATTAGTTTGCTAGGGCTGCTATAACAAAATATAAACTGAGCGGCTTGAACAACACAAAATGTATTGACTCAAAGTTCTGGAGGCTAGAAATCCAAGATCAAGGTATTGGCAGGATTGCTTTCTTCTGAGGGCTATAATGGAAAATCTGTTCCATGTATCTCTTCTGGCTTCTGGGAGTTTGCTGGCAGTCCTTGGCATTCCTTCCTTAGTAGATTTCTGCCTTCATTTTCACATGGCATTCTTTCTGGGTGCATATCTAGGTCCCAATTATTTTCCTTTTTTATAAGGACTCCAGTCATCTTGTATTAGGAGCCTATCCTATTTCACTATGACCTCAATTAATTATATATGACATCAATGTTTTTCTCTCTCATCCCACTTTACCCCACTATCTTAAAAGAGAAAAGAAAATGAAAGAAAAAAAGATACAGATACATTTTTGTGTTCAGGCCAGAAGACTTCTAAACTTACTAATTGCTGCTTATGCTTGTGGGATCATTTAGTGTTTGTACTTGGTCAGTCTCATTTCCATAGCAATTAGAATATTCCATATATTTTATATCGTTGGGTCCATGAATGGGAGGGTGATTAAGAGAAAATTCAGTAGCATATTTGATGCTTTGAAAAATGTGATATAAATTTTGATTTTTTTTTTTTCTTTTTTACATTTTTTCTCACAGACTCGGAAGAATCTTTCTGTGTAAAAAGAATTTTCTCAGGTGGTGATCAGAGCTTTTCACATTACTCTAATCCCCAGGTAATAGTAGTCATAAATAATTACTAAATTCAAATAAATTAGATGAAATTTTTCAACCAATAAATGTTTATATTTTATAAAGTAACTAGAGGCCCAGTGCACGATTTTCGTACACGAGGGTGGGTGTATGTGTCCCTCAGCTCAGCCTGCACCCTCTCCAATCTGGGACATCCCTCTCACTATTCAGGACTGCTGGCTCCTAACTCCTCACCTGCCTGCCTGCCTGATTGCCTCTTAACCACTTCTGCCTGCCAGCCTGATTACCCCCTAACCACTCCCCTGCCAGCCTGATCGACGCCTAACTGCTTCCCTGCAGACCTGATCACCCCTGCCCTCTTCTACTGGCCTGGTCACTCCCTACTGCCCTCCCTGCAGGACTGATTTTCCCTAACTGCCCTCCCTGCAGGACTGATTTTCCCTAACTGCCCTCCCTGCAGGACTGATTTTCCCTGCAGGCCTTGTTGCTCCCAACTGCCCTCCGTCAACTCAGTTACTCCCAAGTGCTTTCCCTGCAGGCCTGGGTCTCCCCCAGCTGCCCTCCCCTGCAGGCTTGGGTTCCCCCAACTGCCCTTCCCTGCTGACCTGATAGCCCAATACTGCCCTCCCCTGCTGGCCATCTTGTGGTGGCCATATGTGTATTTGAGTGATGGTCAATTTCCATATCACTCTTTTATTAGATAGAAAAAAATGCCTTACATTTTTTTCTCCTCAAGTTTACAAAATTTTGCTGATTCATTTAAGAAGTTTTTGTTTCAGGTATTTAGTAGATATTTACTTCTGTTTTTTAAAAAGCCAAATACTATACATACAATATTTGATTATATATCTAGGTTTAAATTATATGTAATATTTCTTCCCTCTGACTAATCTGCTTGTTTTAAAATGTAGAATGGTGGGCCACCAGATGACTTTAGATGTCCTGATCCTTCAAAGCAGATCTGGACTGTGAGTGAAGGTCTGATTCAAAAATGGCTGAGCTACCCCTCTGGAAGATTTCCTGTGGAGATAGCCAAGTAAGAAATACATTTTACCTGCACAGCACAAACTCCCAACTTTATGGTAGAGCAAACCTGTACTTAGGAGTTTTTATTTAAGTAAATATTTTGTTAAATATCACTTACTGAATTGTATAGAAAAGATAAAATGCCTAGAACTTCTATAAAAACGGGTATCTTAAGAGATCCTTCTTTTAGATTTAAGTTAGAATTCTTTCATATACATAATGATACATGAAATGCCTTTATTTTTTATTTTTTTATTTTTTAAATTTATTTTTATTTTTAAAAAATATATTTTATTGATTTTTTACAGAGAGGAAGAGAGGGATAGAGAGTTAGAAACATCCATGAGAGAGGAACATCGATCAGCTGCCTCTTGCACCCCCCCCACTGGGGATGTACCTGCAACCAAGATATATGTCCTTGACCGGAATCGAACCTGGGACCTTTCAGTCCACAGGCCTTTGCTCTATCCACTGAGCCAAACCGGTTTCGGCTAAATTTTTTTATTGATTAAGTGTTGTCCTTGACCGCTGGTTAGGCTTATATGCATGCACACAAATCTTTGATCTCTCCCCTTTATCCCTACCCTCCTCTACAGTCCCTCTGAGGTCCAACAGTCTGATCCATGCCTCCTTTTCTCTGGGTCAGTTCTTTTTTTTTTTTTTTTTTTTTTCTTTTTTAATATATTTTATTGATTTTTGTACAGAGAGGAAGGGAGAGAGATAGAGAGTTAGAAACATCGATGAGGGAGAGTCATCGATCAGCTGCCTCTTGCACACCCCCTACTGGGGATATGCCCGCAACCAAGGTACATGCCCTTGACCGGAATCGAACCCGGGACCTTTCAGTCCCCAAGCCGACGCTCTATCCATTGAGCCAAACCGGTCTCGACTCTGGGTCAGTTCTTATTCATCAGTCTATGTTGTTCATCATTTCCCCTAGATGAGTGAGATCATGTCCTACTGCAAAATGTGAATTGTCTTTGAATATTAAATGTAGCCACTTTAGGATTAGGATTGAGATGTTTCTTATAGCTTCCTAGTGGTCACTGTCTTAACTTTTATACTCCCAGGAAGATTTGAGTATTACTTTCTTGAATATTTTGCTTATAGATGAACTTATTTAACTTAAAGTTTTTCTAATTGTAGGTTGTGTAGGCTTCCAAAATAATAACATCCCAGATTACATTTACCAGAGTGTGAAATTAAGAAAATTAAATGTGCATGTTTTCACTTAAAAATTTATTTGAAAAACATCAGATGTGTTAATGAGTCAGATGAAAGTAATATTTGAAAAACTCAGGGATATATAGTAATATCTTTATCAAGTATTATTTAAGCAATCTTTAATTTATAAAATCTAAGATTCTAATTAAGTGTTGATAAGAAGAATGCTTGTAGAATTAAATAATCAATTAAACATTTATTTTAATTTTTATTAAAGAAAGGCAAACAGATTTTTTATTTTGTGATTTTTAAATTCCTTTTTAGTGAAATAGATGGAACATTTTCTTCTTCTGGTTGCCTAAATGGAAGTTTTTTAGCTGTTAGGTGAGTGGCAATTCTTTGATATACTGAATTTTTAAAGTTTATTATATTAAATAAGTGAAATAATTTTAAAGTTTTATTTTATTATTTTCTCTCTCTTTTTTTTAATAGCAATGATGATCACTATAGAACAGGTACCAGATTCTCAGGGGTTGATATGAATGCTGCTAGGCTTTTATTCCACAAACTTATACAACCTGATTATCCTCAGATAGCTCAGCAGGTTTGTTTGTTTTTAATTGCCTCCTGTTGTATTTAATTGTAACCTGTTGAGTGTTTTATTCCATGTTACTATATGTTTATAGCCTAATTTACTTTACAGTTTCAGACTCTTCATTATGGTGCCCTTTGTATGGTTTTATTAAATACAGTCAAACCTCGGTTCTCAAATTGTTCTCAAGCAATTCATTGTCCAAGTTGTTCCCTGAAAAAAATGTCCTGGTTGTTGAACAAATTTCCCTTCTTGACAAAAAGCATTTCTCAGGCTATAAAGGAGAGCATGCAAGTCAGTTTACCAGCTATCATCTCGTTAACATTTTAGGAAGTTATGCTGTGAACATTTTTGTTTTTGTTTTTGCTTTTTTCACTGGTGAAATGGGCAGTTAGTACAATTTTAAAAACATAAAGAGGCCATCAAGAATACTAGTGTTGCTAAGAATGTGAAAGAAACAATGATCACAGGCAATTGAATAGGTTAAACACACACACACACACACACACACACACACACACACACAAAACAGTTGCTGGTTTAGATAAAGGGAAAGCAGTCAGCCAGTGACAGAATTTCAGAGGCATTGATACGTGAAAAAGTAAAGATGCTACAGGCTGACTTCCTAAAGGACACCCCTGGAACCAGAGCTGAAAGTGATTCCTTTAAGGATAGGAGAGGTTGTTTCGGTAAATTTAAGAAAAAAGTGTTAGTTTATAGATTGACCAGGGCTTTAGACATATATTCTATCTAAGAAAGGTTAAAACAGGGTATCTGGAATGAATTCATTTTGGTTTTCAAATAAATCGTTTTTTGAAGAGCCTTCCAGAATGAATAAGTTCAAGAACTGAGGTTCCACTGTATATAAATATAATAATTCATTACACATTAAAATATTTGTATTTTAGTTGTCAAATATCTGTAAATCTTTTCAGACATCTGGCACAGACCCTTAATTGCCCAATATTACCATGTTGTTTAAGTCATTTTATAATTGTAGAAAGAGAATTTAAATGAAACTTGCATACAAGAATTTTTTAAATTTTATTGTGCTCCAAAGTACATTGCAAGACTCAGTCATTGCAAGACTTTTTTCTTTCACTATTTTATGTTTGCTGTAGTATAAGATTATCTTTCTGTTTTTATATTTTTGGAAAGTACATTTATTTTAAATGAAGTAGGTTTTACTTTTTGTCAAAATATAGGTGGCAGCTAGTTTGGAAAAGAATCTGATTCCTAAACTGACTAGCTCCTTGCCTGATGTTGAAGCATTGAGGTTTTATCTTACTCTACCAGAATGTCCCCTGATGAGTGATTCCAACAATTTTACAACAATAGCAATTCCCTTTGGTACAGCTCTTGTGAACTTAGAAAAGGCACCACTGAAAGTACTTGGTAAGAATTTAAATTTTTTTTTCTTTTATAAATGAAAATGCTCCAAACTTCTTATTTACTGTATTGCTCTTTGAAAATTTTCTACCTTGCTTATTTGACATTGTCTTAGGGAAAAATAAACCTGTTTTTTCTAGTCACTTGATGCTAGTTGTTGAAAGTATTAACATTTTTTATCAAACACGGTGGCAGAGACTGTATCAGGAAAGATAAAAGTTGTTTTTCATATTCCCATCTTCTCCAGAGTGATCTTGCTATTAAAAAAAGTAAAGGAGAAGGAACAACTAAAACTGAACAAACATGGTATTAAATCCTCCTTGAATTCTGTTAACCCTTTGCATTCTTTCCCTCACTTTTTTTGTTTGTTTTTTAAGGGTATTCCATGTCTTCCGAATGAAGTGTTTTTGTTTTTAATATGTCTTTATTGATTTCAGAGAGGAAGGGAGAGGGAAAGAGAGATAGAAACATCAATGATGAAAAAGATTCACCTATTGGCTACCTCCTGCTTGTCCCCCACTGGGGATCAAGCCTGCAACCCAGGCATGTCCCCTTGACCAGTATCGAACCCAGAACCCTGCAGTCTGCAGGCCAGTGCTCCGTCCACGGAACCAGCCAGGGCTCACTTGATGTTTGATTTATTTCTCTGCATGTAAACGAGATTCTACTGCTTATTTGATCTTATAGTTTTCTTTCCCTTTGCTCTCATTTTTTTACCTAAATTTTTCTGATTTTTTTTTTTTAAATGTGTTTTTATTGATTTCAGATAGAGGGAGAGAGAGATAGAAACATCATTGTTTAGAGAAAATCATTGCTCTGCTGCCTCTTACACACCCCCTACTAGGGATCCACCCTGCAACCTGTGCATGTTACTTGACTGGGAATTGAACTGTGACCTCTTGGTTCATGCTCAACCATTGAGCAACACTGGCCAGCCAATTTTTCTTATCTTAATTTTTCTAATTGTAAAGATTTCATCTGTATATTCAGGCTGTTATTTTTTTTATTTTTATTTTTTTGCTACAGTTAACCCAGTGCTTTCCTTCCGAATTAATATTTGTTGGTATGGGAAGCTGAAATATATGAAAGTAATAAAACCAGTACAATAATTTATAGGCTGAAGATGAGCATTGGAAGCAACAAGTAAGGGATAGAATTTTGGAATCCTAGGGAATGAACTAGTAATAGAAGAGAGAAGCAAGGACTTAACAATTAGAATATCATTTGTTTTGTCAGAAGTTTTTGTATTCCTTCTGTCTGCCTCTTAGGATTGAGTACATGTAGTTAATTAACAACAAATAGTGAATGTGGGAAATGACAGACATTTTTTATTGTTCAACTCCTGTATTTGATTTTCTGGAGCACCTTGCCTTTTAAGGTGGTGTTTCATAATATTTCAACTTTGTGTTGAGAGAGAAAGCTTGGAAAGATACTTAAATATTGGAGCAGGACAGTTCTAAAGTGTTTTATTTAAAAATTAAAATTCTAATTTCCAAAGCATTTTTTAATAATAACTGGTTTTAATATTAGGTATAATAGGAAACCATAATTGTAACTTTATTTTTACTTTTATTTTCTTTTTATTGGATGACACTGGTTAACAAAATTATACAGGCTTCAGGTGCATGATTCAACAACTCATCATCTGTATATTTTTGCTTTTGAGAGCTTTTAGGACAGTATTTTTTAACTTGAGGGTGAGGTGAGATCAATAAACCCTCGAAATGTTACATAAAATACTGTGTCATGCGTATTTTCCTGTAATTTTCAAAGAGCCACTGCTTTAGAAGAAAAGTTGGTATTATTTTGAAAATCATGATTCTTTAAGTTTATTTTATTTGTGTGTTCACCTTTCAATAACAGAAAACTGGTGGTCATTACTTGAACCTCCACTATTCCTCAAGATTGTAGAACTTTTTAAGGAAGTTGTGGTACATCTTTTGAAACTCTACAAGATTGGCATTCCCCCTACTGAAAGAAGAATTTTCAACAGTTTTCTTCATACTGCATTAAAGGTTTTAGAAATATTACATAGGGTATGTCCAATTGTTTACTTTCCTTTCCCCATTGCTACTAACAGATTGATGATGCTTAATTTAACATTAATATATATTACAGATTTAGATTAGCATAAAAGATACATAATAGAATTTGAAAAAGTTACTTAAATTTTTCTTTAAAAGATTTAATACATCTGTATTTTGGAGCTTTGGTCTTATTTGACTGTTACAGATAATTATGGATAACTTGTCTGTAGTTGTGCAGACCAATAGTATATTAGTGAATTAGAATTCTCTTTATATATTCTTGTGAAGAACATAATTTGTTAGTTTAAATTACATGTTTTTTGTTATTTATAGGTGGTTGTCATTTAAAGGAGACTGAATCCTAGTTGTGATTATGTGAATCAAAACTCATATTCTTTTACTGTTGAGTACTGATGGCTTCAGTTAAAGTAAAACTTCATTAGAAACAAATGACTAACTTGAAATTGGAATTATATATAATTCATTAATTTCCCTATTATTCTTTCCTGCCCTTCCTCTCAGTATGAGAAATAGTACCCTTTATACTTGTACAGTTCAAAGTTATATGAAGAAGTAGTCTCAGCTGTTTCATTAAAGATGGATTTGAGACATCCTTGGTAGCTGGTAGGTATATATCTGTTATGCCATTTGGTATTCTTGAGATGCTATTTTCTTTTCGGGAGACATGATCTAAGGGAGAAGCTTATGTTTGTAGCCTTACAAGTGACTAAAAATCTCATATAAACCTTTACTCTTTAGTTTCCTCCCATTAACAACTTCCATGTTTTCAGACTCTTCTTACCTAGTACCAAGGTGAATAATGAGAGAATAAAAAAGATAGTCCTTCTGTTCTCTGTAAGAAAGAACTCTAATGGAGCATTTATTATTTTTTTTTATTCTTTTAGTAAAGTTCCTGATTATTTTCTAAATGACTTGACTTTTTGAAATTACTCTTTTATATTGAGAATGTCCAAGATTTCTTGGGGGGTGGGAGGTCATTTCTCTTCACTTTATAATCAAGGAAATGATGGCCATTTCTTTCCCTGAAAATAATCATTTTTATGTTTGCCCTTCCCAGAACAAGCCTTTCTTATAGCACTTTAGGGTTAACTGGATTCTGCATTAATCTAGTAAGAAAATTCTCTGACTTCATGGGATGAGCCTCTATTTTCTATATGCTTTTTGTTTAGGATTCAAGAGATTAATTAGATTTTTTTTCTTTCTTCTGGACTCTCTTTTTCTACTCCGTTTTATCAGCCAGACCTGATTTCCAAATATTTATCCTTTGTCCCTTCCTTCTTAGTACTTATCTTTATTTAACCCTTGATATAGATATAGATATGGTTGCTTCAGCTGTGTCTTTTACCACAAGGAAAAGGAAGGAGAGCAGAATAGGAAGGAATTGAATCTTTTGCCTTTCATAATTACAGACAGAATTTGAGCAAATAACTTATCATCTAAGCTCAAAAGCTCCAATTTCTACTGAAGAAGAATTTTACAGGATTTCATCTCCAGAGACCTTTCATTGGAGCCATGCTAGAGACTAGAATCCTAATTTTTTCTAGCTGAAAGGGAAGAGAAACTCATCTAACAATGGCCAAGATTAGACTGCTTTGTATATAATACTAGAGGTCCCGGTGACTGAAATTTGTGCACCGGTAGGGTCAGTAGGCTTGGCCGCGATCAGGGACAATCTTCCCAGCTGTCAGCAGCCGGCCCCATCCCCCACCGCTGCCATTGGTGGCCTTCTGTATGGGGGGCCCCTCTTGCACCTGCCTTGGCCTGGCATCACCCATGTCTGCTGCCACCCACCTCTGGTTTCCTGTTCCCTATTGGGCGATCAGAACCTGCTGGCCAGGGGGAGGAGCCAAGAGGTTGGCTGGCAGGCCTCGATTGGGCGATTGGGGCCTACAGGCTGGGGGCAGCTCCTGCTTTGAGCTTCTGCCATCTGGTGGTCAGTGCGCATTATACCCACCAGTCTGTCCGCCGTCCAGTCGATTTGCATATTACGCTTATAGTTATAGATATAATTGATTTTAGAGAGGGAGGGTGGGACAGAAGAGAGAGAAACATCAATGATGAGAGAGAAACACTGATTGGTTGCCTCCTACATCAGAGAACGCAACCTGAGCATGTGCCCTGACCTGGAATCAAACTATGACCTTCTGGTTCATAGGTCAATGCTCAACCACCTAGCCACATAAACCAGGTAGAATATCATTTGGATATTAATTCATGTGAGCACATTATATTTATTCCTTATTTAACTTTTTAAACTTTGGTTGATATTTTGCCCCTTATTCTGAATGTCAAAGGTCATAAACCAGTAAGTAGCAGAGTCGAAATACAAATCCAAGCTTTTGCTTCTTTTAATGTATTCCTGTATTGGCAGATATAGTAATATAATATGTTTAACAGGTGGGTTGCTTTTATTTTTATTTATTTTTTATATACTCACCTGAGGTGTGTTTTTATTGATTTGAGAGAGAGAGAAGAAAAACAGGATTGGTTGCCTTCTTTACACACCCTGTGAATTACCCTAGGTATGTGTCCTAACTGGGAATTGAACTAGTAGTGACTTTTTGGTATACTGGACAATGCTCTAACAGACTGAGCCATACGCCCAGGATAAGGATTTTGCTTTTATTTTATGCCCCTAGATCTAGTGGTTCATCTTTCCATGTTAGCTGATGATAGAAAAAACAAAACGTATTTCTTCCCTAACTGGTTTTGCTCAGTGGATAGAGTGTCAGCCTGCAGACTGAAAGGTCCCAGGTTCGATTTCAGTCAAGGGCATATACCTTGATTGCGGGCACATCCCCAGTAGGAGGTGTGCAGGAGGCAGCTGATTGATATTTCTCTCTCATTGATGTTTCTAACTCACTATCCTCCTCCTTTCCTCTGTAAAAATCAATATAATATATATTTTTAAAAAGACCATATTCTAACTCTATTTGTGCTTCTTCCTGGCCTCTATAATTTTGAACAAGTCTTTTTCTTTATCACATGAAATGGAGAATTATCTTATGTAAGGATTAAAATACTGGCCTAATGGTTTTCCAGGTTTGGTGTATTAAGTCACACAACATACAGAATTATTATACCTTCATATGGTAGTGATTTCTTTTTTTTTTTATCACCAGTACGTCCATTTGACTTGATTCATTGGGTTGTGTGGAAACTAAGTACTTGTTTGAAATTATTACATACTCAAAAGCAGAATGATAATGTTATCAATTTCTTAAGCATCTTTTACTGGGAGTAGTTACTTGTCTTTCTTCTACCCCCTATTTTGGAGTAGACTTTACTTGAATGGAAATCTCCCATAAATGGATACTCATGGAAATTAACTATTGGGGATGTTTCGTTTTCATCTTCAGTGAAAACCAAGGTGCTTATCAGAAACTTACTTTTTCAAAAACACCTTAAAGTTAACAACTGTATATATCTTATTTTTTCTGCTCCGTGGTTAATAATTAGAAGTTTCCTCAAATAGTTTCCTTCTTTACCTAATCCTAGATCAAGATTAGGAACTAAAGAACTAGACTCTGTTTCCTAATCATTTTGTTCCTCCCTTATGTCATGTCCTTTGGAATGCTTTTGATTCAAAAATTATATCTGATGCTCCAAATGGCATAAGAAAGATAGTTTTATTATCTGCTGTTAAGAATGAATGCATTACCAGATAAATGAGTTTACTGGCAAGTAATTGGGTTATTTAGTAGTTTCTAAGTTTTTATACAGTAAATTATAGATACTGATATTCTTAATGAAAGGACTTATCTCGGCTTATCTAGTCGGCTAATCTTCTAAAATCAGTGATTTAAAAAGAATTCTTTTTGCAGTAAACCCTAAGATAAATGAAACAGATAAGACACACATCTCTATTTACTATATACCACCTTTGAAGAAGGTTTATAAGTCAGAATGCTAAGCTGTAATTAAAATGTGAAATAAAAGTGTTATGATCAAATATAATTTTATTTTGTCCATTTCAGGCAGTATACTGAATGTACAGGTTGATTTTTTACAAATATTTATTAAGTGCCTACTATGTGCTTTTCATTGTATTAGATGTTAAAGATGAGGTGATAAGGAAAAGATTTCTGCCCTTTTTAAATTATAAACTTAGAGCACTTTATTTTTGTACCCAAAATGTTCTTTACATCACTACTTTTTATAAAATGAGTTCAGTTACACTTTTTGAGTCTTGCTAGTTTTTTTTTTCAATTTATGAATGTAAATATATCTCATTTAGGTTTATTTTCTCTCAGAAATATTTTGTAGTTTCCAGAGGTCTTCCATATCTTCTGTAACATTGTTTAATATTTTGTTTTTGATAATTTTGTATTATAATTTAATTTTTTTCCAAGTATTTGTTTCTAGTATGAAGAAATTAAGTTCAACTTTATGTATTGGCCTTATACTGTGCGACCTTGATAAATTAATTTATAAGTTTCAATAATTCTCATAGATTTATTGGAATTTCTTAGTACACAATTGTGTTATTTTCTTGCCTTATTTTATTAAGACTGAGTACAATGTTGAGTGTAAGTGGTTTCAGTCGATATCCTTGCTTAGTTCCTAATCTTAGAAAGAAAACATTTGACAATTTACCAATAAGTATGATGTTCAAGCTATAGAGTGTGTGTATATTTAATGTTTTATTGATTTCAGAGAGAGAAAGGGAGAGGGAGAGACATAGAAACATCAGTGATGAAAGAGAATCATTTATGGGTAGCCTCCTGCAGGCCCCCCACAAGGGATTGAGCCTGCAACCCTGGTCTGACTGGGAATTGAACTGATCTCCTGTTCATGGGTTGATGTTCAATCACCGACTTATACCAGCTGGTTTGTGGAGTTTTTATTTTTAAGGTAGGCTTTATCTATCTGAAGAAGTTTCCATCTATTCCTGGTTTGTTGAAAGTGTTTAAAATAGGTGTTCAATTTTGTTAGATGTTCTTTTTGCAACTGTTGATTGAGATGAGTAAACTTTTTTTTTTTTTTTTTTGCTTCCCCTTCTCGTATAATGTAATAAAATGCATTGATATTTGAATATTATACCTACCTTACATTCCTGGGATAAACTCCACTTGGGCATTACATGTTATATTTTATATATACTGTTAGATTTAATTTGCTAATATTTGTTGAGGATTTTATATCTGTGTTCATAAAGGATGTTGATCTGATATTTTTGGTTTCTCATACTGCCATCAGCTTTTAGTATCAAGGTTATTCTGGCTTCATAAAATGAATTAGGGAATGATCCCTCTTTACATTTTCTGAGTTGGTTTAAGATTGGTATTATTTCTTTCTTAAACATTAGATAGTATTTAGGTGTATGGCTTATGGCTCAGGCTATGAAAGAATTCACAACTGAGTGAAGAGATAGATGCAGAAGGGAAGTTTATTTCACTTTCCCAAAAGGAAAGGGCCAATGCTTTGCTAAACAATACAAGGGCACAACAACAAACAAATGGTGGCTTCCCCTTTTAAAGCTTCACTGTTGCTAAGCAGAAGGAAGGGAGGAGAATCTTGGGCTGAAGTTAAGCAGACATCAGGGTGGGTTGTAATTGTTCTTCAGGAGACAGTTTGAGCAGATATCCTAGGGAGGTGTCTGATAGCACTTTTCTTAAGCCTTGTAAAACATGCTTTGAGCAAGAGTTCAAAAGAGGCATGTTGGAAGGGGAGGAGGGATTGGAACTTTCTATTAATCATCCCTGAGTTGTAAAAACAGGGAGGAGTTGTATGCAATAATGCAGCTTGAAAGTAGCTTATCTTTTCCTTCAGTTTGAACAGAGGGGTTGTTTGTTGCTAACAGTCTTGGATATAATTACTAAGTGCTTCTCATAAATTGTGGAAGGCTACAACAAGGGAAAAATAGGCCTTTTTTTCTATCCTAATAGAGAGCCTTGACCCTTGTGGCTCAGTGGGATAGCATGTTATTCCTTACACCATAGGTGGCAGGTTTTATTATGGGTCTGAACAATTTTTCTCTCTCATATTGACATCATCCCCCCCTTCCTCTTTGTAAAATCAGTTTTAAAAAGTATACCCTCTGGTGAGGGGGAAATGTTAAACTTACCAGTGAAACCATCTTGGTTTGGAGTTTTCTTTATGGAAACTTAAAAGTTTTTAACATTAAATTTTAAAAATAGCCGAAGCCGGTTTGGCTCAGTGGTAGAGCGTCGGTCTGCGGACTGGAAGGTCCCAGGTTCGATTCCGGTCAAGGGCATGTACCTGGGTTGCGGGCACATCCCCAGTAGGGGGTGTGCAAGAGGCAGCTGGTCGATGTTTCTCTCTCATCGACGTTTCTAGCTCTCTATCTCTCTCCCTTCCTCTCTGTAAAAAATCAATAAAATATATTTAAAAAAATTTTTTTTTAAATAAAGTGTAATTTGTTTTCTGTTTCTTCAGTCAATTTTGGTAAGATCTGTGTGGTCATGTTCTTTCTTTCATTCCTGGGTAGTGATAACTTGTGGCTTCGCTCTCATTTAATTTGGTTAGAGGCTTCTCAATTTCATTGGTCTTTTTATAAAACACATTTCCTTCACTGATTTTTCTCTAGCGTTTTTCTGTTTTCTTTCATCAATTTCTGCTCCTTATTTCCCTCTCTCTACTTGATTTTACCTTCATTTGATCATCTAAAATAATGGTTCTTAAATCAGAGGCTTAGATCATTGATTTTTAAAAATAACTTAATGCTTTAACTTTTCTTCTATATTCTTCTTTACCAACATCCCACAAATTTTTTTTTAATATATTTTATTGATTTTTGTACAGAGTGGAATGGAGAGAGATAGAGTTCGAAACATCAATGAGAGAGAGTCATTGATCAGCTGCCTCTTGCACACCCCCTACTGGGGATATGCCCGCAACCAAGGTACATGCCCTTGACCGGAATCGAACCCGGGGCCCTTCAGTCCCCAAGCCGACGCTCTATCCATTGAGCCAAACCAGTCCGGGCACATCCCACAAATTTTGACTTGTATTTTTATTTTTATTAAGTTCAAAATATTTTTTCTAAAGTCCCTATCTTCATGCTTCAATATCTGAATCATCTTTTGAGTCTTGACTCATGATTGATAGCTTTCCTCAAGACTTTTGTTTATTTTGCTTTTTTTGTTGTTGTCTATAAAATGGTAGAGGCTGAATTAAATAGATTAAAAAATCTGTAAATGGGTGCATCTCTTCTTCTTTGCCTGTTATTGTGGGGATTTAAATCAGTCTCTTCAAGAATTAAACTGGGATTGAGATTTTAGTTTTCTGTAGTACTATCATTCATTGTACTATAAGCCTCAAATTCTTCTAATGTTGCCTGATTTGTAAGATGGAGATGAAATGTCAAAGTGTTTTTCTCAGTACTTGTGCTTCAGACTGCATGCCTGCTCCTTAGAGGAGTTTCTTTCTTTATTCTTGCACCTTCTCACTGGTAAACTGATGCTGATTGTTAATGCTTTCAACATTGGTAGAGGAGAGAGAAAAGAAAGGTTCTTGGTTGTGCTATAGCTTCCATTTCAGGTATATTATGCGTACTTGGATCTTGAGGAGGGAAGTCTCTCAAAGTTTCTGCCCACCCCTAGCCCCCATAGCAGGGGTCCTCTAGTTCTACTGATATAAGATTCTGGGCTCAAGTCTGTTCCTGCCCCCCTTCCTACCAGGGACTGAGGGTTTTTCTCTCCTCCAGCATTCGATTCCCTTTTCTCAGTGGCTGAAAGCTTTTGCTCTTTCGACATGACAGAAGTATCTGAGCAGGTGTCAGGCCTTGTTCCTTTCTCACAGGAATTGGTAGAAGCCAATTCCGTGCACCACTGAGAGGCTCTTGATTGCTATTCCCAGTCATCTTCATGGGCATTGAAGATGTATGAATGAGTGCCAACTGTCTGAAGCTCCCAGGCGTTCTAGACTCTTTAAGTTATCCCATAGTCAGATATAAGCAGTTAACATTTTTGGTGATTTCTTTCTTTCGTGTATGACGGCAGTATCTCCTCCTGCTCCATCACAGGCGGCCCATTTCTGGCATCCTGTTTCTCTTCAGAAACTTCTGTCTGTCCTTGGAATTCAGATTAATTGGCTATCTTATGACTTTAGTTCCCTGGTGGACTCAAGAAAAACTTTGGAGCCGAAAATGGCTTGGCTCAGTGGATAGAGCCTCAGCCTGCGGACTGAGGGGTCCCGGGTTCGATTCTGGGCAAGAGCATGTAACTTAATAGCAGGCACATCCCCAGTGGGGGGCATGTAGGAGACAACTGATGGATGTTTCTCATTGATGTTTCTGACTCTGTGTCCCTCTTTCTTCCTCTCTGTAAAAAATCAACAAAATATAAAAAAGAAAAAGAAAAACTGGAGAATTTAGAAATGTTTTGTTTAATTGTCAATGTTCTAGGTTTCCAAATATCTTTTTGTTTACATTTAGTTTAATTCCATTGTGGTCAGAGAACATACTTTGTATACTTTGGATTCTTCTAAATGTTTTATTAAGACTTATTTTATGGTCTATTTTAGTATCTGTTCCATGTATAATTACTGGGTGGAATGTTTTATAATGGTTGGAAATGTTTAAATCTTCTATACTTAGGTGTGTGTTTTTCTATCAGTTACTGAGGGGTGTTAAAATTTTCAACTATGATAACTGGGACTGTTGATTTTCCTCTTCATGTATTTTGAAGCACTCTTATTTTCGTATTGCTGTGACTTCTTGATAAATTTATTACTTTGTCTTATGAATGTGCCATTTTTACTCTGAAAGTGCTTGTCTTGAAATCTATTTTAAGAGTACGCTTCCAGTTGCCTTCTTTTTTGGGGGTGTTCCCGTGCTTCCCAAGTCTCACCTTGAACACTTTCAGTTTAAGAGTTATTGAAAGATGTAGAGAGAATTTGCATACAGATTTTGCGGCTTCACCCTCTGGGATTCTTTCTGAGCTTTTTTCCCCCTTGCCGTCTGTCACGATGGCAGTCTCAGTTTCTGATCTGTGACTTCTCTGTCTGGTAAAACTGCTGTTTTCTGCTTGAACTCTTATCTCCTCTCAATTGGTTTAAAGCCACTCCCACGGGAAAAATTTGGGACCCCCATTTTTTTTAAATCCCATTACTTTGACTTTTTGGAGAATCCTGGCCAGTCTTCTTATAGAGCTTCTAGTTAGGATGTCTGTCTGATAGTTTGCTTAAGGTGATGTTTGAATTGTTCCTCTATCCTTTATTTCCTATAAACTGGAATTTAGATCAAGAGACTTGATTTTTGCTTCAGAGATAATGTCTATATTTCCTGGTGCATTATATAAGCTGGGTAATGTTTGATTATTCTAGTATTGGTGATGATTATTAGTTTGATCACTCAGTTAAGGTGGTTCTCTCCACTGTAAAGATTTGTTTTTCCCTTTGTAATTATTAAGTAACTTCTAAGGTTGTAATTTATATTCTCTTTATTTTTCACATCCTGCCTACTGATACCTCTTAAAAGCATTAGCTATAAGTCCCATCCCCAACCAGAATTCCTTATAATCTCTAGTTTATATATACTATATATATATATGTTAATGGCACATTTCTCATACTGGGTGGTGGTTATATAAATTTCATTTTTACTAGATTTTCAGGTACAGAATGCATATATTAGATCTTATAAATCTGTTTAACATACATTTAATATGTGCATATAGTAGCCACTCAGTAAATTATTTTTTATAGGAAGTGGAAATTCGTTAAGAGATTTCAAGCCTTTTTCTATGAAAACATTTTTCAATCTCAGGTAGTAAAGTTAATGTTATTGACTTTTTTTTTTGGTAGGTAAATGAGAAAGCGGGGCAGATTATACAGTATGATAAATTTTATATACATGAAGTACAAGAATTGATAGACATAAGGAATGATTATATCAACTGGGTTCAACAGCAGGCCTATGGAATGGTATGTTTCCTATTTTATTATTACATTTTTATGTGTCATTTGTCCTAATATGAAAGCAGTTGTTTATTTTAGAAACACTTAAGTTTTTTCAGAGCTTCTTTCCAGAGCTTACGATTGAAATAAAATCATTGCAAAGGAGCAGTTACATGTTATGCATATTTATTAATAATAAACATTCCACTCTCACATCAAAGCAAAATCAAAGAGAGAGATCATACTTTTTTAAAGAACAATGCAAATTTGACATGGATTTATAACCTTCACTTATTTTCCAGGTGATTGCCTCTTAATTTTCTAATGTTGAGAATAGTAAGAGTTCCTGAGACTAGAATCCTAAGAACACTAGAGGCTCGATGCACAAAATTCATGCAAGGGGCTCAGGCCGGCAGCCCTGGCTTCGTCCAGAAGGTCATTTGGCTGTTCTGTCTAATTAGCATGTTAGCTCTTCATTGTATAGGATAGTATTACTGTTGGGAGATTAGAGCCTCAGAACTACCAGAGGAGAGCCCTCGGACCGTTGATTCTATTTTTTATTATTTCCCCTTTTATGTTTATGTTTTTGGTTTTTTTTAAAATATATTTTATTGATTTTTTTGCAGAGAGGAAGGGAGAGAGATAGAGAGCTAGAAACGTTGATGAGAGAGAAACATCGACTAGCTGCCTCTTGCACACCCTCTACCGGGGAAGTGCCCGCAACCAACGTACATGCCCCTGACCGGAATCGAACCCGGTACCTTTCAGTTTGGCTCTACCACTGAGCCAAACCGGTTTTGGCAATTTCCCCTTTTATGTTTTTAATTTATTTCAGATTTCTTCATGTACATCCACATGTGTATATACTTCTTTCTATGTTGCTAAGTCTCTAATAACTAACACTTAATATCCCCATTAAAATAATAGCATAGTCTTAATAAAACTTGAATTTAGCATGTATAATTTTAATATGGAAATGGATAAGCAGCTAGATATAAAACAGTCAGGTTAATACTCTTATTTGCTAACCTTTATGGTGAACTTGAGGCCCCCTTTTCTACCCTGAATCAGAGGACTTATGCATCATGTATGTAGGAGCTGTAGAGGATGAGTAGCCCTTTGTTGCTTGGTATCTAATATTTTCTCTTCTCAAGTTTTCCACTGTCTCATTATTTTTCATATTCTTTCCAGTTCACATCTCTCTTCACAATCAAACTTATGTTTTGCCAGATAGAGAAACTGAGCCCTAAAATTATTTCTTTAAGACCAAGTTAGTTAGGCTAGGATTAGTTTCCCTGCTCTACCTAAATTCTGCAAATAGGGTGCTTAGTTGCTGAAACCAAATTTTATTATATTCAAGCTTCAGTAATTTTATGATCAAAGATATCTGAAACACAGGTGTTACATTTATAACATATAAGGTACATGTGGAAAGGGTAAGTTTTGTTGTAGATATATTTTGGTCTACATTAATTCAATATTCTTTTGTAGCAAAATATATGAAATGCTACTTTGAATAGAAATAGTTAAATTTGGACACTAACATTGCTCTTTCCTCATTATTACATTCTGCACGGCTGTCTTAGGATATCAACCATGGATTAACTGAGGTAAGTTTGGTATAATAGTCTCATGTTCAGAGAAAAATAGACTCTGCTTTGTCTTAAGTGATAGAAAAGCCAAAGATTTCTCCCCTGTGTGACTTTAAAATATATATACACATTTATAAAAATGAATGTTTAGAAATTATCCTGTTTAGAATTTCAGAGGCATTTTATGAAGAAAATTAAACCCTATTTTCAATTTAACTTTACACTTGTATGATTCTTTTCAGTAATATTTGCTTAAAATTCATTCCTATCCTCCCAGAGTCTTACAGCATAAAATATAATATGTCCTTAGAATATAAAAAAGCAAAACTTTTAAAATTTGATATATGCCTATACAATAAGTAGAAAATATTTTATATTAGAGAAGTAAAATGATCTTCAAATTTTAAACTAATAATTGATGCTAGAAATGGTCATAAAATTAAATAAACTTTTAGCATGATAATCTTCCTCACTTTGTTTTACATAATTGGCAGTCTTAAACCTACCTTTTTAACATTTGGAAATGTTACAGAACTTCCTTTATTCTTTTATTGTAGATTAGGTTTTGTTTTGTTTTGCTTTGCTTTGTTTTTTTCCTACTTGAACCAATGAAGCATTTAAAGTTAGCTTTAAGTTATAGGCCTAACATCTTTGCTTCCTTATTCTTAAATAGAAGTAGCCCATAAAATGATCAAATTAAAGTTGTAGAACCAAAGGGAGAGGATTTTAGAAATCATCTTAGGCCCTAACCGGTTTGGCTCAGTGGAAAGAGTGCTGGTCTGTGTACTGAAGGATCCCAGGTTTGATTCTGGTCAGGGGCATGTACCTGGGTTGTGGGCACATCCCCAGTAGAAGGTGTGCAGAAGGCAGCTGATCGATGTTTCTCTCATCAGTGTTTTTAATTCTCTATCCCTCTTCCTCTCCGTAAAAATAAAATATATATATTTTTTAAAAATCATCTCAGTTCTCTGGAGTTTCAAAGTAATAAAATGACTTTCCACCATTAATAGTGACACAAATACAGGAAAGAGGTGAAAATTGTCTTATGAAAAATAGTGACGCCTTGACCAGCATGTTCAGAAGTTAGCCCATGCACTGGAAGGGTCTTGAATTTGACTCTCGGTCAAGGGTACTTACCTGGATTGCAGGATCGATCCCCATGTGGGAGGCAACTAAGCAATGTGTGTCTCTCACACTGACATTTCTCTCTCTCCCTACCTCCTCCTTACTCTCTAAAAATCAATGGGAAAAATATCCTCATGTGAGGATTAACAACAAAAATAGTAATTTATTGTAAAGTTAATATAATTCAGGTTTTGTTTTACTTGTTGAGAACATGTAATGTGTAGAAGTGCAGATTCAGACTAACAAAGGACTTTCTAAGAATTGGGCTGTTTCATGGTATATTAGGTTTTCATTAGAAGCCTTAAAGCAGGGGCTCTGTGTGAGGGCTGGCAGAAAAAAAACATTGCACTTTGGGTAGGTAATAGGAATACATTCTCCTTTAACTTCGAGAATCTGTGACTAGATCAGACTTCCCAATTTTAAAAATTGGCAGAGCATAATAATACTAGCGCTTATTTTGTATGTTAAATAAAACAACATATTGTTAGGCTCATTAATGTGGCAACCTAATGGCGTGCAGGAAATATCTTTGAAATGAGTAAACAAACAGATTGCTTTATCATTGGCCTCAGTTGCTAGAGTAGCCCTAGCTTTTGTGAATTAAGTGCTGAATTTAACTTGAAGGTTTCTAATTTTAGAATAAATTTACAATCTACTTCATTGAAACTTGTAATTTTTGGTTTTGTGGACTCTCAAGAATAATTCCCTCCTATTGGGAATTGGGTTTATCATAAAAAATTCTATACAGGCATACCTCGTTCTATTGCAGTTTATTGTGCTTCATAAATGTGGTTTTTTAACAAATTGAAAGCAACACCAGCAAAAAGATTGACTTGCTTTATCGTGAAACTCACTTTATTTCAGTGGTCTGGAACTGAACTTGCAATATTTCCGAGGCATTATGCCTGTATTGGGGAAACAATAACGTGTTTAATTTATAATTCCTAAACAACACACAATGAATAAACCAAGAATGTGATTAACTTTATAAGAAGTGACGGTACCTATAAGAAATATAATCACAAACTAATTTGTACTAATAAGTTAATTTTTTTTCCAGTTGGCAGATATCCCTGTTACAATCTGCACATATCCATTTGTATTTGATGCCCAAGCAAAAACTACTCTGCTACAAACAGATGCAGTCCTACAGATGCAGGTAAAATATTTTATAATATGTACTAATCTAGTTTCAGAGTAGTTTTGGGTTTTAATGAAGTTTTAAAAAAGTAAATATTTGAAACTTGCTTATAATCACCTTTGGGCATATTTTGTGCCTGTGTGTTCTGTCTTTTGTAGAGTGCCTTTGGTACCTATAAAGAGCACTGTGGTGTGTGATATGTATGTTCTTATGAGGAATAGAATAATTAAGTCTTTTATCATATATCTAAAAAAAAAAAAAAAAGGTGCAATCCTCTTTCATTACAGAAATATGCAATCTTTATAAATAATTTTACTAGTTAATAAACTAATTTGCATCAAGTCTTGCTTCATTATGTGTTCCCTATTTACATACTTTGTAAAAGATAAAGTAGAGGTGAAAAGATATTAAAGTAGAATGCATTTGATCACTTGATAGGAGGAGAAATCTTGAAGAAAGTTTTATTTAAAATTTTTTTTCTAAATTTGGTTGTCTCCTCTCTGTCCTTTCTCCTCCGACTCCCTGTGTTTATGTTAATTATTTTTTTATTTATCAAGAGGATTTTTTAAAACTAGTTTACATGTGACTTTGAAGGGCTACAGTAGGTTTGCTTTATCATTTGAACCTGTAAATAAAGGTTTTGAATTTTTTTTCTCGTATAGAATTTTTTTCTTTTTTTTTTTCCTAAAGGTAGGATTTCTTAGAGAATTGAAATCTTTTAAAAATATATATATATATATTTTATTGATTTTCTACAGAGATAGAGAGCTAGAAACATCAATGAGAGAGAGTCATCTATCAGCAGCCTCTTGCACCCCCCCTCACTGGGGATATGCCCACAACCAAGGTACATGCCCTTGACCGGAATGGAACCTGGGACCCTTCAGTCCGCAGGCCAACGCTCTATCTGAGCCAAACTGGTTTCGGCTGGTATAGAATTTCTAACTGTAGAGACTGATGACTCAGAAAAGAATGAGAAGAAACCTTGGGCACTTAATATTCTAAAAATGTTTTTAAAAAATTAACCCCTTGCTGGGACCAGTTTGGCTCAATGGATAGAGCGTCGGCTTGGGGACTGAAGGGTCCCGGGTTCGATTCCGGTCAAGGGCATGTGCCTTGGTTGTGTGCATATCCTCAGTGGGGGGTGTGCAGGAGGCAGCTGATGGATGACTCTCTCTCTCATCGATGTTTCTGACTATCTCTCTCCCTTCCTCTCTGTATAAAATCAATAAAATATATTTTTTTTAAAAATTAACCCCTTGCCGAAACCAGTTTGGCTCAGTGGATAGAGCGTTGGCCTGCGGGCTGAAAAGGTCTCATGTTTGATTCTGGTCAAGGACATGTACCTGGGTTGCCTGCACATCCCCAGTAGGAAGTGTGCAGGATGCAGCTGATCGATGTCTCTCCCTTATCGATGTTTCTAACTTTCTATCCCTCTCACTTCCTCTCTGTAAAAAATTAATAAAATATATATATTTTTAAAATTTAACCCCTTACCCCAGTGCTGATTGCTATTTTCATTTCTTTAAAATTATTTTGTAGGGTTCTATTTTTTTGTTTGTTTGGTAGCTGTTAAGTCACTTGGTTCATTTTATATAGGATATTCCATTTTTAAAAATTATCTTTATTGAAAGTATCATAGATATCATGCCCCACTCCCACATTGATATCCCTCCATCCTGCCCCCAGGCCAAGAAACTGGAAAATCATAGGAAAAGAACACTCATTTTTTTAAATTTATTTTTTATTTTTAAAAATATATTTTTATTGATTGGAGAGAGGAAGGAGGAGAGAGAGAGACACACATATCAATGATGAGAGAGAATCATGGATAGGTTGCCTCTTGCAGCCCCCCCTACTGGGGATGGAGCCTGTAACCCGGGCATGTGTCCTTGACTGGAATCGAACCTGGAACCCTTCAGTCCAAGCCAAACCAGCCAGGGCAAGAACAAAATCTTTGAATAGTAAAGCCAGATGCTTGCTTTGTGAGCACATATGGTGATCACTCTGCTAGATGAATTTCTATAATACCTCCTTAGCCAGGCTATTTCTTACTCTTTAGATAAGGGTTTGTTGTTTTTTACCTCACTCTACATTCCAGTTCTCTTTTGAGAAATAGTAGTGTTCAGATTTATCATATTACAGTTCTGTGTTTACTTAATAGTATCATTAATTAATATAATTTCAAAAGGATACTCATATATGTGTGTATATGTATGTGTGTATATATATATGTGTGTGTGTGTGTGTGTGTGTGTGTGTGTATATATATATATATATATATATATATATATATATATATATAGATTTCAGAGAGGAAGGGTGATGTAGAGATAGAAACATCAATGATGAGAAGTAATCATTGACCAGCTGCCTTCTGCATGCCCCCTACTAGGGATAGAACCTGCAACCCAGGCATATGTGCCCTTGACTAGAATTGAACCTGGGACCTTTCAGTCTACAGGCAGACACTCTATCCATTGAGCCAAACCAGCTAGGGTTCAAAAGGGTACTCTTTATGCCCAAAGCACAGTTAATTAAGTTTTTATACTATACAATACTAGATACTGTATTAGGTGCTATATGAATTTAGTAGTATAGGAATTATTATAGGGATTATAGAATATCTAATAGGTAGAAGTTGCTTTATTTAGTCACAGTAGCTTCTATGTAGTATTGCTACTAAACTTTTAATCTTTTATCTTCTAGATGGCTATTGACCAGGCCCACAGACAGAATGTGTCCTCTCTTTTTCTCCCAGTGATTGAGTCTGTGAATCCCTGCTTAATTCTAGTGGTACGCAGAGAAAATATTGTAGGAGATGCAATGGAAGTCCTTAGGAAAACAAAGAATATAGACTACAAAAAACCACTCAAGGTAATTTGACTTTTTCCATTGTAATAACTGGGACTTATTTTCAGAAAATATGTTTTAACATTTTCCTATTTGTTTTTAGTATATCTGTAAAACTTAATAAAATTATATACCTAAAATATTTTAAACTATTAATTGCTGAGCAATTTTTTGTAATCAATAACATATTATAAAGTCTCCAGAATATTTCATTTCTTTATATTCAGTGTTTGCATTATGCTACCTTAGGTTATATTTGTTGGAGAAGATGCTGTGGATGCAGGAGGGGTACGCAAAGAATTTTTTTTGCTCATCATGAGGGAATTACTGGATCCTAAGTATGGCATGTTTAGGTATTATGAAGATTCCAGACTCATTTGGTTTTCTGATAAGGTAAAAGGCTCACCCATCTAAGTAACTTCTGTGTTTATACCTATGTTTGTATAGCTATCTGTATCAAATTAACTTAATAGTAATAAGAGTTATTATTGGATTCTTAACATTTGAGCCAGAAATCAACTTTATTGCCATTTGAAAAGGCAGCACATGTTTACCACACATTTCAAATTACCACACATTTCAAATTAGCAAAATAAATTAAGTAATAGTCAGTCTGAAAAATGTTGGCCATTCTTTCTACTGATTTATATTTGAGGATTGAATAATAATTGCCAGATTAATTTTTCATCTGAAAAAAAATTATCATTAGGAATCATTGACTTCTCTACCTTTATCTTTTAGGGCAGAGGTAAACTCAGCAAACTATAGTCCATGAGCTAAGTTCCTCCCAGCACATGTGTTTGTAAATAAAGTCATTCATTTATTATCATAGCTGCTTTCTAGCAGGGTTCCTAATTTTCAGTATCACTAATATTTAAAAATCCATACTAAAACAAGTAATTTTTAACTCAGAAATGTGTGTTTGTGTGTATGTAGATGAAAATGTAGAAAGATAGGCAGTTTCCTGGAGTACAAATAGCAGTACAAACTGGAACAGGTGTGGAGAAAAATATTTTGGCAGTAAGCTTTACTACCTTTTCACTTTGTAATTTTTTCTTACAAAGCAGAATTTTTCCTAAGGAAATATTCCAAACTACGGACCAAAATATATGCAAAAAAGATGCTTATCATATTTTTAATATTACTAACTACTATGTTTCCCCGAAAATAAGACCTAGCACATGGAAAGACAAGACATCCCCTGAAAATAAGACCTAGCCCAACTTTGGGAGAAAAAATTAATATAAGACACTGTCTTATTTTCGGGGAAACAGGGTAGTTAGAATAACTAACATTTATTGAGCATTTACTGTGTGCTTCAGGAACTCCACTAAAAGCATTTTATATACATTATCCCACTTAACCCTCACAACCACCATGTGAGATAAATACTAGTTTTGCCTTTGAAACACCTGAGGCTAGATGGTGAATGAACTGTATCTGGAGCCGCAGATCTACTTTTTAAAACTTTATTCTTAACTCTCATGCTCACCATATATTACTTCTTGAAAGGTTGGGGGAGAGGTGGAATAAGCATGGTTTTCAGTGCTTTAATAATCTAATTGTCCAGTTAGGGTAAAATAACTAATTTAGCAAAACGTACTTTTATATGATGTAATTTGCTGCCATTAAAAATCATGTTCTGAAGAATACTTGGTGACATAATAAATACTTGTGTTGTAATTAGAAAAATGAGCAAACCTTAAATATGTTTTTCTGAATATTTTTCTGAACTTACAGTAGGTGAAAATACATAAGTATTTTTAAATAGCTTCTGAGTAGTTTTTGTGATTTTTTTATGTTTTCCATATTGTGAATGTGTATAATTTTTTAAATCTGAAAAAAATTTTGTCATCATTTATAAATTTAAAATTTAATATGAAAATGTTTATATTTCCGGGTAAAAATGCCAGTTGAGAAGTTATGTGTATAATATGATCTCAGCTAGATTTTAATTTCGTCTTAGAGAATATACTGAATGGAAATGTGCAAAAGAACGCTAGCAGTCATTTACCACAGGGAGACAGGAATAAGAGTGAACTTTCTTCTTGTTATTTTTTCTATATCTTTCCGATTTTCTACTGTTAAGTATTTGTTTTTATAATCAGAAAATATTACTCTTTTAACTTGGAGAACAAGTCTTTATTTTTTTCCTTATTTTTAGACATTTGAAGACAGTGATTTGTTCCATTTGATTGGTGTTATCTGTGGATTAGCTATTTATAATTTTACTATTGTGGACCTACATTTCCCTTTGGCTTTATATAAGAAATTGCTGAAAAAGAAGCCATCCCTGGATGATTTGAAAGAACTAATGCCTGATGTTGGGAGGTTAGTTGTAAAAAGTGGCACGGGTGGGGTTTAGGAAATAGGGAATATATAAAAAGCTATCCTTTCAGGAATGATTGTGTTTCATTGTTCTTGTTGAATTTTCAAAATGAACAAAAGCTGCTTTAATAAAAGCTATTACTCTGGCCCAAAATTTACAAGCATAAAGCCAATTTGCTAAATTTTTATGGGTTTAACAATACTTTGTGAATATTAGGTAATAGATTTTGGAAGGTGTTACCTTAAAGTAGTTAAATTATTTACTTGGATTTTTACTTCTGATCACCTTCATGCTTAGCTAGAATATGTAAAGTTTCTTTTTATTTATTACATAAAATGGAATGAAAAATGTATATAAATAAGGACACATATTGAAAATAGGTGAGTACCTTTGTATTCCAAGGAAGAAATAAAAGTAAAAATGTAATTATTTTTTCTTCAACAATATTTATGTTTGCTATTATACAACTAACATTTTGAAGCAAGTGTAAAAGTACAAATTAATAAGAAGATTTTTATCAAAAATGAATGAGAATTATATATTTACTCATAAGCAAAATTGTTACAATACACAATAATGTTTCGCCTAAAAGGAACATACTTTGTTTTGCAGAAGCATGCAACAATTACTAGATTATCCAGAAGATGATGTTGAGGAAACATTTTGTCTTAATTTTACGGTAAGATGGAAAAATATAGGGTAGGCTGATTATTCATCATCCCTTTTATTTGACAGATGTGCCTTATGGTATTTTTTTATTTTGATTAATGAAATTCTTAAAGAACCCTTTAGCTAACATTTATTGAGCATTAACTATATGCTAGTCCTAGAACATGCATTATCTCATTTAATCCTCAGAATAATCCTATTAGATTGGTGGTATTATCCTTATTTTACAGATGAAGAAAACTGAAAAAAGTCATTATATGTCAGAGATAGTATTTACAACCAGCTCTGATTTCAAAGCCTATGTAACATGAGAATATTTATCAATGAACTTAACCCTTATAAAAGGTTAATTTCCACTCAAGACATTCCTTCACACTAACATTCATTCTTTCCCATTTTGTCTGGTTGACATACCTAATAGAAATACAAATACATTGGAATGTTACTTGGAAAATGAAACTGCAGATCATGTGAAAGATGCATAACTAGACTCTTGGGAAAGGGTAAAACCTTTAGGTGTTTTTTTTTTTGTATATAAAAACTTTTTTGTATATTTGTTTTCCTCCCAAGCAGTACTTCTTATGATCTTATAGTTAAAGCTGATAAAATATACCATATTCTACTCACAAAAATTAGCCCCCAAAATTGTGCCCTCTCAGAAAATAATGTATCCATTCTTTAATTATTTTTAAAATTGCCTTATGGTATAGTTTTAAGCAAATTAGTAAATGTATGGTGAAGTCAGTTTTATTTCAATAATTGTTTTTGTCAGGAAAAATATTCTCTTTGGACTTTTTTTTTTTGTAATTATGACATTTTGATTCCCCTTTTAAATTATTTTACTTATAAGCATATCACTTGTCTTCGCATCTTTATTGATCATCTCAATTGACTTAAAACATTGGGTTCCACATAACTCAATTTCTAATTTATCAGTAAGTTTCTGAATGCTTAGTATATTCAAGAACTATGGTAATTCAAACATTCCCACTACCATTTCTTTCCTAGAGATTTTCAGTCACTCTTAGTTGCTTACAGACTAAGAGCTTTCAGATTAGGCTTCAAAGACATCTGTGATTTTGCTTTCTAACTCTCATTGTATTCTTCCACCCATATTCTGTCATGCTTTAGTTTTCTTTCACACACCCTACCATCTTGTTTTTTAAGTGCAATACATTTTTCAAAAATTGATATCTACTTTCATTTTTGTCCTTTAGTTCAGTCTGTGTGCTCAGTCAGATATCGAACCCCCTCCCAATTTTCAGAGCCCTACTCATTCTTATAAGTGCTTTGAAATGACATTTCTTCCTCAAGGTCTTTCACACTTCTCCAAATAGAAGTAAGTTCTTTTCTGTAGACTGATAGCATATTGTTCATGTCACTATTGTAGCATTTATTTTTATATGTGTTTACATGTCACATTTCTCCTCCTTTACTAGGTAGTGAACTCCAGAGCAGGAATTTATGTATCTTTTATCTGATAGTGTCACTCCCACCATAGTGTTTATAGATAGCAGGTACTAAAAAAAAAATGTCTTAATAGAAGATCAGAGAGAAAAGATGCAAAGGTGGGAATAGTAACATTTATAGGAAAGTTAGCAGACTAGTAAGAGAAATAAAATGTTTTAAAATAATGACATAACTGGAAAACCCACCTGTGATCAGGATTGCAACAAGGCAAATGTGAAGTGGAAAGAAAGCGTAGCTGGTCTAAACTGAATGCATTTTGACACTTGAATTCTATTTCCTGTCCAAAGAAAACATCATTCCTAATATTTTACTGTAACTTGTAATGACCATTCTAAAATTTTATGTACGATAAATACTTAGTTTATTATTAATTAACCAAATAGTAATTTGTAATTAATCAAGGTAGGATTTCAAAGTACTAAAGAAGATGAAAATTTATAGTTGTGGCTTTATGCAGAATTCAAATAAGCTTATGGTAGCAGAATTTTACCTCAAATATATTAGTTCTTATTTTTAATGAGAGAGAGGTAGAATATAATAATAGGTTATTAAAATAATAAATTTTGGGTCTGACATTGACTTTTTTTAAAAATTTAAATAGATCACAGTTGAAAACTTTGGTGCAACAGAAGTGAAAGAGCTGGTTCTAAATGGTGCAGACACCGCTGTTAACAAACAGAATCGGTAAGTGAATTATAGCAGCATCAGTGGTAGAAATGATATTTTTCTGTATTTAGAAACATGTCACACAACCTGAAGTTTTTTACCCAGATAAAACTTAACTTTTTTCATAGTCAGTGAGTAAGTAACTTCCCTTTTGCTCCTTAAATCCCTTCACCATATTAATAAAGGGTTAAAAAGATCATAAACAACAAGAACAAAGAGAAGGAATAACAGAAAACAGCAGACACATTTTTTAAAGCTAGAGAACAGTGATAATTAGCCAACTTGAGAAAGCTATTACATAAGATAGACTGGGTGGAGCCAAGAAGGTAGCCAGTTCATCTTTTAGAATGAAGGCTCTGGAATTCAGAATAAAAATGTTAGGAAGTATATGGGGTTTAGTGGAGTGCTGGCTATGAAAGCAGCAGCTAGAAACCCATTTCGCTTATCACACCAGTAGCCTGGGAACTTCCCGTCTCCAGCATTAGCAGAAGATTGGAAATTTACCTTCTGGAGAGATTAAAGTAAAGGTTTGAGGACTAAGGGTTTGAGGACTCTCAGATATAACCAGGGACAAGAAGCTAAACTGAAAACAGGGAATTTGGAAGTTTACAGCTTCCTATTTGACATTAAATTGGAGGACTCTTCTCTAGCAAAGTTCCCTAACTTTTAAATGTAAATGGTTAGCCAAAGGTCTGTAGATATTTAAGGAAAAACCAAAACCAGTCAAAAATAATTCCAAGGAAACAAAAACAGTGTAGGATGAAGAAAGTGAAGTCAGGAACCTCTAAATTATAAGGGTAGCATCCGTATGGATACTATTAAAAATGAAAAGAAATGGAAAGAATAGAATTTGTCAAAGAAAGGTACTAAAAAAAACTTTCCAGAATTGTAGTGCCTTTTAAGATTGAAAGCATGGAAATGGCGGGGGGGTGGGGGGTGGGGGAGACCAGGACAAAATATAAGACATTTCAAAATTCTGGAATAAAGGGGGCCCTAAAACCCTTCAGAGGGCAGGGGGCAGACCATATACAGAGAATTAGAGTCAGAATAATCTACTTCTTTTTGTTGTTTTTGTTAATCCTCACCGTGGGATATTTTTCCATCGATTTTTAGAGAGAGTGGAAAAGAGAGAGAAATAGTCATGTGACCCCTGCAGGCCCTGCCACCAGGGCCAGGGATCAAGCTTGCAATTGAGAGAGAGGTGCATGCCTTTAACCAGGGACCCTCCATCCACAGGCCAAAGCTGTGTCCACTGAGCCAGAATAACCTACTTCTAATGAATGATACTGAGGCTAGAAGATCAAAATTATGGAAGAAAAAATTTTTAACTTAGAATTCTATATTGAAACTATCAAGTATATGTGGGTGTATAAAAACACTTTCATACATGGAGAGTCTCAGATAATTTCCTTCCAATACCTTTTCCTCAGGAGGTTACTGAAGGATGTTCTACCAAAACAAGCAATTAAATTAAGAAAGAGGAAAACATAGGATCCCCCAAAATAGAATCCAATATAGGAAAGCGCCAAAGAGGATACCTTGTGCAGGAGTACCCATCTGGGTTAGACCAAGAGGGTGGAGGGCTTCAAGAGAAAAGTAAAATTGATGTTACCTAGTATATTTGAATGAAATAAAAAGGAGGTTGGCAGTTCTGTTCAAGTAGCAAACTAAGGGAAACAAAAGTTCTTTTTAGGAAAAGAAAGGTAACCATAGAATATTATGTAGCTTAATTATGAGTGATATTTAAATCATAAAAATCTTAACAATGAAAATTACACCCAAAATTGTTATGATGGGAACATCCTGGGAGGCAAAGTGAGAGTAGTACATTATGTAAAAGGTAAATCCTTATCTTTCATAGTAGATACTCTGTTCTTTAGATAGTATTTAAAATTGAAAGTCAAGAAATAATAATAGAACTATGTTGTTGAAGGATGAAGGTTAATACTAGGAAGAATAGCAAGGTGATAACACATAGTTGCCTTTGAATGGCAGGAATTTCTGGTAGAAAGATGTAAGAAAGAGAACTGCATTATTCTTTTTTATTCCAGTTCTTTAGCTTAACTAGCTTAATGGCCGTTGCCAGGGACTTCATGCCAATGATTATAATCCTGTTTCTGCTCCTTAAGGTTGTATAAATTTAGATAAACTAGTTGATGTCTCCCTGCCTCAGTCTCCTTTTCTGTAAAATGAGATGGTAAATTGTACCTACTGCATGGAGTTATTTTGAGGATTAAATGAGGCGATAATTACAAGAGGCTTGTTAAAATTGTACCTAGCACATGTATGTGCTCAGTAAATGTTGGCTGTTGGAATTATTACTGTTTGACATTTTTAACAAAATTGTGTGTATGTCTTCGATAACAGTGAATCTGTTTCTAACATATTGTGGAAAAAACTTAATCTTGTTTTTGAAAACTTAGATTTTTTTATGCTTTTAAAGTTTCTATTGTTGAGCTAATTCTTTAAGTTTCAAAAAAATATTTCACATAGATTATTGACTTTAGAAATAATTTAAAGAATTTTGACCCTTGTACTACCAGCCCTACTTACATAATGAAACTTAGAGACAAAAATGTTATTAGTGCATAAAACAATTTAGCCTTTTTTGCTCAAGGGACTTTTAAGAGACTTAACTAGTATAGATAAATTTGCTTTCTAATTAGGTGAATTATAAAATTATGCATTACAAAATTGTTTCTTCTCATCAGAACCTATGTTATCCTATATAATTAGAAGTAATATGCAAATTAACCTTCATCGCCCTTCCACAAAATGGCCTCCTCCATGTGGTCCAAGATGGCTGGCAGGGGAGGACAATTGTAGGGATCAAGCCAGCACGGGGGAGGATAGTTGGGGACAACCAGGAGGGCAGGGGAGGGCAGTTGGGAGTGACCAGGAGGGCAGAGGAGGGCAGTTAGGGATGACCAGGTCAGCAGAGAAGGGCAGTTAGGGTAAGATGACCAGACGTCCCGCTTTTGGAGGAACAGTCCCGATTTTTAACAATTTGTCCCGCGGCGTTTTAAAAAAGTCCCAATTGTTTTAAAACGCCGTGGGATGCAGGACAAATAGTTAAAAATTGCCGAAAGCGGGATGTCTGGTCACCTTGAGTTAGGGGCAACCAGGTTGGCAGAAGAGGGCAGTTGAGGGCAATTGGGCCAGCAGAAGAGCAATTAGGTGTCGATCAGGCTGGCAAGGGAGTGGTTAGGGGTGGTCAGGCTGGTAGGCAGGCAAGCATTTGGGAGCCAGCAGTCCCAGATTGTGAGAGCCTAAACTGGCAGTCGGACATCCCCCAAGGAGTACCAGATTGGAGAGGGTACAGGTTGGGCTGAGGGGACCCCACCTCCCCAGTGCACAAATTTCGTGTACTGGGCCTCTAGTATTCTATACTTTACAATAGCCTCCTTTACCTTTTTTTTTCCCTTTGTAAATTCAGTTTGGAATTATAATTTTCTAAGAAAATTATCTGTAGATGACTAAATTTACCAGTATTTTCCAATGTAGAATAAAACTTTCTAATTTGGAAGACAAGAATATAAAATAATGAAATCCTTTAGTATTCATTCTTGTTATTTATTTGACCAGATAGTAGCTGCCTAAAGGGTTTGTGGCTAACAGAACAAGTAAAATAAAATTGTAATTCTAATTGCTGGGTAAAGGGGCTTCCTTTTTTCTTAACAGTTTCCTTTTGTATCATAACAGGCAAAAAAAAAAAATCAAGGTTGTGTGTGTGTGCACATGCATGTATATATACATATATGTACCTTTGAAAAGAAACTATACTTGCAGTCTTAAATGATTATCCTAAAAGATTGCTTAATTACCCCTCTTGGAATTTAGTTTTTAAAATAAGTTTTGTTCCATATTTATTGTAACCCAAATAGTCTGAGTCCTAAAGCTTGCTTTTTAAAAAAAAATTTTTTATCACCTAATATATTTAATAAATCACTCTTTTTAGGAATACATGTGGAATGATGCATGTATATTATAAGTAATTTGTTACTATTTTAAAATGTATTTTGATAGCCATTTGCATCTTCATTCTTCCTACTAGGAAATGACATGTTTCATTTAGGAATAGTCCCAAAATGTCTGTGAATAATAGATACATCTACATGACTCCTAGATATACCATAAACTTCTTCACAAGGACTTGATTCCCTTTGAACCCTACTCAGTATTATAGATAAATAGCAAAAGTATAGGAGCACTCTATTTTAATAAGACTACAATATACTCCATTTAAAAAAAAGATTTTTATACTTGCATGTGTGGTTTTATTTTTTTCCATTTGTAGGCAGGAGTTTGTTGATGCTTATGTGGATTACATATTCAATAAATCGGTGGCTTCCTTATTTGATGCTTTCCATGCGGGCTTTCATAAAGTGTGTGGAGGAAAAGTCCTTCAGCTCTTCCAGCCTAATGAACTACAAGCAATGGTTATTGGAAATACAAATTATGATTGGAAGGAACTAGAAAAGGTAGGGGAAAACACATCTACAATATTGTTTAAAGGAAAGGCAGAAGGAACATGGCTTATTGATCGAAATATTGTCCTCTCTTTTCTGTTTTACACTGTTACTGTCACTTTTATAGGGAAACACTTACTGTACAATAAATAGGTTTTAATTGTGTATGAATTAGATAGCATTTTTATGTTAGTGGTATTGGGCTGGATGGAGCTAAAACCATTTAGATAGCTAACATTAAAAAAATATACTAAGACAACAAGGACACAGCATTGGAAACTCACATACATTGCTGGTGGAAGTGCAAATGATATAGTCACTTTGGAAACAGTTTGGCATTTCCTTATAAAGTTAAAATATACACTAGCTACGGGACCGAGCAGTTCCATTCCTAGGGTATTTGTTCACACAAAAATCTATCAACAATGGGGGGAATAAGGCGGGTGTTATTGTTTAATGGATACAGAGTTTCAGATTTGCAAGATAAAAAAGGTTTGGAGGTGGATGGTGGTGATGGTTGTGCAAAAGTATGAATGTACTTAATATCACTGAACTGTGAAGGATGAAGATAATAAGCTTTACGTTTTATGTATTTTACCACAATATATATTTTTTTTAAACATATTTTTATTGATTTTTTACAGAGAGGAAGGGAGAGAGATAGTTAGAAACATCTATGAGAGAGAAACATCGATCAGCTGCCTCCTGCACACTCCCTCCTGGGGACGTGCCTGCACCCAAGGTACATGCCCTTGACCGGAATCGAACCTGGGACCCTTCAGTCCGCAGGCCGACGCTCTATCCACTGAGCCAAACCGGTTTCAGCTACCACAATATTTTTAACATGTTTTTAAAAATCTTCAAATAAGTGAATACATTACCTGCTGGAATTCAAGCTATTTTCTCCAAATTAAATTTCTGCAAAGTACTAGCAAATATTTTGTAAATTTTAAGAATATAGTCATTGAAATATAATCATGGCTACAAATAGAGACCAAAATTCAAAAAGTCTATTAGCAGATATTTCTTGGGCCCCTGCTGGATGCCTAATACTTTGCAAGAGATTAAGGAGACATCAGTGTTTTACGGTCTTTGCCTTCTAATGAGGACACTAGACATTAATTGAACTGTGACAGAAGCAAAGGAAGAGAATTCAGTGGGATGGTATATAAGGAGCCTAACAGGCTACACAAATCTGGAAAAGCCTCTTATTAGTAGTAATTTTCAAAAGGTAACGAGTTGGTTCACTGCCGTTTCCCCAGTACCCCAAACTTTGACCAAGGCTCATTAAATATTTGAATTAATTGGGTGACATTTAATATGAGTCCCAAAGGATTAAGTAGAAATTAGCCCTGATGAATTAAAGAAAAAAGGAGGGTGTGTTTAAGTGGTCTAGGCTGAGAGACCAGTGTGTCCAAAGCCCTGATGCTGAAAGGTTGTTGCTAAGAAAAAGTTGAAGCAGTTATGGCTGGATTAAAAAACAACACTTCACAGTGCAGACTGACTTCTCTCTTCCTTATCACTCTTTTTTTAAGGTGGAAATTATTGCAAATTATCCCAAAATTTAGTGGCTTAAAAATCAGAGAGAATTTTTATTGTCTCATATAGTTTCTATGGTTCAGGAATTGAGGGATAGCTCAGCTGGATGGCTTTATCTCAGAGGTCTCTTGTGAGTTGTAGTCACGATATTGACTGTGCTGGTTTAAGGATAGTTTCCTTTTCAAGATAGCTCACTTATGTGGCTGTTGGCCAAAAGCCCAGTGTCTTACCAGGAGCCTCTCCATAGGGCTATTTGATTGTCCCTTTGAAATAGCCACTGGCTCTCCTATAGTGGGTGATCAAAAAGGCAAGGCTGAAGTCATAATTTTTTATAATCTAGCCTCAGACATTATGTATTTCTCATATCTGCAATATCCTAATGATTACAGAGGTCAGGCCTATTCAGTGTGGAAGGGAACTGCACAAGTGCAGGTGCCAGAGATCAGGGGGGAGGTCATCTTGGAAACTGACTAAACAGAAAATTATTAGTGTTTGTTTTTAGTACCATTTTTTACAGGGAAGATCGATAGAAAATAATTAATTTGATTTGTGTTCATCAATACAGAAAATTGTTGAACTTTAATAATTCATTAACATTTTAGCAATTCTAGTTTATCCTTTAGATAATTACCTTTGGAGATATTACAATCCTATCATGCTCTTTGAAGTGGTGGAATCAACATTTTTGTCAATTCATACATGTTTTCTTTCTCCTGGAATTAATAATTCCAAATTACAAAGTGTCCAGGAAATAAAGGTAATCAACTGAAACACATGAGTTTCAAACTCCTGAACAACCTTTATGTGCTAAGGAAGTGAAGCCAATTTTTCAGATTCAAGAAAAAAAACGAATATCCCTCCATATTAATAAGGGTTTTTTGTTTTTTAGAATACAGAATACAAAGGGGAGTATTGGGCAGAACATCCTACAATAAAAATATTTTGGGAAGTATTTCATGAATTGCCATTGGAAAAGAAAAAACTATTTCTGTGTAAGTATTTAAGTATTTCTAACTTGTTCTATATTTTATAAGAATGTAATCTAATTGAACTTATTTAATAGGGGATTGCTTCACTTTGGTGGATACAGTTATTTCTTTTTATAGTATTGTTCCAAGGTCCTATTTATTACATATGTTATCTTATTTTGAAAGTTAATTTGTCTCCAAAATAGAATTGGTTCTTTCAAATGAAAATAACTATAATACTGACTATTGTAAACTGGGGTTGTAATTTATTTTAGAAAAAGGTCTCTTCTTTGTTGAGTCTTCATTTTCTTTTTCTCTTTGCTTCTGACCCAAAACATTGGGAATTTCTGTAGAAAATACTTTTCCAGGACATAGTTCTCATATTTATACCTTAATCTCTGTTTCATCTGTTAAAATCTGTATACTAATGAAGTCTTATTTTTTTCAAGTTGTCAGAATTTATGTATCTAAATCAATGACACTCCCTTTGATAGAGTACTGCTATTGCCAAAGATGTTTTTGTCAAACTTGGTTTTTTGTTTGTTTGTTTTTAATATATTTTATTGATATTTCACAGAGAGGAGGAAGGGAGAGGGATAGAAAGTTAGAAATATCGATGAGAGAGCAACATCAATCAGCTGCCTCCTGCACACCGCCCACTGGGGATGTGCCCGCAACCCAGGTACATGCTCTTGACCGGAATCAAACCCGGGACCCTTGAGTCCGCAGATCGATGCTCTATGCATTGAGCCAAACCGGTTTCGGCTTGTCAAACTTGTTTTGATCATTGAAATGAGAATCTTGGTTAAATTAGTTTGAAGCGCCATAAGGATATCAAGTCATTAAATGATTTGAGTTTTGGCTGTGCTTACAAATTTTTGTTTAGAAATCATTTGTCAAAACAAATGGGAAAAATCATAATCAAAACTGCATTTCATATTTAATTTATAAACTAGTCCTAAATGGCTATTCACAAAAGAAAGGCTCCTAAATGTTTTTGTCAGGAGCAATAGTCATTCATTTATTAAGCTTCTGCTAATAACTAAGATTCTATAACTTTCAAAGAAAACATATTGTGTTGATGTGTAATTATATTATGTCTCAAAAAGCATGCTCACACATATTCTGGAGATGGACTTCCACATTTGAGCAAATGTTAATATAAAGGTTTGCTATAGTGTCTATAGAAAATGATTTGATAACAAACTGGTTTTGATAAAAGTGGTTTGCTGAATGATTTTTTTCTTGGCAGTATTTTTGACAGGTAGTGATCGGATTCCTATTCTTGGTATGAAGAGTCTAAAACTAGTCATCCAGTCAACAGGAGGTGGTGAGGAGTACCTCCCAGTGTCCCATACCTGTTTTAATCTTCTAGACCTTCCAAAATACACAGAAAAAGAAACTCTACGTTCTAAACTGATTCAAGCTATCGATCACAATGAAGGTTTCAGTTTAATATAACTTGGTGTTATAACTATTTCGTTTACTGCACAAGCATTAAACTAATTGTGTTTTTCTTGTGGTGATGACTTCAGCAAGGTGACAGAGGGACTTACTATAATAATTCTTGCAAAATATTCAATGCTATCCCTATTTATGAAAGCCAAAAAATATTAAAGGCAAAGTACAAACTGTTAATACTGAACTTAATGTACAGAACTATGAATTTTTTTGGCCATCTTCCAATAAACATACAAGTATTGTGAATACATTGTAGTTTTACTAACATGAATTTTAAGAGTTTGCATATTTCACAAATGATCTGGTGTGTGAGTGCATGGAAATGTTGCTTGAATTTTCTTCAATCACTGGGTAAAAACCTTTAACTTTGGCCTGCAATAGTCCTTTGATTATTTTTTCATTTTGTAAATAATGTTAAGTTTTGTAATAAAACAGTTATGTTCTGATACCAGTACAGTTTCTATGGTTGTAATTGAACTGAGATGACCTTTAAAGATTAAAAATTAAGATTCAAATCTTATTCTGAGAAATTAAAAAGCAAAAATTAGCATGGTAAAAACAATGTTTTTTTGTTTTCTGTTTTTTGCTAGAATAAATGTCCTTGTGAAAACTTAAATTATGGGTAGGAATATCTAAATAATTTGTAGTTCTTTCCTTTTGTGACTCTTGAGATGCTACTGATAAATGGGGTTATCAGAAAGCTTAATATTTAGTAATGGAAGAACTTTGTGCTACAGTTGCCAGAAATAGAAACCTTGGCTACTATGAGAACCAATCACTGAGTTATAGTTTCCAAAACTATTGATGCTGCAGGCTGGTATATAGTCAGAATTTTCAGTGCTTTAGAACTGTTTCCTTGAATTTTTAAGAAATAAATCTTAGTTTTATGGTGCTGATGCTTAGTTATCTCCTGTCATTAAATTGTAACAGTTGATGCAACACATGTGACTTTCTGCTATAATGCAAATATTTATTTTTTAAATTTATAAAAATATGCCATGAAAACTGTTGAAATAATAAAGATTTATTGATTTAATATTTAAATGTTCAGTGGTTCTCATATAAGATTCAAAATTCTTCAAGAAAAGTAATGTCTCAAGGAAGGGCTCTTAAATTTTGGATTGTTCCCATTTCCATCAAACTTGTCTTATCTTACAGAGGTCCCCAAGTCTGAGAGTTCTAATTCAAAATCTAAAATAACTCTGAAAAACCGTGCTTATCTCATTTTGCAGCAAAACCCAATCTGAATTGTGGAGGCTATTTCTGGCAGGTATTAAATGGGGCTTTTTGTACATTTCATTGTGGCAATATTAATGTGTTTAATTATTTATTGTTTTATTTACATGTTGCCTTCGACCCCTATATGTATTTTTCAAAAATCTTAACTTTCACCTGGCTAATTTGGCTCAGTGGATAGAGCGTTGGCCTGTGGACTGGAGGGTCCAGGGTTCGATTCTTGTCAAGGACACATACCTGGGTTGTGGCTTCGATCCCCAGTGGGAGACGTGCAGGAGGCAGCTGGTTGATGATTCTCTCTCATCATTAGTGTTTCTCTCTCTGTCTCCCTCTCCCTTCCTCTCTGAAATCAATAAAACTGTTAAAAATAATAGTAATAAAAATATAATTAAAAAACTTAACTTTCATAATTCCAAAATGCAAATGAACCCTGGATTTTTGGAAAAGAGATTGTGGACTTGTACTTTTCAGTTGTGTAACTTAAAAACTTCTAGTGGTTATAGGTGTCTTTTTATGTAGATAGCAGCCTTGAAAACAATATTTTCAACTAAGATAATGTTCCTGAAAATAGCATTCTTCCCTATGAAAATCATTCCATGTACCTGATATTATACAGTTTCCCTGTGCATCCATTCCTGAGGGAAGTGGTTATTCATATTAAAAACATATGCTATAAAGCTGATCTGTGAAATAGCCACTTGGGAGCAATAGATAGAATTCATTGGGGGATATATATATTCACGCACGCACGCACGCACGCACGCACGCACGCACTGGGGGGTGCAGGTCCCTCAGCCTAATCTGCGCCCTCTCACTCCTTACCACCCACCTGCTTACTGTTCCTTACTGCTTGGCTCACTGCTCCTTAGTGCTGCCATGGAGGTGAGGGAGGCTCTACACCCGTGGGAGCCAGCTTCTACATTAGTGATGCTCCCCCTGTGGGAGCACACTGACCATCAGAGGGCACCTCCTGCATTGAGCGTCTGCCCCCTGCTAGTCAGTGCGTGTCATAGCAACCGGTCATTTCTGCCAATTTGCATATTATGGTTTTATTATATAGAATTTTAAAGTATATTTTTATTGACCTCAGGAAGGGAGAGGGAGGGAGAGAGATAGAAACATCGGTGGGATGAGAGAGAATCACTGGCCAGTTGCCTCCTGCACGCCCCACACTAGGGATCGAGCCTGTAACCTGGGCATATGCCCTTGACTGGAACCGAACCCAAGACTCTTCAGCCCCCAGGCTGGCACTCTGCACTGAGCCACATCAGCTAGGGCTTGAACAAATTTTTTAACAAGGACACCTGGCATCTTATCTGGGAACACAACTCTACAAGGTTTAATTTGGGTAAGTCTGATATTTTCCTCTGTTTCTGCAGACATACGATAACATTAACATGGATATTCATGGTAGAAAATTAAAATATAACTGACAGTTTTTCAAATTTCCATTTTAAAACTAAAACAAAAAATACTTCGAGCCTTCTAGACCAGAAGGAAGAAGGCAGATACTGAGTTCACTAAATTTTAAGACCCATGATTATAGAATTGACTAAACTTTGAAATATTTGTAGCTCCTAACTTTATTAATTTTAACCAATAGCCATTGTTTAGACCAGGTGTCGGCAACCTGCGGCTCCGCATGGGGCTCTTTTGAAGCATTGCCGCGGCTCCCAGCAGGGCCGATAGCAGGGGGCTGTGGCGGGGAGCTGTATCACTTACCTCCGCCCGCCTCCAGCGCTCCCAGCGCTCTGTGTGGCAGGTTGCAGGCTACTTAGTGTCGCTAGGCAACCACAGCGTCCCTGTCCTGACCCAGCCTCCTTCCACTCTCACTAAAGATCAATGGAGAATAAATTAATGCCATATCTATAAATGTGGATAATCTAAAAAGTGATGGATGTGGTCATTCCGATTGTTAATAAGATAATGGCAAAGGGTTTAAACCACTGCCAGTTCCGTTTGCTATTGGATGAGGTGGAAAGCATATATTCTGACCTCCTGCTCCACAACAAGGTCCGGTGGCTGTCCAGAGGCGAGGTGCTAAAACGCTTTGTCACATGTTTGGAAGAAGTAAAAACTTTCCTGGCCAGCAAAGAGCTCACCTTTGCTGAGCTGGAACAACCAGAGTGGCTGGAGAAATTACATTTTGTGGTAGACATGACAGCACATCTAAACACACTAAATACAACCCTTCAGGGGAAAGGAAGCACAGCCCTGCACATGCTGGAGGAGGTTTTGGCATTCGAGCGCAAGTTGACAGCGTTTGTCGAAGATTTACAGAGAGGTACACTGTCTCACTTTCCCTCTTTGAGAGAGTTCAAAGTCATGATACGATAAATTTGGAATATTTGAAGACTGCAATCACCACAATGCAAAGTTCGTTTGGGAAACGATTCTGTGAGTTCAGAGAGGAAACTTCCCTGTCACTCCCCTGGCGATCGATCCATCCCTATTGAATATAACTGCATTTGCAGGTGTAAGTCAACCTGATCTTGAGATGGAACTGGTCGATATAGCCAACAAAGATATATGGGTGTCCAAGTTCAAATGCTTGACCGCTACTCTTGAGGATGTTGCCCCTCAGAAGGCCATTCTGGCTCAGAATCTTAAATGGAGTGATATTGAAAACTTTCCCAAACAGGACAAACTTGTATTCGAAACATGGAATGCCATCCCCAACAATTATATAAACATAGAAAAAGTATGCATTTGGAATCCTTTCGGCTACACATATGTATGTGAGCAGGTCTTCTCCAACATGAACTATATTAAAAACAAACATCAGTCACGCCTCACAGATGACAGCTTGCAAGCCTGTGTGAAAATGAAGGTAACGTCTTATAGCCCTGATGTGCAGACACTGTGCACTGAGGTTCAGGAGCAAAAATCCCATTAACCAGGTAAATTAAATATTTTAATTAGCTATTTGCAAAAATATATTTTACATTGTTAAGTGAAAAATTCCTTTTTTTTCTTCAGATTGACAGCTAACTGCACGATCTGGTATATAGCATTAAAGTAAACAATATATGCAGTGTTATATTTGTTTTAAATGTCGCAATGGTTTTGCGGCTCCCAGGTTTCTTTTTTCCTTCGGAAACGGGTCCAAGTGGCTCTTTATGTCTTAAAGGTTGCAGACCCCTGGTTTAGACTGTCAGTAGAACCAAGACACCCCTTTAAAATGGGCATGAAATAAAACTGGAATGGAGATTTTTAAACTGAGACCTAAATCAAAAGCCCCAGCCTTCTCAAAGGTTCACTCATGAAGACCATTCATTAGGGTTCGTTTCTACTAACAGATTTTTCACCTTTCTAAATGACTTCTCTGCATTTAGTTTAACAAAAGATCCTAAATCAAAATATACCGTATGTGTAAGGCAGCCCTCCCCTGAAGAGGCAACGGGGACAGGCACTCTTGTCCTCAGCCTCTTGCATCGCATTTTGGCCATCCAAACTCATGCTAGTTTTCTCCTTCGACTAAAGAAGTCACTCTTGGCTCCCCTCCCGTGTTAGTGACAACTGAACTATTTCTAGAGATAAATTGGGAAGTCTGCCTGTTTTATTAAGTCGGCCTTCCCCTGTTAGACTATCCCCTGGGAAGGGAGTATTCCCTTTCTCGACTCTGGCTATACTTTTCAATCATTTGGGTGTACTTTTTAATACTGTCCACAAGCCACACCTTATACCAATTAAATCTTCTAAGAGATGATACTCAGTAGTTTCCTGTTGAGAGCCACTCAAAATGGGGTAAATAGACCCTGTCTCCATATTTCTGCAACATAAACATTCAGACTTTGTTTATATCTGAGGGGAGAATTCCCCGCACTTGAAGATTACAGGTATAGGAGTTGAGATTTGTTTCAAGTAACCATATATTTAATAGGTGGGTGATGTAAAGCATCATTGATTGAAGGCACATACATCATCCTATATCTTAAGGAGCTAATATGCTAATTAGACTAAACAGAATGACCAACTGGACAACTTTCCAGAGGCAGCCTGAGAGCTGAGCTCCTTGCACAAATTTCATGCCTCAGGCTTCTAGTCCTATATAATAAGTCTAATATGCTAAGTGTCTGTGGTCTTCAAGAACCAAAGCATAAAATGCTAATGACATGCTAAGATAGCTCAACTGCTCAATATGATGTGCACTGACCACCAGGGGGTGGACACTCGGACCGGCAGGTTAGCTTTCTCCTGGCCAATAGACCACCTGGACATACCGTGAGGCCCTCCCACAGTCCCACCCTGGCTGGCCAACCTCCTCCCACATCCCGCCCTGGCCCCTATCTTGCAAAGGGGTTGGGTGCCTCAGCCTGGTCTGCGCCCTCTTGCAATCCAGGACCCTTGGTTTCAGCCCAATCCTGCAGGCCAGGATGAGGGGCCTCTAGTTATATCTAAGGGTGGGATTTGGCAGGTAATTTTTCTTGTGCAAGTAGGATATAGCAGAGCAATTGTGTTTTTGTTTTTTTAATTCACTTCAAAAGTTTGCTGGGGAGAAAAGCAGACATGAGAGCAGAAAACTGCCGTCAGTGTTTTAAGGAGTGTGTATTCCTGGCCTCCTAAGCAGTACTTTGTCCCTCAAGGATTTAAATGGACTAAGTAGGTTTTCCAAAAAATTCATCCTTGTGTGGTTTGATCTAACTTTCACAGAAAACCTAGCTTTTCTAACATGGGCTCTTGAATTCACTCCATTTGCACCATTCTCTATTGCACCTCACCACCCACCCAAAGTCTTTATATGTCAAGTTTTCCTAGGCCCTGCTTTCCTCCTACATCTTACCTACTAAGCCGAATGGCTGAAATAGTTTAGAAACTTCTGGTGATGCACTAATTGCTACAGTCAGTACTATCAGTGTTTGCTTAAATATTGTTCTGGTTAGGTGGTCACAAATTGAATGAAGACATTTACTATGAAAAGAAAGCATCTAACATAGCCCTGAAAGCTGTACAAAGCTGCAAGATTTTAAGGTTTTATAACTTAAACAATGTAAGTTAACGGGGAAAAGGTCAAATGACAATTTTAATAGACTTTAAAACAGTGTACAAGTATAAAACACTGGTTTTGTATTTCAAAAGTTGGAAGATATCCAGTCATTAAACAGTCTACAAAACATATTGCCAGTAGATTACATAAAAGACTATGTACAATATAAAAAGAGCTGAAAACAGTCTTCACTGTAAAAATAATTTAAAACAAAATTTTCAATTTAAAATATCATCTATAGCACAGACACATCATGCAAATGAAAAACTACAGTTGATCTAAGCCAAAAGGCCGAGAAGCGATTGAAAAACTAAATATACTGCATTCTTTAGTGTAGCCAAATAAATTCAGATGGAAACACCTTTTAAGTAGGGAGGTGGCCATCCAATAAAAATTTTTTTTCTAGCAGTAATGGTCCTCGCTGGGTAATTTATGCTTAAAGAACAGCTATATTTCAAACCTTTTTTTAAAATTGTAATAAATACCAAAGCAACATAGGCATACTTTATAATTTGGGAGTAATGTTGGGGAAAGTCTGGAAAATTTAGTGTGCAACTTTATAAAGCATGAACTTTTTTGAAAGGCTAGAAGCTTTTGCAGCTGAGAAAGTAGATCTCTAGTTTTAAGGCAGGCTAAGCTTTTAAATAAAAACACAGTAAGGATTCATTTCATTCATTAACTATTCTGCTATTACAAGTTACATCATGTTCATCTCCAGAGTACCAGGCTAGCAGTTTGGTGTTTATACACCAAATACTCCCAACAGGAGGAGACATGGATTTACTGGCTGAGTTATATATAATTATCATTACTTTGGAACCATAACCAGGGAACCTGTCACTCTCCTCATCTGTGGAAAAGCAACAGTTCATAATATTACACTCTTCCCCAAAGTTACCATTACTATAGATCATAAAGACTTTTGCATATTCACATCTTGGCAGTTTAATACTTGTGGGAAAAAAGCAATGTAAGCTCTACCACAGTGATAGGTATTGAAACAACAATGGGAAATACTCTCAACACTAAGGGGGCCCAGGCAGGCACTATTGTTTCTACAGCAATTGAAACATTTCCAAAGCATTTATTTGTTTTACAGATTATTTTTATAAGCCAATATAGACATTTCTACATGTCCATTAAAGTACAAAAGCCATCTTCATTTGAACAACACAACATTCCTGAAACTTAGCACCAAGTCTTACTTTAAAAAGTAAAGAAAACTGAGTGCTCTCCCATATATTGTTGACTTCCTTCTACTCACATTGCATGTTATGAGATTTTTTAAAAAGTTAGCTGCCACAAGTTTTGGAAAATGCCAGTGTTTAAAAATAGGTAATTGTGCTAATAAAGAATCAAAAGTTTAGCAGAACAGAGATTTGAGTTTTTCAAACTATTCAAAGAAATAGTAAATAAAAATGAAAATACCGTTCTTTGGTCTAGGTAAGCTGTTCCCTTTTATGTTAACATTCCAATGGCTTTTTGAAAACTTTAAAATGTTGAAACTTATTAGGCAAAAATGTATAAACAAAAATTATATATACAATATGGATGTATCATACAAACAAACCTTTAAAAGTCTTGACCAAGAGCAGGTTAAAGATACTTAGTACCTTTCTTTAAAAAAAAAAAAAAAAATTAGTGTTAAGTGTACAAGTACAGAAATAAGGAAGTTAAAAATTATCCATGAAAAAAAAAAATCTATTTTACCAGTCTATAAATATTAAATCTTTCATGTTTCCTTTGTTCTATCGTGTTCACAAGTAAACATTCATTTTGACATGCTAAAGGTTCCTAATGCTGGTGGAACAATTCCTGTACCTGGAAAATTATGACATTATGATTTGTTGGATGGGTAATTAATGTCTGCTGCTTCCTGTTTCATAGATGTAGTTTCACTGACTTCCTCTTGATCACCTTCACCAGCTCCAAATGCAGTCCCTCCAGCTCTCTCATTGACATCGGGGTCATCTTCCAAGCCGTTGTAGAATTCTTCAATCTCACTTTCATCCTCCACGGGCTCTTCTAAACTCGGGCTCTGGCAGGTCCCGCTATCGCTGTTACTGCCGCAAGAGCTAGAGGGCAAGACGTCATCTTCAGAATCTGAATAGACTTCGGCGCCATGGAAAATGTAACGGTTTGGTGGTAAAAATAGGTACTGATTACCTGAAATAAAGAATGAGAGAGAGAATTATTTTGATCTGATTGGGCAGTATGGAGTTTAGCGTGTAGGTTCCAGCTCTGCCTTTTACCTGCATATCACTAGTAGAAGCTGTTATTACTCTAGTGATTAAAAAAACAACACTAGAGCTTTATAAATCAGAGTTTTTAAACTTACCAGAAAAAACTAGGGTCCTGGTGCACGGATTTGGGTGGGGGGTTGGGGGGAGGGTTCCTCTCAGCCCAGCCAGCACCATCCTTGGGGGTTGGGCCTAAGCCAGCAGTCAGACATCCCTCTTGTAGTCTGGGACCCCTCATTCCTCACCACCCACCTGCAGCAGGAGAGGATCCTGCCACCACTGCTGTGCTCGCCAGCTGCAAGCTGAGCAGCACTTCCCTGTAGGAGTGCACTGACCACCAGGGGGCAGCTCCTGTGTTAAGCATCTGCCAGCAGTTGCACGTCATAGCAACTGGTCCTTCTGCCATTTGGTCAATTTGCATATTAGGGTCATATAGGATGTAGAGAACTGTTCAATAAAGATTTCTTATCCAATTTTAATAGATCTGATGAGATGAAACCAAGTACTCAGCCTAGTCTACATTAGATACCTCATTCATGTTCTTTGAATATAACTTCTCTAAAGCATATACACTTTCAAAGCGTCTTTTTAAAATTAATTTTATATCTATATCTATCTATCTATCTATCTACATATATATATATATATATATATATATATATATATATATATATATGATTTTTTTTATACAGAGGAAGGGAGAGGGAGAATTAGAAAAATCCATGAGAGAGATACATCAACCAGCTGGGTCCTGCACTTGCTCTACTGGGGATGTGCCTGCAACCAAGGTACATGCCCTTGACCAGAATTGAACCTGGGAGCCTTTGGGTCCACAGGCTGATACTCTATCCACTGAGCCAAACCAGTTAGGTCTCAAAGCATCTTTATTAAACATTTCCATTTAGTTTGTTAATATGGCTTCACCACCTATTCATAGTCTGTAGACTCTGGCATCACATGAGTTTGTTACAAGTTTTCAGGCCCAACACTTCCCACCTACTGAACCAAAATCTTTATATAAGAGGCCTCACACACACTCAAGTGAGGGAGAAGCCCTGATCTAGCAATGGATTTTAACCTTTCTTCCTCAATTCCTCCCAAATTTGCATTGACAGTATGAGATTTGATCTATGGACCCTAGGTCAAAAGAGAGATGTTCTACTCTCAAGAGCATTAATTTGCATCTATGAATACTAAGAAAGTTAAATGTTCCAGCTTAAGTCAAATTTAGTTTAGGTTTAGTTTCTTTTTTTTTTTCTTTAATATATTGATTTTTTACAGAGAGGAAGAGAGAGGGATAGTTAGAAACATTGATGTGAGAGAAACATCTATCAGCTGCCTCTTGCACACCCCCCACTGGGGATATGCCCACAACCAAGGTACATGCCCTTGACCGGAATCGAACCTGGGACCTTTCAGTCGCAGGCTGATGCTCTATCCACTGAGCCAAACTGGTTTCGGCTAGGTTTAGTCTCTTAAAATAACATTTTTCACTACATTTATTTGGATTTAAACATTGATTTCCAAAAAGTGACTTCACCTATGTTAACACTAATTGTAGATTTTCCATATGGCAAAAGGGGAGATGCTATTCCTTATCTCCTATCTATATAAAACCCTAATATGCAAACAGACCAAGTGGTGGAACCCGCAGGATGGTGCAGCAGGTAAACCAAGGCACCAGACCAAGGCGGAGCACTGGTCACTGTCATTGGGGCGAGCCTCTGGTGGTTACTGAAAATTCTTTGCTCCCACATGCCACTATCCCTGCCCAGTGCTAACGCCCACTGCTGGCACCAGAGCTGCCAGTCACACCCGCTGCCAGTGATGTCAGCACATAGGAGCAGCAGGAGGGTCTGAGTGGAGCTCGAAGGATGGGCTGAGACCCACTCCTGTGCCCACCACAGCCTTGCCATCCTCAGTTCAAGGTACATGAATTTGTGCACTGGGCCCCTAGAACTTCGTGGAGAAGAATCAGATGCTTTCTAGATCTGACACAACCTGCATAGTGATTAAAGGGCAGGCTCTGGGGATATACCTGGAATGCAATCTTGGTTCTTCGGGAATTTAACTTCTATAGTCAAGATTTCCCACTGTAACAGAGATGTAATAATAGCTCCTACCTCATGAGATTGAAGTCAGATACTATGTATAAAGCAGCTAACCCACAATAAGCACTGAATTTCAGTCATTTCTACCAACTAAATCTCACCTGACATGGCAGAGCACTGAATATTTCCCAATTTCCTTCTCAATTTGATGCTTACCTTCTTATTCCCTAGAGTAACACAAGTACTAAGCATTCTTCAAACACTATTTTTTCCCCATATTATGTAACATAACAATGTTTATCTTTCTCTAGCTTGACTACTCAACTTTGCAATGTTACGTTTAGCTGCATAAAGCTACCCTATGAATAAACCTGCCAAAGTTGCTCATTTCTTGCAAATGTTTTGTTGCAATAATTATATCTTCCAAAATAGCTTCTTACCATCAAGCCGTTTACTAATCTGCTCCTTTGCAATCTTGGCTGGCCAAAACTTTCTCACTGTTTCAGCTACTGAAGTTCTTTCATTTTTTTCCCCAGTACTGGAGCTAATGTTCTTCAAATCTGAACTCTCCAACTGTTCAGTAACACTTTCAATGCTCCTAGAAGTCTGTATTGCCTGTGATTTTTCTTCCATACAATCTTTTGATTCAGACACATCTGGATCATCAATATTACTCTTCGCTGCATGGTCCAAAAGTGTGACAATCACTGAAGAATCTGGTGGTGAAGTTCTTTCTGGTGAACTGGAGCCTTCTGAAATATTAAGAGGTGTGGGTGGCAACTCTGACAAATGAGCCAGCTCTTTTTGTGTTCGTGGAGGTTTTTCAGTAATTTCTGAAAGCTTTATAGGGTTGCAGCAAAGTTTGGCATATTCACCACCTAACCTATGACACAATTCATTAATGATGACATCACAGTCTCCAAGAAGCTCCACATCAAAATGCAGATGAGGCAAAGGTTCCCTATTAATCAATATCTGAGGCACTTCATGGGGTATAGAACCTAAAAATAGAGCAAAAAAATAAGATTTAGAAAAAGGAGATAAGCTAATAAAACCACAACAAATGCACTATTGCAAAAATGTAACACATTCCTAATAACAAAAAAGAAACCAGCCACTTAACCCAGCCATTGACATTTCATCAAGCTATCATGGGAACAGCCGAAACCGGTTTGGCTCAATGAATAGAGCGTCACTGAAAGGTCCCAGTCAAGGGCATGTATCTTGGTTACAGGCACATCCCCAGTGGGGAGTGTGCAGGAGGCAGCTGGTTGATATATTTTTCTCATCGATGTTTCTAGCTCTCTATCCCTGTCCCTTCTTCTCTGTGAAAAATCAATAAAATATATTTAAAAAATAAAAAATAATAAAAAGTTATCATGGAAACAGATGAGTAAGCAAGCATCTTTTATAAAATTTCAGGTTCTGCTTCTGTCACCTGGTTACCTCTTAGCAATTTTTTTTGGATTTTTTTACTCTGTACCTCAATTTCCTTGTCTATATAATAGGAATAACAGCAGTACTTTTCCACAAAGTTGCAATGAGGATTTAAATGAGTTAATATATTTCAAGTGCACAGAAGAGTTCTTGGCACATAGCAAGTGATCATTATTTTTACTGAAATAGCTCCTAATATAAAGAGCGTGAGGATTTCTGGAAGATGAGCTTTCCTCTTCCCATAATCTCATCAAAACTGGAACTAAATTACTGAGAACTATCACTGAAGACTAGCTTAACAGAATCCCTATAGCTCAGGGTATAAAGAGGTGATACAGACTGAAGGAAGGGCAGGCATAGAACAGGAAGATCCTGTGCCCTAGGAGGTTATCTTGGCTGCTGAGCTCCCTTTGAGAAGCCAGGGATGATCTCAGCCCCAGATCGGGCTCCACAGCCCATGGCACCAGTGACAGAAGAGGAGTCCCCATTAACATCTGGCTGTGAAAGTCAGCAGGGATCTGGGAATCACAGAAGTTTTGAGGACAAAGGTACTGCTCTTAAAGCAGTGGTCACCAACCTTTCAGAACAGACGACCATCCACTGGACTGTCTGAGGACCACCAGTTGGCAACCGCTGTCTTAAAGGACCCATGCTCTAAGCTCCAGCACAGACACCAGCTTGAAAATGCCAGGGACAGTCCTAGCCGGTTTGGCTCTGGATAGACCATCAGCCTATGGACTGTAAAGTCCCAGGTTTGATTCTGATCAAGGGCACATGGCCGGGCTGTGTGCTTGGGTCCCCGATATGGGGCATGCAGGGGGCAGTCAGTCAATGATTCTCTCTCAACATTGATGTTTCTCTCTCCCTCTCCCTTCCTCTCTGAAATCAATAAAAACATAGATTGTTTTAAAAGTCAACCAATGAATGCATAAATAAGTGGAACAACCAATCAATGTTTCTCTCAAGTCAATTTATTTTTAAAAAGTCTCTGCCTTGACTTTAAGGAGGAAAGAAAATTAAAAAATAAAGGAGCTTATACATTAAACTTCATGTTTTATTTAATACATTATCCTATAGCATTAGGATTTCTCAGTTATGTAGGGAAGACAATTATACTGCTAAAAGCAACTACATATAGGGTAGGAAAAAGATGCAGAATTAGGGAGTTTAAATCCTTGTTTCTTCCCTCCGTTTACCCTGGCTGCCTATTTGATTGCTGGTACAGGGATCTACTTTAATCCTCTGATAAAGGGTTTGATATTCTCTCCTCCTTTCTGCATTTTTTAGGGCATACCTGATACTACTAAGTTAGTATCCCTCTATCTTCCCCCGTGACAATAATAGGGTCTTCAATTGTACTTGAGCATTTTTATACACACAAAACACCCTTATGAATAAAGTAAATCCACATATGATTGTGACAAGGCATGATTATTGATACAAAAAGAAGCCAATTCTTTTGACTCCCCAAATTCTATCTTACATAATACATTATACTTCTATCAAGCTAGAAATTTTAACTTAATTTGAACTGTTTCCCTTTGTCTATACATTTTTCGTGTATATTAGAATCTGACATTATTTCTGTTTTGACATCCATGTCATCTCCCTGCTCATCCCACCAAGTCAAATTAACATGAACAGAATGTCACCTAAAATATAAGGTTTAGTTCTTTATCACTCTTTAACCGGAAACAGAATAAGATCTCACTGGAGTCTATTGTACTGTACAGACTCATAACCCATGGCAATATATAAGGAAATATTCTCTAAAAATCATCACCAACTTACTTGGAATTAGTGCTACTGGTCTTACTTTCAGGGAAGACCCAATAACAATGAGGAGATCAACTTCATCTTTGTCATACTTCATGGCTCTATGAAATTGTTCTGGTAAATTTTCACCAAAAAAGACAATCTCTGGTTTCATAATAGCAAGTGGTTCATCAGCTGGGCACCTAGGACATCGAGGAACCACCTGCATGTTTCAGATTTTTGGTTGAGGTGGGGAAGAGAAGGAAAAGCCCAAGTTAGAAACAGTCAATATTTCCACCGTTGCTAAGAATTCATTTTGAAATCAACAAAGAAAACAGAAAAGTTGTGGATAAATAAAATAGGGAAATTGGGTACAACCTAAACATGAATGTCATTTGTCATAAACATAAAAGAAATACAATGTTGCTACTACCTGTGTATGCTATTGTACTTCTGTACAAACCTACATTTGATATTAAAGGTTTATTGTATAGTAAATGAAAAAACCGGCGTGTATATATGTATGTACACACATATATTCACAATCCACACACAGACTTAATCCTTTTAAAAAGTTCTGCCCGACCAGTCCGTCTCAGTGATTGAGCGTCAACCTAAGAATCAGAAGGTCACAGTTTGATTCCCGGCCAGGGCACATGCCTGGGTTGCGGGCTCGATCCTAAGCATGGGGCATGCAGAAGGCAGCCAATCAATGATGCTCTCTCATCATTGATGTTTCTCTCTCTTCCTCTCCCTTCTCTGAAATCAATAAACAAAATTAAAAAAATAAAACAAGAGTAAGTTTGTAGGATACAATGATTATGCCCTGGCCACGTAGCTGAGTTGGTTAGAGCCGCCCTGATAAGCCTAGGTTACAAGTTCAATCCGCAGTTAGGGCACATACAAGAATGAACCAATGAATGTATAAATAAGTGGATCAACAAATCGATTTTTATCTCCCTAACTGCCCTCCCCTGCAGGCTTGATCGCCCCCAACTGACTCCGTTGCAGACCTGGTCCCTCTCAAATGCCTTCCCCGCTGGCGATCTTGTGTCCCCATAGGGGCAGCCATCTTGTGAGTTGGAGTGACAGTCAAGTTGCATATTACTCTTTTATTAGATAGGATATCATTTAAAAAATAAAAAAGATACAACGATCCCATTTTAATATACTATCCTCCTACGTATATATACAGGTAAATGAACAGAATTTATTTCTGGATAATTATTCTTTGCCATATTTTCTTGTAGTGTTTTGGCAATGAGCATATACAAAATATCTTTTACAATACATTTTTAAAAAAATATATATTGATTTTTGTACAGAGAGGAAGGGAGAGAGATAGTTAGAAACATCAATGAGAGAGTCATCGATCAGCTGCCTCTTGCACACCCCCTACTGGGGATATGCCCGCAACCAAGGTACATGCCCTTGACCGGAATCGAACCCGGGTCCAGTCCCCAAGCCAACGCTCTATCCACTGAGCCAAACCGGTTTCGGCTACAATACATTTTTTAATGTTTAAAGAATTACCACCTTAATTTAAAATTCTGAGTCTGACAGGGCATTACAAAGGGAGAGTATGAAGAAAAACTAACATAGCAACACCTCATTTATGATCTGGATTTTTATTTTAGTCTTCGATATTAAGAAGCCTGGATATTTCTTGTGTATTTCACCAGAATTCCCAATGATAACACTCACTTCCTAGATCTTCCTGTACCACACAAATACTTTCAGGAAAAAACCAAAAATGGTTTGGGACGCAAAAGAAGAAACAGATTAGCCCAGTGTGTCTCAATGGTTGAGTGTCAGGGCACATGCCTGAGTTGTGGGCTCAAACCCCAGTAGGGGCCATATATGCAGGAGGCAGCCTATCAATGATACTCTAATCATTGATGTTTCTCTCTCCATTTCTCTCTGAAATCAATAAAAATATATTTAAAACAAAATCAGAGATATGCACAATTCCTAAAATATGGGTGATAAATTACCTGATTAAAAATATCTCCTCGTACAGCTTCACAGTCAACTTTGTATTTACAAATCAGGCAAGATGCTGTTGCAAATGAACCTAAAAAAAAACACACAACATACATGTATGTGTTTTATTAATGAAATGCTTCCATTTATTAAACATACCACACTTTTATCAAATGTTAAAATTTTAAAAGACTCCATGGGAGAATCTAGAATATAAGTAATTAAAATACTGATGTAATAAGTAAGGATCACCACTCCTGTTTGACATAGTACTGGAAATATATATAAAAAATAAAAATAAAAGAGAGAATCCAATCCTCAACTGATGTTATGTTGATACAATGACGACTCTCCTAAGCTGCTACTTTCAATACAATAAACCAACTCTTCCAGGTCTAAAATGCTACCGAGTTGGAAGATTACACTGTACAGTATTACTTTAGCCTAGTTGTTTTAAAAACAATTCAGATAAATAATGTTCTGCTCTTGTTATACTAAATGGTAATTTCTAAATACTATTCATCAGAACAACCCAATTCCTTTAGTTTCATAATCTAAAGATGACTTTTGTAAGTTTAAAAAGGTTACTTAAAAGAATGTAAAAAAATGCAACTGCTACATCTTCTAAAATCCAAAAATATATTGATTTCTCACATCTCGTGTGTCAAGGCCAATCCTTCAAGTTTCATAGGGGTTTTTTTGCATCCCACTTTTCTTATTTTATCTACAACTGTCAGATAGCATGAGGAAATAATAAAATTCAATCTCCATTCCTGGATGGTAGCCTATTTTCTAATCCTAATTTTTCCTAGGATTAACAAAACTAGTAAATAACAGAAATCAATTCTTAAGTTTACTAACCATGACATTGAATTATCCTTTGGATTCCTGCAACCTGTTCCAGTGTATCTATGTTCTGAGTATAGTTGCGAAGTAGTTTTCCTTCCTTATCCGACAATGCTATGAATTTGTGACATAGAGATGGCTGGAATTGTCCAGGATATATTTCCTATATAAGGCAAAAGGCAGAAAAAAAAGATTACATTTAAGAAGTATAACACGTATCACATGTTTAGGTTTAACAACAACAGAAAAACTACCAATGTTAATGCCCCACGTATAAATAATTTAAAAACTACATGATCATCTCAAAGCATCTAGATGGGTACAACACACACCTACAAAAAGATTGTTGCTGTTATATGTATAAAACTCAGCAATTAGTGATCTTGGCCCCTTGAAAAAGATAAAGATGACCCATAAACATCTCTAATAAATGTTAACAGATATTTTAATAAAAGTTAGAAGAAATACACCTTAGAATATATCTAACTTTTGTTGGCTGCAAATTCAGTTGTTGTTTTTTTTTTAAAGCAAAAGGGGGAATAGTTTAAATTGAAATTAAAGATATCAAAGGTATGGTGACTTTTTTAAAAACATAAGAATATTAAAAATTTCTTATTCATCATTCATTATAAATATCAACCTGTTGGAAGTTTAAAGCTAAAGTTTTATTTCCTTACCAAAATTGTTTTCCTTCCACTGCACAGGCACATACTGGTATAGTATAGAGTTGCTCATGAATGCTGAGTTGCTGGATTTTGTGTGTGTGTTTTTCCCCCCAAATAATGCTTCAATGCTGTTTCTTCTTTAAAAACAAAGAATTCAGATATACACATGGCAAAAAGATCAGAGAAAAATTATCAATTTTGGTCCTCTCAACTTTTGACAGTGTTTATATTTCATTTCGTAAGTGACTATGGCAAAGGAAGTTTCTTCATTAAAGTAGTAACGCTACCTTCTACTTCCTTACCATTCATTCTAGCCTCTCACCTACTACAATGCTAGCAAAAAAACTAGACACAACCATATGTCCATCAATAGGGGACTGGTTGTAGATATGTGATACCATCCATAATAGTGGAGTATGCAGCCATTAAAATTAATGAGGTTTAGATGCACTGACCTGAAATATGGTTCATGACATATATGAAAAAGCAAGTTAGTCACTGGTGTGTTTTGTTTTTATTGTTTTGTTATTAAGCAAAAATGAAAATAATATGCACATGCATATAGACATGTTCATAAAAACATCAAGTCAGGAAGGATTCAAACAGGCTATAAACAGATGGGAACTTCCACTTCTGATATACAAAAATGTTGAATAAGATTATAGATGACTACTTTTAACCTATTTAATATTTCAATTTAAAAAAAATATCTACAGGTATACCTTTCAGATAAAATAAGTAAACCTATAACTATCAAGTACACATCCATATGCTGCTGAAAACTGTATACAAAAATCTAAAAATCTGCCTCACATTCAAATTTTTTTCATGAATTTCATGAACAACTTTGCAATTTACAAAGTAGGCATTGCACATATAGAAAGAAGTGACAAGAGCTTAATAAAGCTAATGTTTATAAAAAATTTAAAGCTACTTTGTGTTCTAGACCATTGGATTGTGCTATACTAACCAGTGTTTTAGCTACAAGATGCTTTCTTCTAGTACATTCATATTTACATAGAGGCTTAAACATCACTGTATTTTATTAAAGCTCCCTCTGGCCCTAACCAGTTTGGCTTAGTGGACAGAGCGTCAGCCTGCGGAACTCAAGGGTCCCAGGTTCGATTCCGGTCAAGGGCATGCACCTTGGTTGTGGGCACATACTCAGTAGCGAGTGTGTAGGAAGCAGCTGATCGATGTTTCTAACTATCTCTCTCTCTTCCTCTCTATAAAAATATCAATAAAATATATATATTATTTTAAATAAAATAGTTGTTCGAGTGTTTTAACAAACATTAGAATATGCTAGGCAACAAATAAAATAACATCTAAAGTAGGAAGAAAAGTGATAACAGCATGCCAAACAAAACAAGAATAAATGACCTTCAGAGCAGGGACAGGGAGTAAGAGTCAAGACTCCAAGACTCCTGAAATGAACTTTTATGTGCCTTATCTCCAACCCCCTTTTAAAGGAGAAGGTTTAGAGGCCCAAAGATATGCAGACACTCCAATTTCCCTTCACGTCCAAACCGTAACAGTTCAAGGTAGTTTAGCCCCTAAAGTTAAAATTCAATTCCTATAGTTGGGATCATTTATGAAACTCTTTTTATATGATTAAATTTTACGTGCTATAATTTGAATCTTAACTTTTTGTCTATTTTCTTTCAAATATGTAGTGGACCATGTCTGAACATCCTCAAGTCCTATCAAGAAACCAACCATGTGGAACGGGCCAATCTGTTAGTGCCAAAGGGATCCTCCCCAATGACAGAAAGCAGATCTGGGACCAAAGGCTCAAAGCACTTTTTTAAAAAGGCCTGTTGCTTACATATAACTGTGTTTAGAAATATGCAAACACTTTAGTAACTGTTCAAAGGCAACCAACAGGGAGGGTCCAAGTTAAAAACTTAGAACTACCTGCCATACTGAGGTTTCATGCAGAAATAAAGACTCTCCTCCAAAAATGATCACTACTTGGTTTCATCTAAAAATTTCTAGCAACATGAGTGAGACCCCAGTCAAAAGCAGGGATGTTAACTGCAACCCCTCAAAAATAAAAGGACGCATTCATGTCTGATATCCACCTCCTCCTTCAGAGCAGAGGGAGACAATTAAGTAGAGTTGGTAATAAATTAGAACATAAAATTTCTATTGCTGGAAACACACACACACACACACACACACACACACACACCACATACACATCGATCCTGGTTAGAAAAGTCCTCATAATCCCTTATTTTATTCATTCCACAAAACCACACTTGAACAGACTACTCAATATTTTATCTAATCAGCACTTACAAATTATTAGTCACCTGACAAATTCAACTGCCTTTTTTTTTTTTAATCTAATTCCCCAAGGAACTCAAGATTCAGCAAACTTTTTCCAAACGAGGATAACAGTAAATATTTAAGGATTCCATATGGTCTCTGTTGCAACCACTCAATCTCCCAATGTAGCGCAAAAGAACCTTAGACAATATGCAAGTCAATGAGCTTTATTTACAGTCACCAACATGAGAATTTTCTATGTTCATATGCCATAAAAAAAAAAAACTCTTCATTTTCCCCCTTCCATTGAAAAACTCTTAGCTCAGGGCTCTATAAAAACAGGCAGTGGGCTACATTTGGACTGAGGCTATAGTTTGCCAATTCCTGTACTAACCTAACACAAAAGAATTTCAGTTAGTCAAGCTATTAATTTACCATTTAATGAAGTTTTAATATGCACTAAACATAACGAGCAATTTATTATAATGGTATAAACTAGGCTGAGGACTGAATTTTTACATTTTAAAAGGTTGTTCAGAAAAATAAAGAACATGTTACTAAGCTCCTATGCTGTCCACAAAGCAGACCACGTTTACTAACTGACCCATAAAGAAAAGATGTGCTGACCATACCGTAGGATATATATATACCCATTTTGCAGATGAAAAAAACCAAAGCAAAGAAGTCACTTGCCAAAAGTCACAAGAACCAGTAAGTAGCAAAGCTGTCATTCAAACCCAGTTTTGATACTAAAGTGTGGCTCTTAGTCACTATGCAATAACTTTTTTTTTAATTTAAATTATTTGTCGAAAGTATTACATATGTCTAATAATACCTTTTCAATGTTTGATCCCTATACCTCAAGCTTCATACTCTCCTTTTAGGGTAAGCATCATTTCTGTTAGGTACTGCTAACTAGTCTAATATCTAAGAGCAGTCTAGTAAGTACACTTAATTTTGCAAATTTTAAAAAGTATTTTAATGCCAATAATGTACTGCAGAGAATTTGAAGAAGTGAGCAGGGGCATGTTAAATCAGCCTTCTCATAAACTTCTTCTAATGGGAATGTACTTTTTCCCACCTTCACAGATAGCAATACAGCAAAATGTATCAGGACCCTTGGCAATTTCCTTTTTAGGAGTGTATCCTAAGAAAATAGGAGACACACACACCAAAAAGGATAATCAAAGCAACCCTACTTGTGATAACAGGAAGTAACTTGCAGGATTAGTTCATTATAGTACACTACTTGATGAACATTATGTTGACTATAAAGTATTCAGGTGTCTGACACAAAAAATTTATTAAGTAGGAAATACTACAAACACAAACCAGTATGAAAAAGAACCCATTTTTTAAAATATATATATTTTTATTGATTTTTTACAGAGAGGAAGAGAAAGTGATAGAGAGCTAGAAACATCGATGAGAGAGAAACATCGATTAGTTGCCTCTTGCACACTCCCTACTGGGGATGTGCCCGTAACCAAGGTACATGCCCTTGACCAGAATCAACTTGGGACCTTTCAGTCTGCAGACCTATGCTCTATCCATTGAGCCAAACCGGTTTCGGCAAAAAAAGAACCCATTTTATAATAAAAAAGTAATATAAATAATACTTTACGCCTATATTTATACTTCTGTAATCCATATATACATAAGTATTAATATATTGTTTTCAGACAATGCATTTTTTGATTTTTAGATAATGAACGAGTCTTTAACTTTTTAAAAAAATATATATTTTATTGATTTTACATAGAGAGGAATTGAAAGGGACAGAGAGTTAGAAACGTCGATGAGAGAGAAACATCCACCAGCTGCCTCTTGCACACCCCCTACTGGGGATGTGCCCACAGCCAAAGTACATGCCCTTCACCGGAATCGAACCCGGGACCTTTCAGTCCGCAGGCTGACGCTCTATCCACTGAGCCAAACCGGTTTCGGCAAGAGTCTTTAACTTTTATAACTATATAATCTGGTATGTTAGAACATTATCAATAAAGTGAGAATTTATTGAATAAATATAAAGATACATTTTTTAGAATTAAGTCAAGTTCAGTTCACATTTTCATATTTCCATCCCCTAATTCTTCTTGAGTTTTAATCACTTTAATGGAAAAAACATTCACTGAATTCTATATAGGTTAGCAAATACTTTGGACAGTCTTTAAAAAGTTATTTTATCCAAGTTCAGTTTCACCTTTACTGACTCAATTTTATCAGTATCAGTCAGTTATTCTAGGGACTCCTTATTAAGCAAAACGATAACGGTTCAAGACATGGCTATACAGCTTTATGTTGGCCTTAATTATTCTTGGGGGTATTTCAAAGTGGTAACAAAGCTAGGCAAACTGTATCACAATGGTGCTCAATCAGGGAACAATTTTGCAGGGAATACTTGGCAATGTATGGAGACATTTTTGAATGTCAAGACTGGGAGTGGAGCCGAAACCGGTTTGGCTCAGTGGATAGAGCATCAGCCTGAGGACTGAAGGGTCCCGGGTTCGATTCCGGTCAAGGGCATGTACCTTGGTTGCGAGCACATCCTCAGTAGGGAGTGTGCAAGAGGCAGCTGATCGATGACTCTCTCTCTCATTGATGTTTCTAATTCTCTCTAGCTCTCTCCCTTCCTCTCTGTAAAAAATCAATAAAATATATTAAAAAAAAAAAAAAAAAAAAAAAAAGACTGGGAGTGAGGGTGTTAATGGGATTTAGTGGGAAGGATACTGCTAAATAATCCATAATTCATAGGGCATCTCCTCATAGCAAAAAATTACCCACCCCAAAATGGCAATGGATTAAGAATCTGCTTTACTGCGCCAGTTACTTCTTTAAACACACCTCTCTATTACTTGGAATTTCCAGACTAAATGAAATCTAAGTTTCTTCTCAATAATTATGTACATCGATGGCTTGATGCATTAAGGAAATTATTTCCTTCCAAAAATTCACCAATAACGTAACTCCATATTACATTCATTTTCTCTGGCAAAAACCATAAACCATTTAACAAACTTTCTGCTTACTATAGCAACTGGTAGAAAAATTTAATTATTAGTGTTTTATTCACACATTTCATGAATCTCGTAAAATATAACAATATTTGCATACCCTCTCCCTCCATTTTTGGGTAATATACTTTGTTCCTTGTTCTTACTTATTTCTCCTTAACCTTTTCCCCAATTATTTATTTTTAGACCCGATATTAACTTGGCCTCTTCTATCTCTATTTTAAGTGCTTCTTTAGCAACTGGAAATTTTCTTTTAGGCAGTTCATAATGGAAGAATAAAAGTGCAACACTTCTATATAAATAATAGTTATAACCTTAAATGAAAGCTCACAAAAAATAAAGCAAAATGAAGCTTATATGAATAAAACTTTATAGGTAAACTTTTTTTATTTTGTTAATAAAAATTCACAAAATCTTAAAGCTTATAGAAAAGTGAAAAATACCACCCTCCAACACTTTCTTCTCCCAGATGGTATATAACCTATACAGTGGTTAAGAACATTGTGACACATTGTTATTTTCTCTTATGTACTGTCTAGATTTCTGTTAAGCACACTTCTAAATTTTCTTATACTTTTTGTGTTTTATCATTGTAATTCTGAATAGTTGTCTTTCAATTTTTACATGTCAAAGCTAGTTAAGGTACCAATGAATACCCAATTTGTATATTAGACAACTAGGATTACAATCTTCTTCAACTTGCTATTTCTATTCTCAGTTTTCACATTTTTCCAAGTGACAGGTGACTACTTTACTAAGCAACTTTACTAAGTACATATAGGGAAGTGAAGGGGGGGAGGAGGGTGACAAGTTAGTTTGGGCAATATGTTTTCTTTCCTCTCAGAACACAAATTACAGCAAGTCTTACAAGCATTACATGAATGGGCTACTGAATCAAGCTTTAATAATGAGAAATAAGACAGATCAAAGTAATTTCTAGTTACCTGCTGGTCTTCTGTAAGTGTTCATTTCTGCTAACTAGAACTGTTACATAATGCTAGTATTTTAGGTTCAATTCAAGAAGCCTGTAACTAAGTGACATTTTATTGGTCTGCAAAATCATGCAATAGTACTACTAACACCAGTGAAACAGTAAGTCTTCACTAATTCAAAATCTTGTAATTAAGAGAATAATGTAAAAAAACTAATTTTATTTATGTAATTCAGTGTAAACCAGGTGTCAGTTCTTAATGGTACATATAAATGTACATCATTACTTTATGCTGACACAAAGTAAAAAGTTGAAAATTTTCACTAGTTTCAAGTTGATAGAAAAATTAAAAATTCTTTAGCCTGAAAATTTCTCAATTCAGTTTTCAGTTTTAGCAATTAAGTCATATTCAAGAAACTTAAATGTAATTTCCATTTTCCTCTAATTTTTATTTATAGCCACACTTGAATGAAACAAAAGACTATTTCTTTAAAAACAGTTCAACCAATTTAAACTCCATTTAAATTAGCGGAGCTTTTCCTATAGTTGTGTAAATAGACAATATGGTTTGAAAGTAACTGAGATTACCCCTTTAATTAAAATCTAGGTTCCTTTAACTTCTAGATTCACTAAAAACAGTCACTAACACAACACAAAAGACCCAAAATACTGAAGCTTAGCAATAGCAACTTTACAATTTCTTCCCATAAGACTAAACTGTGGAGGAAAAAGAATAAAGTTTTCTGATTAAAATATCTTAAGCTTGGCATAATGCAGCAATTAGCAACCTTTTTCATTCATGGCACTTATAAACTCATTACTAAAATTCTGTGGCACATCAAAAATGTATTTTTGCCGATCTGACAAAAGAAAGCAGATTATCAGTGTGATTCATCCACATTGGATGGCTATTGTTGTGTTGGTGGTTGTCATTTTTTTGTTTGACAATCTAAGGGAAAAGAGTCAGTGCCCATGACTAGTCAGGTATACTTAGTTTTGCCTCACCTGAGGATATTTTGAGAGAGAGAGAGAGAGAGAGAGAGAGAGAGAGAGAGAGGGAGTGTGTGTGTGTGTGTGTGTGTGTGTGTGTGTGTGTAGGGAGGTAGGTGGAGGGTACGGGTGGGGGAGGTTTGAAAGACACTTTGATTTTCCTTGCCTCCCACATGTGCCCCAAAAGGGCCAGGATGGGTTAGGATCAAATCTGCACCCAGTATGTGCCCTTGACAGTCAATCAAACTTGGGACTCTTTGGTGCCCCCCCACCTCCCTGGTAGGGGGACGGGAAGAGGATGGAGGAGTGAAGGCAGAGATAAAGCTGACTCTCTAACCACTGAACCACACCAATTGAAAATTACTGGCATAATGTATTATCAAGCTTTGTAATCCAGAATAGAGCTGCCCAATAGAAATGTGATCACGCCATGTATGTAATTTTAAATTTTCTAGTAATTACATTAAAATCATGGAATTTTCATAATTTATAACCCAGTATCAAAAGTATCATTATTTCCACATGTAATTGATATTTATTTATATAATTTACTCCCAAGTTTCTAAAATCTGGTGGACTTTCACACTTACATCACATTTCAATATACTAAAGTGCTCAAAAGCCTCATGTGGCTAGTGGCTTCTGAACTGGGCTGTGCAACTCTAAAGACTAGAGCAGAATAAAGCACTATTAACTAAAATGCAATCTTAAAATCTTCTCCATCCCTAATCACGAATGTTCAGGCACATTACATATGTGTTAAGACCTGCTAATACAAAGCATACCAAAGTAGATGTTAAAATCTTCATAACCCATAAGAAAATATTAAAAATCTGCTTGGTTGGTGTGGCTCAGTGGTTGAGCATAAACCTAGGAACCAGGAGGTCATGTTTGATTCCAATCAAGGCACATGCCTGGGTTGTGGGCTTGATCCCTAATAATGGGCATGTGGGAAGGAGACAGTGATTATGATTCTCTCATCATTGATATTTCTATCTCCCTCTCCCTTATTCTCTGAAATCAATAAAAACATATTAAGCACTCGCTGGTTTGGCTCAGTGGATAGAGTGAGTGTCGGCCTGCAGACTGAAGGGTCCTGGGTTCGATTCCCAGTCAAGGGCACATGCCCGGGTTGCAGGCTAAAACCACAGTTGGGGGCATGCAGGAGGCAACCAATCAATAAGTCTCTCTCATCATTGATATTTCTCTCTCTCTCTCTCTCCCTCTTCCTTCCTGCAATCAAAAATATATATATTTTTTAAAAGCAGCATATTAAAAATAAATAAGCATGGACAATGTAAAGGCCATTAATGCAGTGAAATTTGAAAAAGAGAAAACAGCCTCTTCTTTTAAAAGAAACTCAATCCTAAAGTGAAGAAAAATAACAATCCCTTCTAGAAAGAAAGGAATTCTTACTAAATTGACTGTTTCAATGATGTAACTCCACACTGCAATACTAGTACCCAATTTACTAGACAATGAATGTTAAGCTTAAGAAGCCTTAATATGAATAAATACTTTATCATTAGAGGTGGTCAATTTATAACTAGAAGGGTTCATAGTACCTTTGCGAACTTGAAGAATGGTCTTGGGTCTTTTCTGAAATACTCAATATCAAACATTGCTTGAGGATCTGGAAGGTCTGGGAAGTCTACTGCAAGACGAGCATAAATACCATCTCTTGACCTGAAGTCAGGTATTCCACAAGAAACAGAAACCTGCAAAATACATGGCATAATTTGTACAATTAAATCTTCTACCGGTATGTTTTTGCTCTCACACAATTAGGAAGAAGTTGAAAAATAATTTAGTTTTTAAACTTCTTTTAGAGAACAGAAATACCACCTTATTCCAACTTAAAATAGAAATAAAACAACCCCTAAACAAGTATTACTAAATCCATCACATTCCACTCATAATGGGGTAAGGAATTTTAAAGTCAGGCAAACTTTGAATCTTAAAGCATTTAATCAACAAATTAAAGCAATAGAAATTCATTTCAAATTATTCGAACTAGAAAGCAGGGAACAACTTCCATTGCAGTGAAGTGTTTCCAAAGAAATCTCTCATCTAGTCAGGGACCTATTACTTCAAGAATACTAAATTTCTAGCCCTAGCTGGTTTGGCTCAGTGGATAGAACATCAGCCTACAGTCCCCAGTTCGATTCCAGTCAAGAGCACATACCTCAGTTGCAGGTTCCATTAGGGAGGCAACCAATCAGTGTTTCTCTGTGTGTGTGTCTCCTCACTCCCATCCACTTTCTCCAAAAATCAATGAAAAAATATCCACTGGTGAGGATTAATGAACAACAAAAAACTAAATTTCTATATTTTCTTTAAAATACTATGTTGTAGCCCTAGCTGGTTTGGGTCAGTGGATAGAGGGTTGGCCTGCAGACTCAAGGGTCCCAGGTTTGATTCTGGTCAAGGGCACATGCCCGGGTTGTGGGCTTGATGCCCAGTGGGGGACTTTCAGGGGGTAGCTGATCCATGATTCTCTACCATGGATGGATGTTTCTATTCTCTCCCCTTCTTCCTTCCTCTCTGAAATCAATTTAAAAAAAATATGTGTAAAAAAATACTATGTTGTACAATGTTTCAATTATTTTTATTGATTTCAGAGAGGAAGAGAGAGAGAAATAGAAACTTTAATGAGAGACCATCATTGATCCTACATGCCCTCTCCTGGGGATCGAGTTCGCAACCTGGGCATGTGCCCTGACTGGGAATTAACCATGATCTCCTGGTTCATATGTCCATATTCAACCACTGAGCCAGGCTAGCTGGGCTACAATGTTTTATTTCTTAAGAACAAATTTAGAGCCCTAGCTGGTTTGGTTCAATTTAGAGCGTCAGCCTGCCGTCTGAAGGGTCCCAGGTTCGATTCCAGACAAGGGCACATGCCCGGTTTGCGGGCTCGATCCCCATTATGGGCATGCAGGAGGCAGCCAATCAATGATTCTCTCTCATCACTGATGTTTCTCTCTCTCTCCCTCTCTCTTCCTCTCTAAAATCAATGAAATATATATTTTTTTAAAATAGATTTAGACACCATGCTTTGAAATAGAGGTTTGAGTGTTATCTTTCTGTCTCACAATTTTACCAAAGCGATTCCACTTTGACCTCAGAGTTAAATCAAACTTGATCTAAATCATGTCCGAGAGCAAAGCATTACTATTCTTGATCATTTAAGATTAAGCTGCCTAACCGCTTCACTCAATGGTTGGGCATCAACCTATGAACCAGGAGTCAGGACACATGCCTGGGTTGTGGGCTTGATCCACAGTGGGGGGGTGGGGGGGTGCAGGAGGCAGCCAATCAATGATTCTCTCTCATCAATGATGTTTCTTTCTCTCCCTTTCCCTTCCTCTCTGAAATCAATAAAAACATATTTAGAAGGAAAAAAAAGGATTAAGTGACACTCATCCTTAACTCAAAATGACAGAAAACAGAACTGAATTTTACTCCAGCGTTGCTCTGGTCACTAACAAACATATTCTGTACTCAACACAGAAAACACAATACCCTTCTGTAGCTAGTTATCTGTGACCCTACAGGGGAGCAAATGAAAACTGTCAAGCTAGCTCAATCACATCACCTTAATTTAAATGGAGGGGAGGTAGGAATCTGTTACCTTCCTAACACTAAGTTCTTTACTTGTAAATATCAATTAGGTTCCTGGTTTCCCCATGAAGATGGAACAAAAACCCCATTTCTCCATCACACCCTGACACAAGCAGAATTCTCTTAATCTTCTTTACAGTTGTGGTATAATGTAGGTAGAAATCTTGCCTTAATTCCACTTTGCTTCTGTTTATTTATACCTACTGTATAAATAAACAGAAGCAAATCTTTTTTATGGTTGCTGGAGAGGCTTTTAAAAACAACCAATTTAGCCAAAACCGGTTTGGCTCAATGGATAGAGCGTCGGCTTGGGGACTGAAAGGTCCCGGGTTCGATTCCGGTCAAGGGCATGTCCCTTGGTTGCGGGCAAATCCCCAGTAGGGGGTGTGCAAGAGGCAGCTGATCAATGACTCTCTCTCATCGATGTTTCTAACTCTCTATCTCTCTCCCTTCCTCTCGGTACAAAATCAATAAAAAGTATATTAAAAATAAATAAAATAAAATAAAAACAACCAATTTAGCCTCTGTTGCTATGCTCAACTTTTAGCATTTTTCAAACACAAATAATTGCCATTATCATGAAAGGATAAATTCTTCTACACCAGAAAAACATTTAATAGGAAATACGTAAGATAAAATATTTACCACCCCTCCTTTTTTACTCATGTTTTAAACATGTTACATACCCCAGCTCCAGTTAGAACTATTATTTTTTTGCATTCCTGCAGTAATTTCACAGCATCTTCTATTGTGTTTATATCTTTTCTTTTTTTCCTTTTTGGTGGTTCTGAAAGGATATTAATAACAATCTGCCACAGTGTCATATCATCCCATTCAGGTGGAGGAATTGTTTCTGGTAGTAAATCTTTTAGAATTGTTCGAGGATCTGTGCCAATCATGAGATGTTGCTGAACAAAAGCATATGGACCTATATTAAGAGGACAAAGAATTACGTCAAATTCACATCCAATTAATTTAAAATCTTATTTTCTGAAGTAATGAGTTAACAATCTTTGTGTTTTTTATAAAGTAATAAAATGCAATATAAAAATATTTCGTTTTCACAGCATCCTCAAAACTAATGCTATATCCCAATGAAATTAAGGTCTCAAGAGTTTGGGTCTGCCCTTTGAAATATAAAATACAAAATATTTTAAGAGTCAAGCCCTATCCGGTTTGGCTCAGTGGACATCCCCAGTAGGAGGTGTGCAAGAGGCAGCTGATCAATGACTCTCTCTTATTGATGTTTCTAACTCTCTATCTCTCCCCCTTCCTCTCTGTACAAAAATCAATAAAATATATTTTAAAAAATAATAATAAAAATCCAGAAATATATACCATAATTAGTAACAGGAGCATGTATGTACAAAAGTATTCTACAAATCAACATAGGAAAGATCCTACGAGTCCCAAAAGCCCATACTATTTATCAATAAAAACATAAGGGAAAGCCTTGGCCAAGTTACTCAATTTAGTTAGAGCATTGTCCCAACACGCCAAGGTTGTAAGTTTGATCCCCGGTGAGGGCATTCACAAGAATTAACCTATGAGTGCATAAATAAGTGGAACAAGCTGATGTTTCTCGCTCTCTCGCTTTCTACCTTCCTCTCTCTCTAAAATTAATAAATTTTAAAAAAGACATAAGTGAAAAGGAAATTTATATACTTCTCTAAAGAAATCTATACATAACTAATATCTTTTACATTTTTTTTCAGTAATAATGTTAATTTGATCTTAACAAATCTCTGAAAATGATACATATAATGCTGATGTTTTAAGCACTAATTTTTTTTACCCTAACATTTCTTAAGTCAGTTTTCTAACTTGAGAAAACAAAAAATACAGTAATACTATGGACAATAAGGAACTAATCACCACTGCATTTAAATACCCGTATTTTCCGGCGTATAAGACGACTTTTGAAAAGAAAAAAAGTCAACTGAGGACAAAAGATCAAAATTGCACAAAAATTACCTGCAGATCTTGACAGCAAAGTAAGTCTTTTTCTTTGAAGTGGAGGGGGTAGTCTTATACAGCGAATATAGGCCTAAACCTATGTTTTAACTGTAAAATTAGGGGGTCGTCTTATACGCCGGAAAATACGGTAATCAAAAATGAAGGCACATTAAGAAAAAGATCATTTTCGAGATGGTCATGTTATAACTTTAGCATAAATACCTAATAGTGTCCTCTATTCCTAAGGGACATTTCCAATTGTGAATACTCGAAACGCAGTTTATTCTTAGATTAATAAGTGTATTATTTACTTGTATCACAACTATAAAGCTACTTTTGCCGACCCCTGTACTTTCCCATTTCATCAACATAGTTAAAGACTTACTGAGCACAAATTATGTGCCAGGCACTGACAAAATAGCCCACAAATCAGTTTAAAAAAAAAATCTCTGTCCCCAATAGGGCTTATACTCTAATATAAGAAACACAATAAAAACGTTAAGATTCAGCCAGCCTGCGTGGCTCAGTTGTTGGGCATCGACCTATGAACAGGGAGGTCTCAATTCGATACCCAGTCAGGGCACATTCCCAGTTGCAGGCTCAATCCCCAGTGGGTGATGTGCAGGAGAAAGCAGATTGATATCTCTATGTCTCTCTAAAATCAACAAAACATCTTTTTTAAAAAGCGGTATGTTGAAAGAAAAGGAAGAACAAATAGGAAGGAAGAGCATTACACAGAGGAAACATGTGAAAAGAACCCCAGGACCTGAGGTATGAAGACCGGGTTGTTTGAGAAATACTAGAAGCCAGCTTCCTGGACATGAGCTGTTTAAAAACAAAAACAGAAGAAGCACTAGATTTTTCCTAGAAACCTAGATCTTAGCAAGCACCTAAGGAATCTCAGCACCAGGTTATGAGGAGGCAGATAATTACCTTTTTAGTTAGCATAAAACAAAATACAAAGGAAAAGTCAACATTTACTCTGAAGCTGTGAAACCATACCTATCCGTGGCCTTGGAGTCCAGTCACTAGAGCTTGCATGTGAGGCTCTATCATCCTCATCACTTTCACAGGAATGAAAACCATTGGTAATTATTTCATCACCAAACAGAAGGTTATCTGCAAAAGAAACCAAAAGCAACTCAGTCTGATGAACAATCTGCATCTAAAATGTATTAAGATCTGGGCCCTGGCCCAGTAGCTCAGTTGGTTAGATATGGTTAGATATGCCAAGGTTGTGGGTTCAATCCCTGGTCAGGGAGCATGTAAGAATCAACCAATGAATGTATAACTAAGTGGAACAACAAATCGATGTTTCACCCTACCTTTCCTCCCTCCCTCCCTTCTCCCCCCCTCCCCCCCACCTCTCTCTCTCTCTCTGGGTTGCAGGTTCAGATCCTCAGGCTTGTGCTGGAGGCAGCCAATTGATGTCTCTCTCATATAGATATCTCTCCTCCCCCCTTCCTTCTATCTCTATGGGGGGGGGGGGGGAATCAATGGGGAAAATAACCCAGAGTAAAGATTAATAAAAATAAAATAAAATAAAATAGTATGAAGACCTGTAATGGTTATGATCTAATAATTTTTACTGAGTAAGACACATTCAATTCTCCGTCAGGGCATATACCGAGGTTTCAGGTTCAGTTCCCAGGAGGCAACCCATCCATGTTTCTCTCCCTTCCTCTCTCTCTCTAAGCGAAGTCAATAAGAACGTATTTAAAAGAATGCCTGCTGGGTCATCGTATGTGGTTGGTTCATAAAAACAGCATTTTTCTCCTTAAGGGATTCTAACCTCAATCTAAAAGCCTCAGTTCATCACAAATCTTCATATAAATCAAGTCTACTAAATCCAAACCCAAAAGCAGCAATCTAGTAAGGCTGAATTTTTACCCATTACAAACAATGGCGCTCATAAAACTTGTCAACTAAAAACTTACCGGAAAAAGTTCAAATGAAGCTACAGCAACTTACAACTTCTCTTAAACATATCAAGACAGCTTTGCCTTAATTCGTTTCCCCTATTAAACTTTCTTGAAATGAGGTCTTTTGACTAATCCGGCCCCTAATGCACCTGTTATCTTTATATACAGCCCTGTATGTGCACCGATTAGATTTACTGATGCAAACACGGATGGAAACGAACATCCATCATCCCAGGACAGAAACTCCTCAGATCGAAAACATGGGACTTCAGGGGCGACAGGACAAATACAACTCACACATCCAACTCAATATGCCAGGAAAAATGTCCATTCGTGTCTCGGGGTTATGTTTGCACACAGCAAAGGACCAGAACTAGTCTGAAAACAACTGGAACATTAGAGAAACACTCTTCACGTCAGGCACTCGGAAAGCGCCACGGCTCGACTCTGCCCGCTGCCAACTGCACCGCAGGGCGGCCTTTACAGACAGCTGTGCTCTTGAAAACTGAGGGTGTATGCGTTTAGAATTCAGCTTTGCTCTTTAAAACAAATGTAAAAATCAAGATCCTTCTTCCCCCTACCCCCCCCCCAAAAAAAAATCACGAATTGCAGAAAAATCACGAATTACACATATCTAATCACGAGTTCCATTTTGCAAAGACAACCGCAAAAAGACAGGCAAAAGTTGCAGGTTTCGGTGTATTGGGGGGCGGGAAGTTGAGGGGAAGCAATAAGGTTTAACGAAAGCGGTATGTATATACTAAAAGGGTGGGAAGCGAAAGAAACTTAGTATTTTAAAAGCAACTGCGAGTGCCCCGGCCCGGCGGCTGCGCACGGCGCCCGGGCCCCCGCGGCGGCGGGAGGAGAAGCGGGGGGAGCGGGAGGGAGGAGCGGGGGCCGCAGCCAAGCGGGCGGGCGGCCGCCCCGGAGGCCGGCGGAGGGAGGGGGGACGCCGCCGAGCCCGCCCCGCCCCCCGGCCCCCGCCCCCTTGCCCCCGGCCCCCGGCCCCCGGCCCGGAGGGGCCCGCGGAGGGAGGAGGGATGCGCAGTCCCGGCCGCCCGCGCCCCGCGCACCTCGGTACCCAATCCCTGCCGCCGCCGCCGCCCCCGCCGCCTCTTCCTCCTCCTCGTCCTCGTCGTCGTCATCGAAGTCGTCGTCCGGCGGCGGCGGGTCCCAGGAGGGGCCCTGCAGGCCGGGCCCATTGTCTCCTCCTCCGCCCGCCGCCTGGGCCTCCCATTCGCCGCCGGCCGCCGCCGCCGGGCCGCCCCCGGCCGCCGCCAGCGCCTCTCGCTCCGGGGCCGCCCCATCGGGCTCGCCCGGGCTCCGCCCGAGGCCCGCGCCGTCCCTCCGCGGCCGCTTGCGGAGCGGCTCCCCGGGGTGCGGCGGGGAGGCCTCCCTCTCGGCCGCCGCTGCGGAAGGGGAGCCGCCGCCGGGCTGAAGGGCGAGCGCCGCCTCGTCCGCCATCTTCAAACTGCCTCTCTGGCCGCCGCCTCGCCTGCTCCGCTCCCGCTCGCACTCGCGGCTCTGGCGCCCCCGCGGCTCCGGCTGCGGGAGATTTAAACGCCGTCACGTGACCGCGCCGCCCCCGCCTCCCCGCAGCTCCCGCCGCCCACGCGAGCGGGACCTCGGGACGCCGGGTCACGTGGGGCGCCGCGCAGCCGCCCTGGGTCCTCTCTCCACGCCCCTCCGCGCGCCCAGGGAGTCCGGGCCCGGCTTCGTGGCGTGAGTGTCGGCGTCCGCCGCCGGCGCCGCGCTGGCCCCGGACGGAGCGGGAGGTGCGCGCGGAGGCCCCGGGAGGCGAGGGGGGTGGGCGCCGCAGACAGTGAGGGGAGGAAGGGGCTCGGGCCGTCCTCTCACCGCTGACAGCTCCTGGGGCGGGGGCGGGGGGACCCTCTCCCCGGCTTCTCCTCTCACCGCCCCGCCCCCATCGCTCTAGCTGCCCGTCTGCGTTTGTAAACGAGCAAACTGAGTCGGGCTCTCTGACCTCTTTCCCCCTGGGTTGTCCAGTTACAAAGGGACAAGGGACAGCACAATAGCCATCCGGTGCGAAGGAATCCAATGTTAGGACTGTGTCACTGCCAGTAAGGGAGAGTAAAAAAAATAAGGGACCAAAAATAATAATAATAATAAGGGACCTAGTATCCATTCTGTGTGTACTAGGAAAATTGTATTGGCAAAACTGGTTCTTAATATGGGAACGTATAAATATAGAGTCCTACCTCACCCTGAAAATAAATCCCAGGTGGGTTGAAGAGCTAATGAAAAAATACAATAAAAATAAGGCATTTTAGGACATTATATAACTGCACTAAGAAAGAGCTTTTTAAAAAAAAAACTAAGAAGCCATTTAAAATATATATAACTACATAAACATTTAAAATGTTCTAATCTATTAGTAGTCAGGAACATACAGGTAAAACCATGAGGTATCTCAGGCAAAAAATAAAACAATTTATTTTATTTTTTTTATTGATTTTTACTGAGAGGAAGGGAGAGGGAGCTAGAAATATCGATGAGAAACATCAATCAGCTGCCTCCTGCACACCCCCTACTAGAGATGTGCCTGCAACCAAGGTACATGCCTTTGACCGGAATCGAACCTGGAACCCTTAAGTCTGCAGGCCGAGGCTCTGTCCAGTGAGCCAAACTGGTTAGGGCAAAACAATTTTTTTAAATAGGAGTTATTACTCCACTAAGTAGTAGTAATCTTTTTTTTTTTAATGCTTTATTGTTTGAAGTATATTACATACGTCTCCTTTTGTTCCCATCAACTTCTCCCAGGCCATTCCCAACCCCCAGCACATGCCCTCACCACCCTAGTGTCCTTTTCCATTGGTTATGCTCATATGCATGCATACAAGTCCTTTGGTTGATCTCTCCTCCATACTCCCAACCACCACCACCACCCCTAACTTCACTCTGAGCTTCTCTGTCTCTGGATCTATTTCTGTTCAATGCTTCTCTGTCTCTGGATCTATTTTTGTTTATTAGTTTTTGTTGTTCATTATATTCCACAAATGAGTGGGGTCATGTGATATTTATCTTTCTCCAACTGGCTTATTTCGCTTAGCATGATGATCTCCACCTCCATCCATGCTGTTGCCAATGGTAAGAGCTTTTTTTTTTTTTTTTATAGCAGTGTAGTATCCCATTGTGCAGATGTACTGCAATATTTTAATCCGCTCATCTGCTGATGGGCACTTAGGCTATTTCCAAATCTAAGCTCTGATAAATTGTGCTGCTCTGAACATAGGGGTGCATATGTCCTTTCTGATTGGTGTTTCTGGTTTCTTGGGATATAGTCCTAGGAGTGGGGTTACTGAGTCAAATGGGAGTTCCAGTTTTAATTTTTTTAAATATATATTTTATTGATTTCCACAGAGAGGAAAGAAGAGGGATAGAGCGTCAGAAACATCAAACATGGATCAGCTGCCTCCTGCACACCCCCTACTGGGGTTGTGCTTGCAAACAAGGTACATGCCTTTGATCAGAACCAAACCTGGGACCTTTCAGTCCGCAGGCAGACGCTCTATCCACTGAGCCAAACCGGTTTTGGCCAGTTTTAATTTTTTGAGGAAACTCCGTACTGTTCTCCACAGTGGCTGCACCAGTCTGCATTCCCACCAGCAGTGCACGAGGGTTTCTTTTTCTCTGCATCCTCGCCAGCACTTGTCCTTTGTTGATGATAGCCATTCTGACAGGTGTGAGAAGGTACCTCATTGTCATTTTGATTTGCATCTCTCAGATGACTGGTTAGTGACTTTGAGCATGTTTTTATATGTTTCTTGGCCTTCTGTATGTCCACTTTCGAAAAATGTCTATTTAGGTCTTTTGCCCATTTTTTAATTGGATTATTCATCTTCCTTTTGTTAAGATGTATGAGTTCTCTAACATTTGGAGATTAGGCCCTTATTGGATATAATATTGGCAAGTATGTTCTCCCATGCAGTGGTCTTTCTCTCTCTCTCTCTCTCTCTCTTTTTTTTTTAATATGTTTTATTGATTTTAGAGAAGAAGGGAGAGGGAGAGATAGAAACATCAATGATGAGAGAACCATTGATCGGTTGCCTCTTGCAGGCCCCGAACCAGGAACAGAGCCCACAACTCAGGCATATGCCCTTGAACGCGGGACCCTTAAGTCCGCAGGCCGGCGCTCTGTCTACTGAGCCAAACCAGCTAGGGCAAGAAATATTTACTGATGTGTCCTTAACCTTTCCATTGTCCAACCTCTCCATCAGGAATGCTAAAAAGCTGAAACCGGTTTGGCTCAGTGGATAGGGTGTCAGCCTGCGGACTGAAAGGTCCCAGGTTCGATTCCAGTCAAGGGCATGTAGCTTGGTTGCGGGCACATCCCCAGTGGGGGGTGTGCAAGAGGCAGCTGATCGATGATTCTCTCTTATGGATGTTTCTAATTCTATCCCTCTCTCTTCCTCTCTGTAAAAAAAAAATCAATAAAATATATCTTTAAAAAATAAAATAAAATTTTAAAAAAAGAATGCTAAATAATAACTTTTTTTTCAGTCTTCATCAGAAAATATATTTATTATTGATAGTGAGTGAAGTAAAGATGTCAGTATTTATGATAGAGAAGCGTTTGTATGAGCCACAGTTGTCTTTATGTTGATTAAAAAATGCCTTATTTCATAAACATTATTCCAGTAAAAGAGGTATATTTTCTGAAATAAATTAAAAATACATATTTTTAAAAATGAGTGTTTCTTGCTAAAATTGTATGTATTAAAATGAGTACATTATTTTTAGTTTAAAAAGAAAAAGAGTAACCATTTTTTGAAACAGCCACCTGAGGGCTAGACTCTACAGTCTCATCAAGCCTCCGCCCTCTGTGAGGCAGGAGCAGTGGACTGACTTTCCTGACTTACACCACTTTTTAAATTTCCTGCCTATAAACACAAATGAAGGAGATGTTATTCTTTCGTGGCTTCATGTATGTTATTCTGTCTTTTTTTTATTAGATACAGTGTTGTACTTCCCTACAGACCTTAGAATTCTGCATCCTATCAAGCTGCCTCCATTTGAGCTCTCTGGGACTTTTAAACTCAATAGATGATTTGGTAATGCAGCCTGCCTTCCACCAGAAATATTAAAACCTAGACCAGTGGTTCTCAAATCACAGCGGTTTTGCAACCTTACCCCTTCTCTGGGGTATACTTGACAATGTGGAGATATTTTTGTTGTTGTTGTCATAACTCAGGGGAGACTGTACTACCAAAATTCCGCAGATAGGTCAGGGATATTGCTAAATGTTCTACAATGCAGACGACTGAGCAAGAAAGATTTATCCAGCCAAAATGTCAACAGTGTCAGGGTTGGGAAACTCTGGCTCAGAGTTTCAGCCACACTGGGCAAGTGGTACTGATCGGGGCTCTAACTAACCAAGATTTCCTAGGGCATAGGAGACAGGATTTCATGAGCAAGGCCAGGTTACAACGTAGCATAGGCAGTGATTTTCAAATTTTGGTTTTAAGCAGCAGAATCCATCTGTTGAATGACCTTAACTCTATTATAAAATGTAAATACAGCCCTAACTGGTTTGGCTCAGTGAATAGGGCGTTGGCCTGCAGATTCAAGGGCCCCAGGTTCGATTCTGGTCAAGGGCTTGTACCTTGGTTGTGGGTTTGTCCCCAGTAGGGGGGTGTGCAGGAGGCGGCTGATCAATGTTTCTCTCTCATCGATGTTTCTAGCTCTATCCCTCTCTTTTCCTCTCTGTGGGGAATCAATAAAATATATTTTTTTAAATGTAAATACATTTCCTTTGATAGGTAAAGAATTTTCACCGATCAATAAGAAAAAGATTGTTAGCCCAGCTGAAAATTAAGTGTTCAATTCACAGAAAAGGGAATGTAAGTGGCTTCTAAGTATGTGAAAATGTAAAACTTCACTCATAATGAGAGAAATACTCATTAATCTACAATGAGATACCATTTTTCACATATCAAACTAATACATTTGGTCATGTTGTTGTATTGTAAATCATTGAATGAGATAAGAGATGCCTTAATAAGACAATTAATTAGCCGAAACTGGTTTGGCTCAGTGGATAGAGCGTCGGCTTGGGGACTGAAGGTCCCGGGTTTGATCCTGGTCAAGGGCATGTACCTTGGTTGCGGGCAATATCCCCAGTAGGGAGTGTGCAAGAGGCAGCTGATCAATGACTCTCTCTCATCGATGTTTTTAACTCTGTATCTCTCCCCTTTCTCTCTGTACAAAATCAATAAAATATATATTTTTTAAAAAAGACAATTAATTAGGAGTCGTTTATTGTGTGCACCCAGAGGGAGGTGTCTCTTCCAAATCTCTGAGCACCACATACAGGAAGCCTCCCGTATTTATGCTTTTCGGCCTCTTTGTTTGTAGTTATTACAAAGAGCTCTATGTGAGTTATTGTTACAGACAGTTGTAAACTTGAATACATTATGAGTCTGTACTTGACATGAGAATATGGG